GGTCTGGCGGTGTCACCCGCATCGAATGGGCGCTGTTCATATTGTCAACTCCTGTCATGTTCTATGGTACTGATGTATTCCATGTCCGGGCCATGAAGGAAGTCTATGCACTATGGCGGCCTGGGAGTCGAGTGCCGATCCTTCGGAGATTCTACCGTTTTGGTAGTATGAACCTTTTGATCTCTGCGGGCACATCAGTGGCCTATATCTCGTCCCTAGCAGTACTCATCGTTGATGCAGTTGTGGGTACCAAGTCTAGCCCCCATAGCACGACCTATTTCGACTCGGTTGTCTTCTTAACTCTGTTCATTCTTGCTGGTCGATTCTTGGAGGCCTATAGCAAAGCCAAGACTGGCGATGCTGTCACATCCTTGGGCAAGCTTCGACCTTCGGAAGCATTGCTGTCTGATGACACTTCCGAAGATGGAGTGCAGCGGACGAGTGTTGACCTCCTGGAGGTTGGTGATGTGGTCAGTATTCCTCACGGCGCCTCGCCTCCTGCAGATGGAGTGATCGTCGACAGCGCATCATATCAATTCGATGAAAGTTCTTTGACGGGAGAATCACGACCAGTTAAGAAAACCGTCAATGACATGGTCTATACAGGCTCAGTTAATGTCGGCCAGCCGGTACGGATCCGTATCACTGAGCTCGGTGGCTCATCTATGCTTGACCGAATAATCGCCGTGGTTCGTGAAGGACAAAGCAAGCGTGCACCTCTTGAAAGAGTTGCCGATCTTCTCACTTCGCATTTCGTGCCTATTATCACTTTGATCGCTATTTTGACTTTCGTCATCTGGTTGGCGCTTGGTCATTCTGGTGTGCTTCCCGCAGATTATCTCGATGTCGCACACGGCGGCTGGACCTTCTGGGCGCTGGAATTTGCTATTTCAGTATTTGTGGTGGCCTGTCCCTGCGGTCTTGCCCTTGCAGCTCCTACGGCACTTTTCGTTGGGGGTGGCCTAGCAGCGAAGCATGGTATCCTGGTCAAAGGTGGCGGTGAAGCCTTCCAAGAAGCCAGTCGCTTGAATGCAATCGTATTTGATAAGACAGGCACATTGACTGAGGGTGGAAGTCTGAAAGTTTCTGACCATGAAATTTTGACCAGTGACCCAGAAGTTGCGAAAGTTGCATGGGCTTTGGCCCGGAAAATGGAAGAAAGCAGTAACCATCCGATTGCCCAGGCAATCACTGAGTTCTGCAAAACACAGCAGTCTTCCTATGTGAAGTCTTCCGACGTTCATGAAATATCTGGGCAAGGAATGAAGGGAACATTTACTGTGTCTGGCTCCGGGGACGACATACAATATGAAGCTGCAATTGGCAACGAACGTCTTCTCAACACTCTACTGTCTCCCGATACAGACACATACTTCGTTTCCAACCTGCTGGCAAAATACCAGTCAGCAGGCAAGTCGACTGCAATCCTCTCACTTCGTCAAGTGCACCCTCCATCCACCGAACCAGCTAAGTTCATACCTGCCATTACTTTCGCCACCTCGGACACTATTCGCCCGGAAGCTATCGATATCATTTCTCAGCTTCAGAAGCGTCACGTCGATGTCTTCATGTGCACTGGTGATAACCAAACCACCGCCCATGCCGTCGCGGACATGCTAGGCATCCCGCGTTCCAAGGTGATAGCCAATGTCCTGCCAGCGGAAAAAGCCAGCTTTGTTCGTCAGATTCAAGAATGTTCGTTGACTACACCGCTAGCCGATGGTAACACCACACCGAGTTCAAGCCAATCACGCTCTATTGTCGCCTTCGTCGGTGATGGAGTAAATGACTCGCCCGCATTGGCAGCAGCAGATGTGAGCATCGCCATGGCATCTGGCTCCGATGTTGCTATCAACTCTGCCAGTTTCATCCTCCTCAACTCGGATCTTAGCACGATTTTGCAGCTGGTCCTGCTCAGTCGCCGCGTTTTTAATCGAGTCCGTATGAACTTCGGCTGGGCGGTCATCTACAACCTTTGCTTGGTTCCGATTGCTGCTGGTGTGCTTTATCCTATTGCGAGTGGCCATCACCAGAAAACCATTGATGGTGACATGATCATGGTCAATGAACACTGGAGATTGAGTCCGGTGTGGGCTGCTCTGGCCATGGCACTGAGCAGTATTTCTGTTGTGCTGAGCAGCCTGGCTTTGAGGATTGACAAAGAAAGTTTTAAAAAGATTGTGCGATGGAAGAGGTAGAAGTTGTGGTATTAGCCGATTTTATTCTAGCATTATCACTATTTTAAATACACGAATGAACTCGATATTCAAGCCTGTTTCCAAAGTAGCCTCGACAGGAAACCTTTCTAACCCAAATTCACACCCCCCCAAACTTCTGCAATCCGCTTGCTGAGATCCTTAGCAACTTTCTTTCGCCCTACAACTTCTAACATTCGACTCGCTATCATCATCTCTCGCTCTTTAGGCTCTAGAGCCAAATACGCATCCACCAAATGCCGTGGCGTTGGCCAGATTTGTTGGATCTCAAGAGCTTTTTCGCCCGTCACTCCACGGGTACACATCAACATTTTCAAAAAAACATCACGAAGAGTTAGAACGTCGGACTTGGAAGTGAGAGCAGAGAACGTCACGAACGAGACCCCGTACGTGATTGACGGGTCTTGAGAGCGGAGATTATCGAGGATGGTGAGGTAGGAGTCAGTGGAGAGGCGGCGGCCGGGGATGAGACCAATCTTAGATACTGGAGATGGAGGAACCGTGTTACGGTTGGTATTGCTATCAGTGTCTCCGGTGGAGGGCACATCTTCGACCCCGTACATCCTCCGCAAGAGCAGAGTCATGCGCGCCAGGTACCGGATTGACTCGTCTAGATGTTTCGTCCTTTTGATAAAGTACTGATTAAGCACCTGTGTCGAGGCAATGGCCGACGCAACCATCTCCTGGTATTGTGCTGCACTACCGCTAGCCGACTCGGCATGCGTGACGGCGAATTCTTCGATCAGGTAGATGACGTTCTTGATGCCGGAGCGACGGAGTCGGAACTTTTGTTCGTGGAAGCGGCCGTCTTTGATAGATCCGATCAGATCGTCTAGACGCTTTCGCTCAACGATCCAGTCTAGCATCATCTCGTCGCCTTCCTCGCCGTGCCTTTTGAAGAAATTTGGATCATGACATTTCGCTACCCACATTGCGTCGCCGACTTCCAGGGCGCGTACTTGGGGGTTAATTCCTTGTTTCATCAGTTCCCCCGAGATATAGTCGCGGTCCGTGGAGGTGCGGACTTCTCGGGTGTCTAATACGAGCTGGATGGTGAAGCTCTTGGGTGGGAACAAGATGGGCTCAATGTTAGCTATGTCGTGTTCGGATAGATTTTCTTGGGCATCTGCCGACGAATCATCATCTGGTTGAAATGGGTCAGGTTCGGTTGTCAATGCTCCTTGTTGCGACTCAGTTGTGGCAGTAGCTTGAGAGCCAGACGTGGTGGTTTGGGCAGCGCCAGGTAACGTCTTTTGGAGACGCTTGGCTATCTCCCAGCCTTCTTCCGAAAGAAGATATTTTCGAAGTGGACGTCCCTGTTCGTAGACTAGGTCTTTCTGGATAAGAGTTTTCATTGAATTCCACGCGGTGTAGAACTTGGTGGGGTCCGGGGGTGCCGTGAACGAACTGTCGCAGTATGGCTGGGCCACCTCGACCAGGCGAGCCTTTGTCATCCCCTGGGATGCATTCTCATCTTGGGTTCCCAAGCCCAAAATTAGTGCATACGGACCGGATCGTAATGTTGGTACATACGGCTTGGCTTTCCGAGGCTTCTTCGCCGGTTGATCGACGCCACCTTCAGATGTTCTCTTTCCGCCTGTTTGACCTAGTTGAGCGTCTGTTTCCGAGGCCAGAGTGCAATTGATATCACCAACCTTTATCAGGCGGTTCCGGCATTGGAAGCCCATTTTCTTGACAGTAATCCTTGAATTTATCAGTCAAGCGGTCACATAATTTTGGACCCAGTCCATTCAATTGCTGTGCTTGAGATGGATGTTGGAATTCTAACGGACAGGCTTTCATTGACTCATAAGCCTTCTTATATCTACAAGATGTCAGATATAGTCTTTCCCGAAGGGCACCACGAGATACGCACACGGTCACGCCTTTGCTGTTTCGTTCTCGGGCTTGATCCAGCCATTCTTTGATCCACCCCAGTAGTAGGGGGTTTGCACACTCCTCGCTCATAGCGAGTCGAGTCTCCGGCGACTGAGTAGCAGATCAGTAGGGCGAAAGATCATCAAGAAGTGTCTCGGTTGGACGCGAAGTGATGTTGCCTTTTTGGGAACGCGACTGACACGTGGTGATAAAGATAAGAATGTTGATTGCACGTGCATCGAGGTCTTTCGTAGAACTGCTCTCAGCCCACACTCTACTTGATCTGCCAACTTACAACGGACTCTGTTTGTCCCATAGAACCGCATTTATGTCTATCTATTTTCCTATGCGAGGATTGGAATTATCATCTGGTGAACTTCCAGGTCCAGTGGCACTCGTGCAGCCTTTGTCGTTAACCCAGCAATTGAGCCAGATCTATGCTCTTTTAAAAAATTAGCCAATATGATGCTATTCTCACAGTTTGTTCTACGCAATTTCTTACTTACAAGAATGGTCGGCCATGTTTGCGGCTTTGTCCTGTTTTCATAGCTGGTCTTTTGTTTTGAAATGTCTTCATCACCTTTGTTTTGCCCTTCTCAGTTTCATGGATGGACTGTACAAGATGGAGAATGGCTTAGATATGTGAATTTTAATTTACCTTATAGAACAAGGGACAAAGGATATAACCAGGGACATGGCCAGAGGGATTCCTTCCAAGGCTGTGATTGCCACTTGCCCTGATTCGAACGAAAATGACGTCGACAATCCGCGTGAACTGCATGGTCAATACAAGACAGCTTCCCACACCCATGGATGACCATTCTCTATCAAGCCTATGGGGCCTAGAATTAGTTCCGGGCATTTTACACTAATCTCACCCTCAGGTCCTTAAACCACGAACGAGCAATGCTATCTATTGACAATCTCCCCACAGCTCCTGAAATCCCAGAGGGGCCAACTGAGAGCCATGTGCTGTCTCAAGTGGAACAGGACGAGAAAGGCCTTTCACAAAAAGCTGGCGACACAGAGGAAATTACCAATGTCGGATGGGGTGAATCTCCAGATGCCATCGAGGAACCTTTCATAGCCGGACTATCAAATGAGGATTTGTGGATGCTCATTAGACGGTTTGACAAGGTATGTACTGAGAATCTCACGTGAGAATGTACGAGAAGTTGGAACTGACCTTCTCATTCTGCTCTTCAGCAAGTCTATCGAGTCAAAGCAGTCCCTGATGCTCCCATTCAGAGACTAGATCTCACACGAAAAGACGACGATGAATTCTCGCCGGACAAACTTAGGGCAACACTTGAACGTTTTTACACAACCGTTTTTATTGGCTTGACCAATTTAGTTAAACACATTACTCGACTTCGGTCTTGGAAGGAGCCGCGACGAACCGCCGCCTTTTGCACGGCATGTCTCCGTCCCCGAGAATTTCACTTTGTACCATTATTGATTTGACGCAGGTCTACATCTTATCATGGCTTTTCGAAATATTCGTTCCAACTATACTGGCCATCCTACTTGCTCTGGTGGTCTACCCACCATGTCGATCACTCATGTTCCCTCCCGCTCCAATTCCTCTTGTCAACAAAGACACGGGTGGTGTACAAAAGCCAAAGGCTGGAATCCTCGGATCTAATGATAGTATTACTGGGGCCCCCGAAAAATTCAAGGGCGAGGCAGCCGAGCAGGAGGCCAGTAATCTTATCGCAAGTGTTGCCAGTGTGGCTGTGGGAAGCGCAGTCGGGAAGCACGATCAGGGGGTCCCTGATGATGCACCCCTCGAAGACGATGTGCCAGACACGATGGATATTGTTGCTAATACTGCCAATGCGCAAAGCGCGGCCCATGGAAAGGTGCCTACAGACTCCCACGACAAAACACGACAGCCTATGAAACAGAGCGTGATGGATGCTGCGAACTCTTTAATGCAGCTGATAGGCGACATAACAGATACCTATGAGAAGTTAGGCAAGTGAGTACAAAGCTTGCGATTCTCGTGTCCATAGCCTGCGGTTAACTTTAGTCGCCTAGTGCTCTATCCGCCACGGCTCCGTTTCCCCAATTGAGTCCTCGATTGCGCCTGGTAGCTGTGTTGGGCCCAGTTCTGTTAGTCTCGATAATGACCTCTTGCTACCTATTCATGAAGCTCATTACACTTCTGATCGGGCTCGCCTTCTTTGGAGACCCTGTCATCAAACGAGGGGTCTCATCTCTGAACCGCCGCCTCCCGAATTGGCAGAACTTTATTCAGTTGCAAAAGTATACATTCAAGTTGTGCATAAGTACTCACTAAACTAACTCTCGATAGTTCCCTTCTGAACGGTATCCCAACAAATGCTCAGTTGGCTATCACACTTCTCCGCATCGGCGAGGCTAATGCGTCACCACTCCCCCCCCTCCAACCTCACCAGAAAAAGTGCCCTCGCGACCAGCTTCTTTACACCAGGAGGAACTGACCCTAGGCGCTACTGACGAGGAAATTAAACAGGCTGCCCTGGTCAAGCCTGGGGACCATGCACAAGAGACCCAAGCTTCACCAAACAAGAGTCAGAAAAGGACACTGGGATCCAGCATTCTGGGCTTCTTTCGCGGAACCACGGCCAGTGGTGTTGAGAGCAAAAGAGGAGTCGATCACTTGCGAGCAGCAATCGGTTCACACCATGCCAGGAATCGTGTTGGCGTCCTACGTGATAGAGGGAAGAGGATAACACCAAATGGGCCTGTTGCATTTGACGCTCGGTGCCAAGGCAAGCGCGGCACTGTGATTATCGACTCAACAAATGAGCCTCCGCTGCTGTATTTCACGACCGATGCACCGCAAAACGGAGACATACAGGTGGAGAATCGCAGGAATGGATCTATCCTATTCACTATGCCGGTGACTGATATCCAAGAGATGCGAAATTTGGGTGGTATGGGATGGAAAGGGAAATTAGTTGTTGGCTGGGCTCTTGGTGGCAAGGAAGTGGTTGATGGTTTGCTCATCACTGGCCAGAAACCAGGGCAGTCACATCAACTCACTGCCATGGGAATGAGGAATCAATTGTTCAATCGGCTTATTGCCATCGACGGACAGGTTTGGGCAAGCTGTTGATTTGAATTGCAGGATTTCTGCTGAGAGAATTGCCGGTTTGGGAATGATACCCTTGATCTGACATTTTGCTTCATGTGCTGGCGGTATATACATTCGGCCAAGTCCCGCTAAGCAACGATGTATCACAAAATATCAGACCATAAACATCATCACTGAACCTCCCTCCCCCTCCTTCCTCTAGAACTCTTGTCGCCTCTTACGGTGGATGTCTTCCATATTGTGGCCTAGCGTAAATTCAGACACACGGCCAAACGCAGAAAGAGTATCATATACACTAAAACATCCCATCCTATGCCCAAGCAATATCTCCACATTAGTAGATATGATTTCCTTCATGAAACAGTTATCCAGAACCAAACTCACCTCTTCTAGCTCCGCTTCCAAGATAGTCTCCGCCATTTTACCAAATGGCCTCTGCGCGCTCTTCTTGAGTCAAACAGCCGATCTTAATGAGCTCAGGAAGAGCATCTCCAACCCAGTTCTGGCAGTTCCAGTCTCGGTCACTATGGCTGTTGCGCACCGGCGTGCAAGCACATGCAAAGATGATCTTCGCCTTGGCGACAGAGTCCGGCGCTGTACATACAGGAATCCACGCTATTGGCGGCTCCGAAATTGGGTTCTCTGTGTCCTTTTGGATTTTAAAGAAAGGATGTGCGCCAACAGCATGGAGCCAATCATGTTGGCCGTCGGAGTACAGGACGTGCAGCGCTGTGTGTCGGTATTTGGAGAAGTCTACTGGCACACCTTTGTACACGAGAAGGGAGATTGGGGTTGGCATTTCGATATAGTTCAAAATTCTGGGTGAAAGATTATAGAATATCACACCCAAGTCGCTTCACTTGTGGACAACTCAAGAGTTGAAGGGTGGTTGGTTGCAAGGAAAAGTGGGCGGTCATGACTTGGGCTGACCACGGCCTTTCTCAGGCAGCCTCCCTGGTTTATATTATCGAAACTAATGATACAATTCTTAGTTTGAGAACAGGGTGAAATCCCCGGAAAAATCTACGGACTGCCATGATGGTATGGCCTATAACTATAAATTGTATATAATGTTTACAACATAGTTAGCGTTGTCCACGTAGATTGGAAAAAAGAACGGAGTTTGTCATTTTAGGTAGAGAGAACTCAGAGTATTTCATGTCGATCTATTGGTCGTCCTATACATTGTTAAAATCATCGATTTCAGTCAAATATCGAAAATCACCTACGCGATCTTTGTCCTTTGTGTAGGCTTAAATAACGCAGAATTTCGAAAATAACTAAAAAAAAATAATCGTATCACTGGATTTTTAACACCCAAATAATTAGGGTATCAATGAATATTTATAATCCCGTACAGTCTGCTCAAACGACTCGTCACGTTTGAATCCCAAGGAGATGGCTTGACTGTTATCAAACTGAGTCGGCCATGACTTCAGAATTGGGATCAGCGCGGAGTCCTCTTTCTCCGTAAGCAGAGTCAGTTTATCCGCACCGCCCACTGCTTCCAATGCATCCATCATGCCCTGAACTGTGATGCAAATCCCAGGTATATTAATCTGGCGAATGTGCGGAGGAACAGAGTCGGCAGGAAGACGGAGTGTAAGAAGAAGATTTTCCACTAGTGTCTTGGGCGAGCATAGCCATGACCTGAACTGTCGGTCTTCAATGGGAATCACACATTTCTTCCCGTCGAGAGGCTCCCGAATCATGCCAGAAAGGAAGGATGAAGCTGCAGCAGTAGGCGCACCCGGTCGGACGGAGATGGTCGGAAACCGCAAGGTGAAGCCGGTAATGAATTTGCGGCGAGTGTATTCGTTCACTAGCGTTTCGCACACGATCTTCTCGGCACCATAGGAGGACTCCGGAGTCGGGATCACGCTGTCAGTCACAATTTCTGGCAACGGTTGGCCGTATACAGCCTGACTGGACGAATATATGACCCGCACTCCTGGGCAGGTGTGTCGGAGGGCCTCGAGCAGGTTTCGGGTCGCATCGATGTTGACGCTCATGCCCAGATCGAAGTTGGCTTCGGAGCCGGATGACATGATGCCGTGGAAGGCATAGACGGCGTCCAAAGAAGAATCGACGATCTCCTTTGCTCCTGTCAAGAGATCTGCCTTGATTGCCGTTGCGGATTGGGGATAGCGCACGCCCGCAGGAATCGGTGGTTGATGTATATCGGTCAATGTGACGCGATAGGCTGGGTCATTCAACAGTTCCTTCGCAAGCAGTTGGCCGATGAAACCGGCAGCACCAGTGATGAGGACATGCATTTTCACGAGAATTGTACCATCAACAGGAAATCCAGGAGAGAAGTGTACTTCAATATGTAAGTTTAGCTCATTCGCATCAAGTCCGAGGCGATCTTTAGGTGGTCCTTCGCACCGGACTTGGGCCGGCACAGTACAGTTTCCAAGTGGATCTGCCGTGGAACTGGTTTTCGCGAATCGCCTTGGAGTTTTGTCTTTCAAGTCCCTCTTTGTTCCAGAGGCTTCAATTGGGGTCTCTTGAATACTGGAGAATGCCTCGATTGCCCACAGATATGGTGAGTGGCCTATCAGTTCAAGTCAAAAAGACATAAGCTATGACTACACTTACTGTATTCATAAAACATACTCAATTCAAACCTATGAAAGCCATAATCTGGAAAACATACGTGTAAAGTTCAAAAGTTGTATACAACATAGACTATTGTCAAGGTGGATTTCGGGAGGAAGTAGAGTCCAGGGGGTCCAAGTAACACAACTCGCTTTTGTTTCTCTTCCTTTCTCTTGATACTCTCCCCCTCATTGGCCACGCCATCCCTCTTGTCTTGATATTTGTGTGCAATTTATCCCTAGCTTCTCGGCGTACTCGTGTCAGTTCAGCTCGCTTTACTCCGACCGTTCCCCACTCCGGAGAACATTTCGCCCCCTAACCCGCATGCCGGAGTATCACCGACTCCTCCCACAGCATTCTCCAGACTAGTATCACACCATGGATACCACTACTCCACTGAAGCGGTCTTCTGATGACGCTGGGCTGAAGTCGCCCCGAGAGAACAAGACACGTTCTGTCCCCAAGATCTCCAAAGCTCGTGCATGTGAGTCTTCCCCACGTCATCTCCGATTTACCCTCCCCTCTCCTCAATTAACGGGGAGCAGGCGCAGAATGCAAGCGCCATAAGATTCGCTGTGAGTTTCGGACAGGAGAGTCAACTTGTACAAAATGTACTCGCAGCGGTATCAAGTGCGTCGTAAACGACTTTTCACAGAAATTCGTTGATGATGATGGGATGTGTGTATGACCCCGCCCGGCTCTCAAGTGAGGTCTGGAGCTATCAGGGGCTACGCTAATTCAATGGCTCTGATCTAGATGGAAGTCACAGGCCAATGCGACTATGCAACAGCTGCAGGCGGCTGTTTCGCATTTATTGCGACAAGGCGGACTGCCTGAGCTCTCAACTTATGCTACCGGGGACACTCTGAATGGCCCCAGTCCCGCTGAATCGTATCATGGCCATCATCCCTCCATCGATAGGTCACAGACACAATCCCGCCACCAAGAGGGATTGGGGGTTGTGATGGATATTACCCGGGAACCATCGCCGGAGCAGGATCTCCAAGACCCAGATTTGGTCCCTGCTCCTATGCGTAGTCTATACGAGGTCACTAAATTGCGAAACTTGAGAAATAATCATGTTGAGGCACCGAAACAGACGTTGCTGGAGGAAGATTTTATATCGCGGCGATTGATCTCCCTTCACGAAGCGGAGGAATTATACGCGTACTTCAGTCGCACTATGAACCAGCTACTATGGGGTGGAATAATTCTTGTACACCGTGATTTAACATCCGTCCGTCGCGCATCGACACTTCTTTCTGCAGCAGTTTTGACTGTCGCCGCCCTTCACATTCCGAACCGCACCGAAACCTTGAACCGGTGTTATGGCGAGTATGTAACGCTCGTATCTAACATGGCCCTCACTCGGGCCCACACCCTGGATGATATTCGAGGCCTCTGCGTGGGGGCATTCTGGCTATCAGAGTTGAGTTGGAAGTTGTCCGGACATGCGGTGCGAATCGCGACCGAGATGGGCCTCCACCAAAGTTATCAGCGCCTGACCCGTGGACACACAGATCAGTATGAACGCGCCCAACTCTGGTATCTGCTTTACGTGTGCGACCATCACTTCAGTATTGCCTATGGGCGGCCACCTGTCATCCACGAGGACGTGGTGATCCGTAACTACGAGACCTTCCTCGCGCTGCCGATGATCGTCCACGGAGACACTCGCCTTTTAGCTCAAGTTGCTCTCTTTATGATTTTAACCGAGGCATATCGGATGTTTGGTAGCGACACTGAACAAGCATTAACCGAAGAGGATTTTGGACAGTTGCGTGCATACAATGTCGCAGTAGACCAATGGCGACTCCTCTGGCAGCCTCGATCGGGTGAGTGAATTTCAACCCGATTTCCAGCAACTCTTGGTTCTGACAGAAATTGGAATCCATTACAGCCGATAGCGCCTATGTGCGGACTTATCCATCCAAGGGGGTGGTTCTCCACTACCATTTCGCAAAGTTTCAGCTGAACTCGCTTTCTCTTCGTGCGCTCTCACCATCCAACACACCCGTCTTCTCTATGGACCGCAAGGAATCGGCCAACATTGCAATTTCCTCGGCAATGGCATGTCTTAATATGGTTCTCGAGGAGCCCGATATTCGGGATGCGATTGTCGGTGTTCCGATCTTCACCCACACTATGGTTACATTCTCCGCTGTTTTCTTACTCAAGGTCGTAATCAATTGGAATACCGCTTACCTTAGCATCAATGCTCGCCAAGTACGACGGCTAGTTGAGCGTGTGATCGAATTGATGAACTGTGTCTCTGCAGGCGAGCGACATCTTACTCGACATATCGCACGTGGATTAGGCAAGATGCTTGAGCGCTTTGACTCTTGGGAGGCTGCTTGGCAATTTCAAGGAGGTAACGATACTGCGGTGGAAGGCCGCGAGGTCCCTGGAGGAGCCAACGCCATGGCACAGGGTTTCCCTCCGCCCGATCTGATCTATGGCATGGTCGGCACATACGGATTTGGTCTTGATGAGAATTTGCTAGATCCGAGCATGGCAGATTTTGAATTCCTAGCGCAATGAATCTTAAAGGCTTAACAAGGATCTCAAGACCTGAATTATTTAAATACCATGGGCACGGAATGTTAGAATTGGTGACACGCACAGTTCTGTCGTAGACCACGCACCCAGACTCCACCCGGAGTGTAAGCTATCACCTGTGGACCTCAACCCTAAGGTCTTGTCACTCACATGTCGTCACCGTCACCTCCCGCTTATGCCCTTGGGGAATTTCCCCCTTCGCTCTGAGAACTACCTTTGCTTTCTTCTATAATTCCCGTCCTCCCCCTAGACTTGTGACTTTTGCCAATCCAGAACCTTCTATCTCTCTTTGCCATATAGTCACCCTTCCCTACTCTTCCTACTTGGTTCTTACCTACCCACTAATTCTTTACCATGACTACCCGCAAGAGAAAGCAAGAAGCCGAGGAGGAGCTCCAGGCCCTTCCTAGCGATGTGAGCGAAGAGGAGGAAGAGTGAGTTGTTCCACCCCATCATCAAGTCTCCCTTTCTTCCCACTCTTGCACCACTGCGCTACGCATCATTCCACTGCAGCTCCGCACGGCCGTACTAGCTGCGCACCCATCACGACTTGATCTCGCACCCGCAGTGAATTGAAATGTCTCGCACGAAAACTCTCAAAAAATAATCGGTCTTTGCTAATCAGATCACGCGGTGAATCAGATATGAAGACTCCGAGCCCGAAGGAGAGGAAGGAAGTGACGAGGGCGAACAGGAGGAGGCGGAGGGAGAGGCGGAGTCAGAGTCTGAGGAAGAGGAAGAGGAGGAAGGAGAAGCAGCAGAACCAAAAGCAGAAGTCAAAGGCGACGACGAGGGTACGTTTCCAAGCTGAGCCTTAATGAATATGCTCGTCCTCCCTCACCTCGCACACGCTAACACACATCCCCCTCCTCCAGGCGCTCCGGCAGCCAAGAAACAGAAGACTGCACCCGTTGTTGACGATGATGAGAAAGCCGAGAACGGCGCAAAGGGCGAAGAAAACGAGGAGCCCGATGAGGGAGAGGATGTTGAAGAAAGTGCCGCTGATACCGCTACGGAGAGTGGCCCAGCTGCCGCTGCCGCTGAAGCTAAGGGTGATGTTGTCCCCAAGGAGTCGGACCTGCTCGAGATTGAGGCGGCCGAGAAAGAGTAGTGATTTTGCGATCGAGAATTTCGGCTCTTCGAGGCAAGAATTTTGTGCTGATCTCGAATGGAATTCGCTCTTGGGTGGGTGATTGGATTGCTTTGCTGTGATAACCTCCTGTACGCAATGAGAGGTGGTATGAATGGAGATGTACTGTAGCTTTGAAGCGAGCTCTGATCTAAACAGACTCAGGGCCATCAAGCTAGTTCATGGAAGTAGCCAATCCTCGCTGCGTTCTTGGGGACTTGGAGATGACGTGCATAGAAATCTCCATTGAAGCTCATCTACTGGCTGGGTTCTATGTTCCTCTCCACTGTAGTGGGTTCCGATGCACCTAAATGGATACAAACACCCAAGCTCCTACTCCGTATGAGATCCACCTCTTATCTTGGACGGGGCACACAACCAGATACGAATGGAGCATAGAAGATGTAATATATACTATCTTCGAGAACTACCTAATAATCGGATCAAGGAGGACGTGAAAAATAAAGAAATGTCATCAATCAAGGACGGTCATTAGCCCTGCTTGCGCCCCTCTTTCTGTCTTGATATCCATGAGAAGACATTAAACGGTCTTGGAACTCAGTTCGTGTCTGATCATCACTAACATGTTTAAGTATCGCTACCACTGCTGCGGAAGGTGGCACATAGTTGACAGTACTGGTGTGTGAGGTCGAGGACGGCTTGAGGCAGATTTGTCGCTTGGACAATGCTGCGGACTTTGACAGCACCCTCGTCCTCAATGAGCTTACGAACCAGAAACAAGAGTTCGGGGGAGAACTAAGGGGTTATTAGTGATAGTGATCAAAGCGATAGTAACCAGCGAAAGGAGCATACCTCGGAGTACCAGCGATATTGCCAGGCGATGAGGCGGATCAACGCACCGAGCATGCCTCTAGTATCATTTCGCTGTTCGTACAATTTCAACACTCCACGCATGGCCTTGGGTGAGAACCGAGTGGCTAGACAGCTCTGGTATGCCTCGATACTTTCGTCGAAATGGTGCAGTCGCTGCGCCAGCTCACCAAGAATTTCCCACTCGGTAGCAGACTTCTTGTATTCCATGGCTTGTTGACGGAACTGGGCCATTTCGGTACGCCAGATGGTGTAAATGCGCAGGTCCTCGTAAAGAACCATAAACAAGTTATCTAGCCACCTTTCACACAGTCGCTTGTTTCGGAACTGCGTATATGAAGCGTGAGATGGGTCGGGCTGTGACTCAAACAGTTAGCATATGATAAAATACGTCCGTGATGGGTGTGCAACACACGTCTTCACTGCCAGACTTGACAACTTCGGATGCTACTGTTTGCTCCGGTCGCTCTAGGGGACTTTCAGCGTGGCTGTCTCCATGGGCACTTTCTTCCGAAGACGGCTCGGTCGGGTCAGGGCCAGCTACAGAGCCAGAGTTATCTTCGTGGTCAGAGATTTTACCATTGGTCTCCGCACCCGATGATGTAGCGGGCTTAGGAACATGCTGCCGCTCAACTCGGTATTCTTCCTCCATCACGAAAACCTGGCTGCGAGCCTTAAGTAGCTGATCCCATCCAATGGCAGCTGCGATTTTCGTCAGAAGATTGTAGGCCTTCAAGAAAGTACCTTGATAACTAGAGGCATGGATCTTTCGAAGCGAAGGGTGAACATAGTCGTGAGGGTCTCCCTGCTTTGGCTGGCCTTCGTCGATTTCGTCGAGAATACTTTCAGCAAGAATTGGGAGCATAATGCGTGACGGTTGTGGCATGCGAGGGGTATCTTTGTCTTGATAGGTGAACATGGGGCAAGAGTTGAGAGTCAGAAGCGCCAAGTCCCAGCGTTCCATGCTGACATATACCTCTGCGAGGCGAGCCCATGTACTGAATTCGCTAGGAGCTGCAGTAACTGCACGCTTAGCGCACTCAAGTGCCATCTCGCTTTCGCCTTTGCTTTGGCAGAAACTAGCCTGGCAGTCAAGTAGAGCATAGTCCATTGGAACATCTTGTAAAGCGTTGTACATGAGGCGTACCGCTTGCACCTCCTCGTCTGCCATAATCTGTACACGAGCTAGGAGGGACGAAACCTCCACATCTTTCGTGCGGAGCTTCTGGAACAAGTTGATTCCAGAGGTATAGCGGCCAGTCGTGTGAATGTATTTGAGGATGCCGGATGTGAGGTGGTTGCTCACAGTGTTAGGGACTTGGGTTTCCGGGTCAGAGCTCAGTTGGCGTCCTAAATGTTGTTAATCAGAGAGGCAGCAGGAAAGTCGGTTGGACGTTCATACCCAAGAAGAAAAGTTTCTCAGCAGCATCCAAGAATTTGTGCTCCATCTCTGTGTTTGTCACGGGGTTGAATCGTCGGACTCCAACAATCCTCTTGACCGAATCTCCGCTTCCATCATCTGCATAGTGATAAGCCCTCAGAACAGCGCAAAGGAAGGTCTCTAGCCAAAGAGCCTCAGTAGCAACGCGCTTGTCGCCCCGCTCATCAATGCAGTAGCTCTCCAAACTTCCGGGGATTTTTACTTCGACGCGCATATCGAGGTGGGAGAATGCATTGTAGCAACTGTGTAGATATCAGCATACGGACCAAACGCCGTACATACATCGGATTATTACCAGTAGATCCCCGAAACCACTTTATGCGTCTTGTCGAGAGGAGAGAATGTGAGAGTATTAACATAGGCGGCTAAACTAGCGGACGAGGAGGCATCGATTCCGGTGACATGATGATAAACTCCGGTCTGCGATCAATAGAAAATCAATCAGTTTTTGTTCACACATGGGAATTAAATGAAGAAAGGAAAGTTGGTATCTTGTGTCTTACCTGGCGAGTCGAATTGGCCTTAGGCTGCTTCACCAAATAGACCAGGTCTGGAGGGCCTAGTTCTCGCAAGCTCTGCAAGGACTCCGTTCGCGCATCGACCGCGACATAGATCTCTTCCTCCTCGTGGATCCTGGATGATGTTCTCAATGTCAATCACAACTCCTGCAATTGGCCTAGTGGCAACTCTTCGAACAGTGGCCCCATGCATACGCAACCCGGGGAACACGTAAATGGGGACAGGAGCACATACTCAGGAACAGCGGGCGCGACCATGGCGCCTGCACAAGCGCGGTAGAATCAAAGATGAGGGTATCTTAATTAACGAATTCTGCGTGAATTGTAAGACGTTTCAGGGGTTGCGCTGAGGGGAACGTAATACTCCAACTGTCAATACTCTCTGCCCCCAAGAAAAGGGTCAGGCCACAAGGCATCCAGGCACCCAGGCCCCAAATACTTTCTCCGATTGGTGTGACGCGTGGGCGCCCACGGGTATGTCTGCTCGCGATAACCAATTGATTTGCTCATTATTGTTGCCCGCATCTAGGGTCTCGATTGCCCGATGCTGTCGCCTGATTTCTCTTTTCCATCTTATATTTGAGGCACCCACGTGGAGCTCATACCATGTCGAGCTGGGTCGCATTGAATGTTGAGCCCGATGAGGCCGTCGAGGAGGAAGTTGACGACACCAAGGAGCTTCAGATCGAGGAAGCTTTGAAGCTTTACCACAGTGCCTTGAAGCTACATTCACAGGGGCCAGAGCATTATTCTCAGGCTGCCGAGGCATACGAAGCTCTTCTCAATTCGGAGATATTCAAATACCCAGAGTCCATCTCCGATTTCAAAAGGGGTGCATTCGACGATGCGCACGATGAATTTGCTACAGAATCAATTACTGAGTTTAACGTGAACGACTCTACCTCCAGTCTCTTCCAGACGCTCTATCTGTCCTACAAAAACCACGGCAAATTTGTCCTCGATTCAGTAGAAAGCTCCATACGAATACCGCCACAGACCCCCGAATCCGAGCAGGAAACACAGCGGAAGTTGACGAAGGCATCCAGGACAGCTTTAGGATCTTTTGGGGATGCCTTGGAACGTGACGACTCAGATCTCAACCTCTGGAGGCAAAGCGCAAGGCTCAGCAGTTCCCTAAACAGCTACCGCTTGTCTCGGTATTGTTTGGAAAGTGTACTAGCGGACGATTACAACCGCTTGGAACTACGACCAGAGCAGCTGGGACTGGAAGAAATATTTGCGGAGCAGCGTCTGCGAAGCACGCTCCAGTCCCTCTTTGACAAGTTATCGGCCTCGCAAATCCCGGCCAAGAGGCCAAAGAAGGCTTTGTTGAAATATCTTAAACAACATGAGGATCCATATCCGAACTTGCCCGCCCTTCCGGCCGATTTACGCCAATTGAATCCGTCAAAAGGCCCTCTTGCGCTGCACGCTTCCCGCCGAGTGATAAACCCTGCTGACCCAACCTGGGAGTCAGTTGGCAAGGCACTTCTCGAAGCACTTGATGAAGAAGATGATGACTCGGCCGCCTCAGTTCCCACTCGGTCCCTCGTCATTATCTTATCAGCTAGAAGCTCCCAGGCTCCAACTACACCGATCGCAAATGGAGAAGGCATGGAAATGGCCATAGATGCCGAGGGGGACGGAAACAAGGGTGGTAACGAGGTTTCTGACGTGGTTGCTGACGAGGTTACTGACGAGGTTACTGACGAGGTTGCTGACGAGGTTGCTGACGTTATGCTTGAGACAACCGAAAGTTATGGCAAGCTGGAACAAAGTTCATCTCAGCCAACGAACGAACCCTCTGAGGCAGGTGAGGAACAATTGACCATCGATCAAAGTGCTGAAAAACAATTGATGGAGTCGTTAGAACATCAATCGACACATCCACAAGATAAACAGGCCGAACAAGATGAAACTCACGCAGAAGAAGTTGACACAAACCCTGCAGTGGACATTCGCAAAAGATCGTCTGCATCAGCTGCGAACGAAGAACCGGAGGGTGGCCGCATGAAAAGCAGACGGACCCGTGCCCGAGAGTCAAATGCCGACATTTTGGCGCCACCTGAAGAGGTTGCATTTGATCAAGACAAGTATTATGAAGACCGTCTTGAGGTTTTTACCAATGCCGATGATTGGATGTTCAGCACTGTCGACTCTCTCTTCTCGAAAGTCGGAATTGATGCACTTGGTAGCATTGAAGGTCTGAGAGGAAAGTGCTCTGGGAATGACTCAGTTGATACACCCCAAGATCTGGAGACGCGATTGTTTCAGGATTTTCGAGGTCTCGTCAAGACGTGGGATGACGAAAAGTCTCGATTGATGCAGCAAAAGGACGATTTTTCTCCGTTGAGGGACGTTCATGGCACGAGCAAGTCAGGATTGGCTGTTTTCCTTGAGCACTCAAGAAAAGGTTCCCGAAAGCCAGTTGTCGAAGAAGAGCTTTCTTCTGGGGAGCAGATTTATGTTTTTTCCAATACCATCAACTCCGAATGGCTGCACCCCCGTGAAACTTCATTCGAATGGCTAAAATGCCTTCTCATGCCGGATTTCGGCCAAGAGTCTCCAAACTGGTCGACAGCACAGTCGACTTACGCCAGTTTTCTGTGGTCAGAAGACCTCAAGAAGACAGTTTTAGAAATTCTAGTTCGGGAGGACGAATTTATCTATCGGGCGTGCAGGGAGCTGATCGCCGACCTCGAAGCTCGAATTATCAGTGCAAGCATTGGAGCTCCATTTGAATATTATGCTAAAGATTTCTTCGAGCTTGAGATGATACAAACCATCTATGAACTTCACTTGGATGTTTTTGCGTTGGTTGAGAGTCTTGGCAGTGAGACAGGCCAGGAGACTCGACTCGCACAGCGTGATCGACTGGCTCGCTGGGGTATGCTAGCCCGGTCATCCATAGATCATTTTGTCAACCACGGCCCATCCGACGAATTTCAATCAAACCTCATTCTGCGCCATTTGTGGGCATCAGCATTCCATATTAGTCTTTCGGGGGATGCACAGCGAGAGCATATCCTGCTCTGTCTTCAAGATCTGAAGCACATACTTCAATCTCATGGCAACCTTAATCTCAATCTCATAAACAACGCTACGATGTCAGAATTGTCCGCTGCTGTGATAGACCAGGAGGTCTTGAAACTCAAGTGCATGGACTTCTTCGCCAAGGTATTCAACTCGGACTCTGAGGATCCTGTGACTCTCATTGAGGCAATCGAGCCAATTCTTGAACCCTCGTCGATTGAGTATGCTGAAACGCCAACGGAGTACGACATGAATCACCCTACCTCACATCTCGGTGAGATGGCTGCCTTCCTCGATAGAGGCGATGCTACATTGCGATTATTCCTCTGGCGCCGACTCCAGGGGGCATACCAAGCCATTGACTATCCACCTAAAGTTGTCTCGTGCTATTTACGAAGCATCGAAGTGGTAATGACAGAACTCGAGGCAGCGAAACACAGCGAAGAAACAAGCCAACATCGTCAAGTAGTTCTGTTGGGCTGGCTAAAAGCCCTCGATGGCATTGTGGCCAAAGCTATACTGCTTATTCTGGAAGAGTCCGAACAAGCGTTTGATTGTTTTGACATGGAGCATTTACAAACCTCGATGTCTGCTATAGCCCGCCTCGTAAGGCTTTTGCACAGCTTTATCCTTTACGAGGACTCAGTGCGAGTAGGCCAGATTTCTGGTCGCGACTTCCGAGGCTCGTTGGCGAAATCGCTAGAAAACATGAAAGAAAGAATGCGAGAGCTTTATGTTCGCTGCTGGATCCTACAATACACCCTCTTTATGGAAGCGATTTCCCAGAACAAGGAGCTTTTCGATGATCCTCTTGAAGACCGTATCCATTTCCTTCGTTCCGTCCATAATGCATTGGGCGTTCGATCGATGTGCAGATACTCGCAAAAGAGGTTCTTGAAGCTTCTGAAAGCGGAGCTCTTTGGCCTTGAAACCAAAGGCGACTATGAATTTGATGTGTGTCAACTACTTCTCGATCTCCATGGTATCAAATTCTCTGCATTCGATGGGACTGTGGATCATGGATGTCCTCCCGAGAAATTAGATCGCCCTACAGCGATCATGATGATCGACTTCGTTCTGCAACAAGCGAACAAGATGAATATGAAGGACTTATCGAAGTCCGAATTGAAGACTACCATTGAGAAGATGCAACAAGCGATTGGCCCCGCCAAGGCTTCTTCCCAGACACCTCAGTTGACTTTCAATCGTCGCCTTGTGAATGCATATCTCAAAGCCCCACTAAACCCATCCAATTTACTCCGTGCTGTTCAGGGCATTACAGAGCTTTCGACGACGATAGTTCCCACTGAAAATGCGAAGATCGCTTCGAAGGGGTGGTTTTTTCTTCTTGGCCATGCCGCACTCACCAAGTTCCGATCCCAGAAGCGCCTCAGCCCCGGTTCAACAAGCGAGCTTGATGATGCTATCGGGTTCTTTAGACAAGACTTGGATCATGGAACAGGGAGATGGGAAACCTGGTATAGGCTCGCTCAAACCTATGACTCAAAACTTGATGAAGACATTACATGGACAGCTGATAAGATCAACAATAATCGGTCGGACTTGGCGGCACTGCAGCGAAATGCTATTCACTGCTATGCCATGGCTGTTTCAACGGCAATGAGAACGGCAGAGCCAACGGCAGAGACCAGAGAAGTGATTTCAGATCTTTATTCAGACTTTGGTATCCGCCTGTACTCATCATCTCGCGAGCCGCTCTCCATGGGAGCCTTCAGTGTTGCAGACTTCCCCCGTCATTTCAGCAGCGAGGAGAGCCAACAAATGTACAAGGGAACGCCCTTTAAGGAGATGTCGGCTTATTCAACATGGAACTTTGCTAGCAATCTTCTCAAACGGGCAGCTGTTGACAAGTCTAAGCGATGGATGTAAGTGATTTCCATGGGACTTGACATAATTGGGCATGTGAAAAAAACTCTTAACACATCAGTAGGACTCACTACACGCTTGGCAAGTGTCTTTGGAAAATGTTCACCAGCGATGATTCTTTGAGGACGACTTCCAAAAAAGTCGAAGTGCAAGAGGTGATGAATGCTGTTCTGGATGCTATTGCTGCACTTCCTCAGCGAAGAGACTCACGCTCTGATCCGATCTTTGAGCCACATTTCAAACTGTTCTCTTTTGTTCACAAACTTGTTCTTCGAGGAGACATGACGGTAGGTTTCATCGCTCCTGATACGATGAACTCATTCTGATAGCAAAAACAGCCTGCCGAAGGAAGCAACGCCCTCCTTGCAACGCCTTGGGCCCGTAAGATCGAGCCTCCTGAGAGTATGGATGGATGGAATTCATACATACTCGAAGTCCTTCGGAAATATAAGAGCGCAGACAAGTCCAACTGGCATCATCGCATGGGTGTAAAGGTACACTACCCGCAGCTTGATTTTTTTTAGTTCATACTGCTTACAATCCCTAGGCTGCTCATATCATTTACGACGACCAGCAAAATGCAACCGCTGCTATTGCTGCCAAGCAGGAACTCTCCCAAATATTCACCAAGACACTTACGATTCAAGTGTGGCGACCAGAATTCGAACGTCCAGGTCGACATTTCGTTTACACGACCCGCTACGTATACTTTTTTGTTGGCCTGCTAGACCAGCTTGACGATCGCGCAAGCTTAGATCAACTCTTGCGTCGCGTGAGAAAGAAGCAAGGCGATTTCTTCAACCATACCAAGCTGTGGGAGGATATTTGCCTAACCTATGCAAAGATGATCCGCCGTGCAGCCAAGATCAAAGAGGGTCACGAAGAAAGCGTATTCAAACCAATCGGGTGGGAAGAGTTCTCTACCAAGACAGCTCGCTTGGAAAGTCTACCTCAGCTGGGACCAGAGAGCCAAAGTGTCTTAGAACTGCTTCGAGACGCCTTGGAGGTAAAGAAACTCAATAACAACCTCATGAAAATCACCATGTTCGAAGACCTAATTGCCGACCTTTACGCCCGACTCTATGAGATCAACACGCCCCACCTGGTCGAACAGCAAACCGAGGAAAATAAAGAAATATTGAAAGTCGACCACCTCCTAATGGTAGGCGAAGGCCTTCCGGCGACCTCAACCCCTTCAGCATCTGTCCCAGCATCTGATACACCAGCACCCCGCGGCCGGACAAAGGGAATCGCCCGCCGCGACATCCAGAAACGCGCCGACACAATCGTGAACACGAAGCTAGCTCCTCGAGCCGTGGCAAGTAAAATCACCGCCGCGGGCGAGACGGAGCCACCTACAACTCCCCAGGGCATTGGGTTGACTACTGCAGGGCCCAATTCTGCGCCTCTGGGCTTTGGTAAACAGGGTTCTGCTACTGGGGATGGCTCGGCTGAGCCGAGAGATGAACATGATAGTGTCGACGAGACTGAGCTGAGCGATAATGAGGACACGAAGCTCGGCGATGAGGGGACTTCGGCGCTTTTCCCTCATATTACTGATGCAGAGGAAGGGGGGACTGGTGATGAAGGGGATGGTGAGGATGATGAGTGTAGTCATGAGAATGAAGGCGAAGAAGGTGATGGGGATGGAGAGGGAGATGGGGATGGAGAGGGAGATGGGGATGGAGAGGGAGATGGGGATGGCGAAGTTGATCATGGTGCGACTGAGGGCGAGGTAGATGATGATGAGGAGATGCACGATGAGGAAATACATGGTGAGGAGACAAAGTTATAGGAAGAAAACAGAGAAGAAGGAGATTCTCACTGCCGATCAGTCTCCCAATGATACTGAGACTGAGCGTGTCACGGACAGACGAGATACCGGGAAACAAAATGCCATGGACTTTAAGCCCTCGGAGTCCTGAAGGATCTGCTACACATCCAAGGAGGGGATTGCTCTCTTTTTCGTTTTCGGTTTATGGAGTACATGGGGGTATTCTTCCTAAGACGGGGATCATTTTAGACTACAGGATGGCGTTGGGAGACAGGTGGCTTAGGTGGCTTACGGGCTAGCATGTACAATATGTATTCACAAAATCCAATTCTAGGATTGTGAATTGGGACAGGAAATATAAACAAACATTTAAAACAAAGGATTGATTGCCCCCGAACGCCTTAGCCAAGGGATATCATTCCATATTAACCCAAAAAAAAAGAATGGACCCAGGGATCAGAAGCTCTAGTATCTCACGCAGCACAAGAAGAGGCAGTCATAACAGTCATGATAGAGTAGAGGAAAAAAGATAGCTTAGATCTGGTCCTCTGGGGCGAGATCCCATTTCCGGGTCCCCATCTTTCTCATTCTCTTGATAGGCGAGGCTCCGGGGGATGGAGGAGTAAACATAGCATCTGCGAGCTTTAGTTGATCCACGCGTTGCAGCGCATTCTCAACATCGCTCCCGCGGGTGAGAAGATTGGACCGCGCGGGAGTGGTATTCTTTAGTTTTTGCTTTCTTGTCGGGGATTGGTTGTGCATCTCACGCTCAAGAGCGGCGAGTTTGCGGCGAAGCTCGTCATTTTCTTGCTCAAGCTCTTCCACTCGTTCGTTCGACCCCGAATCTTCAAAGACTAGAGACAAAAGTCAATTCAAGAGTTCTTAAATTTCGCTCATTGTGGACCGACTTACTTTGGAATCCCCGGGATACAAGCTCAACCTTCTTATCAATGTGCTCATCATTACGACCGATCTGGGAAAGATTAGCGTTTGGCAAAATTTGGGCGGGTTCAGGGCTACAAACTTGCTCATCCCATGCCGTCTGCCAGCGTCGCCTTTCCTCTTCCGATTTCTCATCCATCTCCGCCCAGCATTCTTCTCGCACATCTTGCTCGATCGTGAGACATCTTTCTTCCGCAGCTCTCAGTCTCATTTCAACATCAGACCGTGCAATCTCTTCTTCAGCTAGCCTGACAGCAAGGCTGTGGCAATCGCGCGTGAGGCGTGTAATCTCAGCAGCAGCTCTCTCGAGCTCTTGGGTTGAATCAAAATTCGGCGAAGTACAGACACTCGCTGAGCGGTGACTGCTAGAAGCGACGGACGAAATAGATTCACAAACCGAGGGTGCTCTAGGAACGGTTACCTCACGGGCTAATGCGGAGTAACGCAAAATTTGGGAGGTGGCATTGAAATCACCGAGAGGGTCAGCAGTAACGATCATGATAGCCTTCTGGGGATATTGGCCTCTGGACATTTGATGAGACGTTGGGAATGAATTTGAAAATAGGAGCTCGGTCAATTTGCACTGCCGGTAAGGAACAAGAGCAGTCTTTATAGTTTAGCAGCTGCCAAAAGAAACACGGTGATGATGAGTAGTAAACACACCTTCAATCCGTCCTGTATGTTGCTTTGCATCTGTAGGCATTGGCCGAGATACATCAGGCTTTCGTTGATTTTGCCCGCCTCAGCGAGTGTGGCACCGGCTGTCTTTGCCGTTCTCGCGCGCTCGGAGCCTAGATTAGTTAGTAGCAACCCTAGAGTTCAGGATTCTCTTACTGACCAGCAAGATCTACAACAGTCAGGGTGTTCCCAGCCCAGTTGTGTTCACCAGTCCGCTTAGAGTACGTGCGCCTCTTGACTTCCAGGGAAAAAAAGCCATGACTTCGAGAGCTAACGCTATTCATTCCAGTGCCAGTAACCTTACGTTCGGTCAAGCCAACATCCAAAACTGCCAGGGCTTCCTCGTAGCTACTACAGGCAATTTTGCGTAGTCCCGCAACCAATTTCCGATCTGGTGAGCCCTCGGTAGGCTTAAAGAGCAAAGGACGTCGTCGATCCTTTTGGTTATTCCCGCGGGACATTGTGCCTGGACCTGAGGGGCCAACAGAGGGAGAAAGAAGATCGAAAATCCGGTCATTGTATACCTCATACATTGACACCAAAACGACATAGTCGGCATTTGAATCTATGTCCACGGTAAGGTGGCCCATATCGGGCAGCCTAGGAAGGGCGCATGGTCGTTCACGTATGTGACGGCGGGGGAAGTGCAAGGCAGGGGTAGGTTCCTTAAAGACATAGAGTCGAGATTTAGCTGACTTGGGCTCTAACGGATTGGAGTGGGTATAGGGCATAGGATGCGAAAACCCCGGGATGGTCCATCCAGGGGACTCAATTGAGGCCTGGCCAAAGCCAGATCGAGAAGCGTCATTGGGACTGGTGCCAGAAGACCAATCAACCTTACGGGGGCTTCCGGGTTTAGACATTGGCCTTGGGAGAGACGATCCAGGGGTGCGCGGTCGCGGGGTCGGGGATCCTTGGGGGGAGTTCAGGGTAAAGGGGCTTCGTACCATCAAAGGGGTATTGGCACGAGACGGGCTCATGGGGGTTTGCGCTCTCGACGCACGTCCAGTTGGCTCACCATACACGGCGTCCAAAAATGTCTTAGCGGAGAACAATTGGGCTTCAGAAGCGTCCGCCGCAGCCAGCGAGGCAAGCATTACGGGGGTAATGCTACCGTCATCGGTTTTGGTTGTTGACTCTAGGGAGCGGAAGATAACGTCAAGTGCCATTTGCGTCATTCCTCGTTCGGTCTTAGACCCTAGAATAGTGTGGCTCTGTGTATGACCAATCTATTAGCTTGGTTATCACGACACTACAATGTTAGAGACCAGACCTTTCCACTTCCTGTGACTCCCAGAGTAGCGACTAGCCCATCTCGGTTCTCCTTCAGCACTCCGCGTATGATGGGCTCCATCCCAGTGTCATGGAAGACATCCAGTTGCGAGGCACCCTCCTCGAAGACCTTGGTGAAACCAAACCTCTCGACAGCACGCTTTCTCGTATCATTTGATGGTTGAAGAGTAATATGTGTTGATCCAGGCGAGACGATATCGGTTTCCCCCTGCGAAGCCTCTGGCGGTTCAACATTCAAAAAACGGTCCGATTGGTTGGCGTTTTGGGACATCGGGGGCCGTAACCGTAAATAAACTTGAAACAGCGATGTTTGAGGCTGTTTGGGCGGCATTTTGGGCGGCTTGTGAAAATCTAGGCAACACGAGGACCAACGACGTCGGAATACGCTGAGCTGTCAAAACTTAGAAAGTCCAGAACGCAGATCAACATTGCGCCTACCGCTTTTGGTTTTGGGGTTGCCCTAACAACAGCCATGTCACGTGCAGCTATATCGACTCGATAGTTCATCTTGTGAGAGCCTCTAGCTTTCAATTGAAACGATTGCATTCGCATTGAAGATAACATCTACAGTACCCGCATATGTCTCGGATTTCGGATATGGCACTGTTGCAAGTTCCCATCAGGAGGGTTCACGGATTCTATAAGCTTAAGTTGGCCTACTTCATATTAGGTGGTCCCATCAATTAAATCAACTACAATGTAATGTTTTTGACAAAAATTCGGTTTTTGCACCAAATCAAGGGGAGGGAATCTTGTGGATGTACCGAATGGATGCGCCGCAATTGCCTCCACGATTCTCTTCACTGTCTCTGGCGGTACCCGTGAAGATCACCGCTTGTATGGGACTTCTACCAAAGATGAAACCCTCGAATTAACCAGATATCACAGCAAAGTCGAGTCCTAGAAAGTCACTGTCCTTCTTTCATTGTCTGTCCTTCTACTCGCGGCAGGTTTTACCACCCGAATTATTGAAGCGTTCGGGCAGTGGGGAAGTATAGGTGTTTATATCGCAAGCACCGCCTCGCCGGACCGTCAGGAACAATCCATTCCACCATGAGATAACGCTACTGACAATAAATTTTCGACAACTCTAGACCGGTTGAGGAGAGTTTGAAATTCTTCACTTTGGGTCGTATGGAAAACTTGACTGCCGCGAGTCTGAATGCCTACACTGACCTCGTAAATACCAATTCTGTATTGGGACAGGAGTGATCTTTGTGCTTCTTTAGGACTATGTTCATGTCTAGCAATACCACTTTGCTAGATGTCTTTTATCCCCTGCACTGGCTTCCACTATCTAAAAAGAAATATCTCGCTGAAGACGGTAGTACGGAGATCGATGGCCCTGACTATGACGATCTCTGCCATTGGCTCCAAACTGTAGTCGAACCGTTTGATCTCTACAGACTGATCACTAACCCAGGCAAGAAAGCCAAGTATTGGGAAGCGAATTCAAATCGAAAAAAGGACAACACAGCCAAGGCCACTCAAGAAGTATGAGCGTATTCCATTGGGGGGGGGGATAATTTCCTTCGTTCTCTGATGTTCAGATTATCACTCAGGTTCATTACTTCTGTTCATCTCGTCTTCCTGTAATCTGCATCTCATATGCTTTGTAGAATAGGCATCTGGTTGAGAGTCGCTGAAATCTAGATCGAACCAAAAAAAAGACCAGAGCTCACCAATCTTCTTTTTCTTTACCAAGCTCCTCTTGGATTTCCCAACTATATCGAGCAAACTTGCTCGCTCGACGAATCCGCTCTCCATAAAAGATAAACACAGGCGGTACGATACAAAATGCAGTTGCCACAGCGGCAAGCACAGACATAGCAACGTTATTTCCTAACCGATCAAACATCTGTGTGGTAAACAGTGGAAAGGCACCCGACAGGAGCGCTCGCATGAATGCAACGGCAGCGGTGGCACTGGCTGAATAACTCAGATAAGCATCAGAGATATACCCATATAGCACGGTATCCATTTCTGTCAGTGCGTAGCCCACCAGAACGAGGGAAATCGTGGGCACGATCCACGGAGTTTGGGTCTCGGGTGGAATAGTCCAGGCAAACCACCATAAACCAATCGCCAGGAATGGACCGCCAAGGCCTAACCCAATGAGCTTATGTTCTGGTTTAATAGGGCGTCCCTGTTTGCAGAAATGCTTGATAATGTAGCTGTCTAGCACGCGAGTTAATGTGCTGAGACAGGTTCCCAGGCCGAGAGCGATGAACGTGAGTGAAGCGTCGGTTTTTGTAAATCCCATTGACTCGTAGATGGGTTGGAGAGCTTCTGTGAAAATGTAGATGATAGACATGGCGATGGAGATCATCATCGCGATGATAAAAATGATCGGTTCTTGGAAGAAGAGCTGGGCTGGGCGAAAGAGAGCTTCTTTGACAAATGTATTGAGATCCGGGATACGGTCGTGGTTGAGTGGCGGTGGAATAGTCTGCACAGTAGTCATGTCGGTGACTCGTTTCACCTCGTATGCCAGCAGTAAGGAAGGTCGTGATTCGCGAATGAAACAAAGGCCACCCGTAATTGCAGCAATAATGACTGCAAAGATATAGAAGTTCCATCGCCTGGGGAGTCGTGAGAATTTTACAGAGACCATAGTTGAGGGCGACATACCAATCAAGACCTGCAACTATATAGCTACTCATGATTGGACCAAGAATGAGACCAATATTCGAAGCAACTGTCCAATAGTACATGGTCCATATTCGAGCATGCGTGTTGAACATATCCTCGATGCTGCCGCCAATAATGGTATAAGGGATCGCAGAAAGAAGCCCTGCGGTGATGCGCATGAAGATTATGACCGGCATTGAACGAACTAGACCGATGATCACACAGCAAATGGCGCTGAGACCACTGCTCACAATGTACATGTTCTTGCGCCCAAATGTCTCCGACCACGGGGGAAATAAGATGGTGCCTGCCACCTGTCCGAGAAGAAATCTGTTCAATGTCAGATACGCAATTCAAACCAGGATGAACTGATCTCACATTGTGACAAACACAAAAATCGAAAGCGTTTCACTGATCTTGTATTCGTTTTTGGCTTGTGCAGCAGCAGCCGACTAGAAATGACCCGGGTATTAGCTCGGTCTTATTGTAGGCCATGAGTGCCCGTATAAACTCACACCTGCGGTGCTGGATGCTGTTCTGCGAGCATTGTTAGCAACTTGGGGGAAACAAAAGGCAGCATTTGGAATTCGTTCTAATCGCACATAAAAAGATCCAAGAGACAGATGAGGACAATGTCGTACGTCTTTCGTAGGCTAGACCAATTTCGAGGATGTCTGGGGTGGTCTCGCAACCATCGCACCCATTTGCCATCTGGGGTTAGCTCAAGAAAATGGTCACGTAGGAGCTCAGTAGTTGAAGCTTCGTGCTCGCCTGTCGATAAGGTCGATTCCGATGAGATAGACTGCATATTGGGCAACCGTAGAGCATAGACATGCACTTGGAGAATGTTTGACTGATCCAACCTGATCTACAACACATCAGTCCTGGACGAGGCTAACTTTGGAGTGGGATTCGAGCTTTTTATCACCATCGCAAATGTTCTTGCTCGGACATTTTTTGGCAAGCTTTGCCCCGAGGAATGGGCCTCACCCCTTGCGATCTGCACAGTAGGGTTTGGAGCTTGGTCGGCGATCGATACATACGTATCAGCCACTTAGAATCCCCTCTGGAATTTTGCTTATGATGGTACTGAACTACCATGTGCTAATGGGTAAGTTAGCTGAGACATTGCTGGCAAGTCAAGCTTCACGCTCTTGAAACCAAGGCCATACCGTGAACAGCACTTCTGCAAATCCAATTGCTGTTCTCTAACGCGGAGATTAATCATAGTTTTAGCCTTGAGACATACATAGTCTAGTGACTTTATTTCTAGGGATAGCTATTTTCAACATTCCGCATGGTGATTTCTCCGCAAGCCGAAGCCCTTGGAATAATCATAGTGCAATGAGTTATAAGGAAGCTTCAGCCTTTTATAACATATACTCACTACATTATACATTCCACCGGTTCTGAACTTGCGAAGTATACTTCTTTCTAATCACAAAATAAACATACCACTGGCTATAAATCCTAAGCCCTATGTAGTTAGATTATCTCTCTTTTGTACGTTGCAGTTAAGTCGAAGTTGTTTGGTTATATATTACCTACTTGAATGATATCTCAATGGCACCAACCTCACTGCAGTAACTCGTACGGCGATGTAACACTAGGAATTGAAGTTTAAATTGCTATAAACTAAGTGAGCGTAACAGAATAAATGTACATAGATGTCTACAACTACAATTAATCTACGCTTGTGGGATTGTGTGGTTCCCACTAGCGGCGATTCCTAAGTTTCTACAAGGCGGAAAAGCCAGTGGATCTGCGCCAAGGCGATCTCCGACGAGGCCACCTCTCCGCACCCTCTAGCTCCATCAAAACACAACCTAACCAGCCCAGCTAGCTGAGTACATTAGGTATCGTCTTCATCTACCACTCTGGAGGAGGAAAAAAAAGAAGGAAAACATGGTCCTTGGCATCAGTTCTGACCAAGAACAGTCACCATTAGAGCGGCCTACCCCCAACCCTCCCGTCTATCCGTTGATCGCGAACCGCCCACCATGCTATCCTCCCTCTCCTCTAGCATCACAAATGCTCGGCAATCAATTGCTCAAGTGCTGAACTTTGCGCTGGTTCTTTCCACGGCCTTTATGCTGTGGAAAGGCCTTTCGGTCGTGTCCGCATCAAGTTCTCCAATAGTTGTGGTTCTATCTGGTAAACAAAGCTATGTTACGGCGGTCTGAATACGGCTCACAACTCCCTCGTCATAGGATCAATGGAACCCGCATTTCAACGGGGCGACCTGCTCTTTCTTTGGAATCGAGACACAAGGGCGGAGATCGGAGAAGTTCTCGTTTACAATGTTCGAGGAAAGTCTATTCCGATTGTCCACAGGGTTGTTCGCACCTTCCCTGAGGTAGAAGGACGTGCGAGCGCCAAGAAGGTGAAGGAAATTGCAGTGTATGTCCTCGCCTATTACCCGACAATTTTTCTCGTGGCTGCTTCTTTGTGCTAATGAGATTCTAGTGACACAACACCCAACACGCATATGCTCCTCACCAAGGTAGGTGGCCTAACAATTTGACTGGCCCGGGAACTCGCTAACAGCTTACTAGGGTGACAACAATTTGGCAGACGACACTGAGCTATACGCTCAAGGTAAGCGACACCAATGCTCGAAGGGAAGCCGTATTCCGAAGAATACTGACAATGTCAGGCCAGGATTATCTTGACCGCGCGGAGGATATTGTTGGCAGTGTCCGTGGCTATATTCCCATGGTTGGATACGTTACTATCATGCTCAGCGAGCACCCCTGGCTCAAAACAGTAATGCTTGGACTGATGGGACTGATGGTGATGATTCAGAGAGAGTAGTGGGCGAAAAAGAAAATACCCTGAACACAGGTAGAAATGGAACCCAATGCATTAAATACCACTTTAGGAAGTATCAATGGATACTCCGAGTCAATCATGGCGTTCATTATCATGATGTACATCGATAGAGGGACATGACAAACACCCCAAGGTTCTCCACTGACGTGCGCACCCCACTCGGAGCTTCTAGCTTCGCCGTAAAAAGCCCCTTTGTTCTTCTGGCGTCTTTCGCACATAACATCTTTTCCATATTGCTTAGTGATCTTCATTTTTTTGTGGTTGTCTCGACCTCTTGAAGAGAGTCTTGCAGTAACACGTCTCCCTGCATTCTTCTTCGACCTCCCCGCTCTTCTTATCGCCCCGCCAAATCCACAACTGAACACCACCATGGGCAGCATCAAGCGTATATCTAAGGTAAGTGTCTACATTTTGCACATGATTATGACAAGATATCAACGTACTGACCATCTATTTCTATAATAGGAGCTGACTGAGCTCACCGAATCCCCTCCGGAAGGGATCACGGTTGAACTGGCCGATGAGTCGAACGTGTACGAGTGGAAGATCATCATGGAAGGCCCCGAAGGCTCACCATATCACGTATGTGAAACCCAATTCTAGCCCTCTGTTATCTGCATCTCCCACCGAGGTCTCCAACAGGAGTCCCCGAGCCTGAACTCGAACCTCACAGTTCATGTCCAACGAGCAGTGTCTCTAACCGCCTGGTAAACCATACAGAATGGCAAGTTCCTAGTCAAGCTCTCCTTGCCCACGGAATACCCCTTCAAGCCACCGACGGTCTCTTTCACAACCAAAATCTACCACCCGAACGTAACGAACGACGAAAAGGGAAGCATGTGCCTGGGCATGCTCCGAGCCGACGAATGGAAACCCAGCTCAAAGATCGCTGCAGTCGTTCAGTTCGCCCGACAGCTACTATCTGAGCCGATGCCCGATGACGCTGTCGAGGGGCGGATCGCAGAGCAGTACAAAAACGACCGGGTGCGCTACGAGGAGGTTGCACGGGAGTGGACTCGCAAGTACGCTTGCTGACAGCATCACGTGTTCTGATGCGAATAGAGGCTGCTATATCAGAAAAGATCCGTTATATGTGCTGCCACCCGGGTACTGGGCGCGCAAGAAAGATACCTGCATGTTTGGAACCTTGAATAATTAGCTGAGTGTTTTGTCCACTTTCCCCATTGTGGGACTGCTCTGTTAGAAGAAGAAAATAGTTCCTGTAGTTGTGAGCCGTAGCTACTCAATTATCTACTCAGTTCAATTAGCCTACCCATGCACCAGATCATTGACAGGATTGAATGTTGGTCAACCTCACTGTGCAGGAACGCGACCATCAACCATCGATCTATCAATCAATTCTCTTGCCATTGCTATATCGCACTTTCGCGTAGATAACTGGTACAGATTCGTCGTTCTCCCAAGTGAAGAAACAAGTCAGAAGGCAACCTATTTCTTATAAGAGTTGCTGCAATACGTTGCAGAAATCTTAATCCCGATAACCAATTTGCTATTATTATCACTCTGGTAAGCTTTGGTGCAATAATCAGAGAGAACTAGAAGATCTGGGAAGGGGGAAGCTCAACAGCTTGCCCATCGAGCGAACCACGTCGTCTTCTAGAGGCTACGTTTCGTGATTGGGCTGCCAAAGAATTAGGAAACGTTCAAGCGTCGAGAAGATATCTACAAAAATTTATAAATGTTCCAACAGAACTTACTCCCCAAATGGCACCAACTTTCGAAGTATACGGCATCGCGTTGGTAAGAGAGGAGTACTGTAGGACTTCGGGGCGACTACATCGAAGACTAGTTCGAATGCAATTGTCAAACAGAACATTACAGTTCATATTCCAGAGAGGCGGTCATAAGGACCGTGATATGGACATTCATTACAGCGTGGCAGAATACAACACTCCATACAACCGGGACGCCCACGTCCCCAGGCACGCCCAACGCTTTTTCGGTCGCATGAAGAGAGGATATGAGGGTAATCAAAAGGGGTTAAAATGGGAATCAAAGATGTGACACAGAAGTCAACATTTACAGCCGGCCAGCAGTGTTGAAGTCCTCAAGGGCCTCCTTAACACGCACGCTCATGGTCTTCTCGCCCTCACGAACCCAGACGCGGGGATCGAAGGTCTTCTTGTTGGGCTTATCAGCACCGTCGGGGTTACCGACCTGGGACATGAGGTAATCCTTCTTCTTGAGGACGAAGTCACGGATACCGGTCAGGTAGGCGTATTGCATGTCAGTGTCGACGTTGACCTTGACGACACCGTAGCTGATGGCCTCCTTGAACTCCTCCTTGGAGGAGCCAGAGCCACCGTGGAAGACGAAGAAGACAGGCTTATCGGATGAAGAACCGGTCTGCTCCTTGACGTGCTTCTGGTGCTTGGAGAGGAGCTCGGGGTGGAGCTTGACATTGCCGGGCTTGTAGACACCGTGGACGTTACCAAAGCCAGCGGCAATGGAGAAGTAGGGGCTGATGGCAGCGAGGGTCTTCTGGATGACCAGGATGTCCTCGGGCTGGGTGTAGAGGGAGTTGTTGTCAACATCCTCGTTGTTGACACCATCCTCCTCACCACCGGTGATACCAATCTCCTGGGGAAGTAATTAGCAGTGTATCAACTTGGGGGTGGGGGTTTCGAGTTGCCTTACCATCTCGAGCCACTGCTTCATGGGAGCAGCGCGCTTGAAGTAGGCGGCGGTGGTGTTGATGTTGTAGTCAAAGGACTCCTCAGACAGATCAATCATGTGGGAGGAGAAGAGGGGCTCGTTGTGCAGCTTGAAGTAAGCCTCATCGGCATCGAGCATGCCATCGAGCCAAGGGAGGAGCTTCTTGGCGCAGTGATCGGTGTGAAGGATGACGGGGATATCGTAGGCGGTGGCCACGCTACGGATGTAGTGGGCCGCGGCAATGGCACCAGCAATGGAGGCCTTCTGGCCCTCGTTGCTCACACCCTTACCCGCGAAGAAAGCGGCACCACCCTGGGAGACCTGCAGGATAACGGGACATTTCTGGTCCCGAGCAGCCTCGAGAGATGCAACAACAGTGGAAGAGGAGGTGACGTTCTGGTAGGAATTAGTAAATTTCAGTGGTACCCGAAGACATCAGAACTCACAATGGCGGGGATGGCAAAACCATTCTGCTTAGCGTACTCGAAAAGACGGAGAACATCGTCACCAACAATGACGCCGGACTTGCGGTTAAGTTGCTCAAGGACACCCATTGTGACAATTGTATAAAAAAGATTTTGATTTAGAAATCTGAAGGAGAGAAGAAAGAAAGAGGGTTAGATCCAATGATAAAAGTAGTGAAAAGTAGTGAAATGTAGTGAAACCAAGCTCTTTACCGGGAGCTGAAAGCGGGCAGAGTTAAATAAGGAGGAGGGGCAAAGGGTGGAGGGGCAAGCGTCATCGGTGAAGGAGAGACAAGGGTAGACTCACCGGTGGTGGAGATTTGAGTGGAACTGAAGTGAGGTCAGTGTGATTTCAAGAAAAAGAAAATTGAGATGGTTAATGATCAAATATAACCTCTTTTATGTACGGAGAATGGTCATTCTATTCCCGACCTTCCCCGTGATGGCCCGATTAGCCCGAGTCGTGTTCTATCGATGAAGGGCCCAAGAAGGGAATTCTGAGGGGATTTTGGGACACCAATGTCATAAGTTTGCGCTGTTTTTCAAATCTCGATCACACAATTAGAACCTCCCCATATCGCGAGATACCAGCGTTAATAGTAGCAATTAGCAACTACAACATATTCAACTAAAGAAGAACTTCCTCCTGATCCCTAAAAGTGCCCGTAGGAATCCGCATTTTGTTCGTGGCGGGGCCGAGGGAGTTCGAGGCCTTTCGCTACATTTCCATTCATCACTTCCTATAGTACATAGAGAATGCGAAAGTCAGGGAGATTTGTTGTAGTTGGGTCTTCAATCTTATGATAGTGGTTTGGGGAATTCATTCACCGGTAAAGGTGTAAAATAATGAACATCGTACTACTACGGAGTACATCGTATGTTGTAGAGATGTACGGAGTACTCCGTACTTTGCTATGCAAAAAGTCAAGTGACATCATCTGGATCTTCAGTGCCGTTTATCGGAAGTTACAATTTCCCTCTCCAGAGGATTCCGAGGATGGTGAGAGCATTTCCAACTTGATCTGATTGACGTTCTAATTAAACTCACTTTTAATGGTTTCATCCCCAATATGTACAGAGAGGTACGGGGATAGACATGTTTATGCAACAGAAGGGACGCGAGAAAGATAACGGCGATGCTAGGAACCACCTTAAGGAGGGCTCGCGTCGGGCCTCTCCAACTCGTAGAACAAGAGGTAGACTTCCCTCTGCATGCCCAACACGTCCGACGTCTTACATTCCTTGATTTTATCGTCGGAGATACGCCACCAGCGATCGTTCGGTTTGCGACGGCGCCGAAGCCGCGAACTGACTCCAGTGGGGGTATCCTGGGAAGGGCGGGGTATGCGGTGGGAGGGCCGCGGGGCAGACGGACTCCAGCAACCCTGGTCCGTCGTCGGGCTGTTGCTGTTAGAAGCGGGGGACAGATTCTGTTTGGAAGAACGGGAGGTGGTGCTCTGGAAAGAATGACGGGAGCCAGAGGTTGTAGGCCGTAGGTGAGGAGGGGTGAGTTGGGTCAATGAAGCTCCAGATAACGAGGTCGACGAGTCTACTCTCGAAGTGCTTCCATCGCCGTCGGCATCGGGGCTGCTACGTGGTACAATTCGAGGACTGGGTGCTGCGGATGGGTTCCGACTGGCAGTACGACTCTGTGCATAGGAGCTGAAGACCTCGGGCGTTGAGAATGGCGGGTAGATATGATTCCGTCGGAAGGACTCGTAGTGTCCACTATGATGGCTACCTTTGTGGCAGACAATCGCGAGTAGCTTGTACCATTTTTGACATAAGATGCTTCCCAAGGGAAGCCGCTCCGGGAACGAGACCTTGGCCGCGTTCTTGCTCGAACTGCTCTGATCAAATATCGACCGTGACAAGTGGATGGGGATAACCTTCGGGAACGCAGTGATGCGCATATGCCGCGCAATCCGGCGCTTGGGGGCAGTCTCTGGCGGAGGGAATACGATACCCTCGAGCTCGGCCTCAGGGTCAATCTCTAGAGCCTCGCGAAGGCGCGAAATCTCCTGGCCCAACCGATCTCGATCACCTTGTGTTCGGGCACGGGCTAACTCGGTGGTCTTAGTATCCACAGCATGCTGCAGGCGGCATCGATCGCAGCGGAAATCCTCGATATATTCAGTCTTGAGGAGGCCATCGAAGCATGAGTTGAGCGTAGTCGAGCTCTTCTGCGGCACCTGTAGTGTCAAGTTGACGAAGGCCGTCTGATTTGGCTTGTATTGGTAATGGCAGAACTGGCACTCGATCTGCGACTCCATTGTGCCTTCGAACGGGAACCCAGATTCATAATCGATTTTCTTGAGTTTCGTGTCGATGATGGTAGATTGACCATGGGCCGATCCATCATCGATGCGCACCTCCACCTCGGAAGAGCTTTCTTGTGCGCTGCCCTCTTCGCCTGCCGTGCTGTGAGCAGCTGCATCAATGGCACCCAGTGCCCGTTGACGTGCGCGCGCACCAGCATGGTACTCATCACAAAGTCGCTCGAGAACAATCTGCAAGAACTCCTGCGCGTCCTGCTGGTTGCGGCTGATGCGCGTGCGAAACGCATATTCCAAGGCCTGGATGAAGTCACGGGCCGAGATCGTTTTCTTATAGATCGGCCGCTCATTCAATCGGTCCAACATCTCCTTCAATGCCCGTGTGGTTATCCCCTGTTGCAACTCCCGCAACTTGTCTGACCGCGCCCGTGAAAGTTCATCATCGCTCGGAAGTGTGTGGTATATTTCCGGTCCGTCCAGCTGGCGCCGGTGCAGCTCATGGATCAGGTAGACGCGCAAATTCCCCAGCCCAGCTAAAGCCTGTAGCACCGAATTGATAAAACAGTCATTGGCTAGATTGGATAGCCCCACGATGCTCTTCTTGCGATTGCTGTCGTTCGATTCATCTCCATCGATTGTGTAGTTCGGTCCAAAGACGTAAAATAGAGCAACGGCAGCGAGCGAGGCCCCGGCCGCATAGGCGGCGACCGTTGTCGGCTTTTCTTGCATCAAGCACTGTACTATAGAAAAAGGGAGGTTCGGTGATTTGTATAGGTGTCGAAGCAGGCAGTCTCAATCTCATTGCCCCATCATCGGATTGGCCCGGATGTAGGTAAGGGCATAAAATGTCCTAGGAGTATTGATCACAAGAGAAGTTCAAGGTGAGGTCAGGGTCTTCCAAGGTTGAAGGTGTGACAGATCAGTTTTGAGTGTAGAATCGAATCAGTTTGGGGAAGATGGGAGAAGGGAGAGAGTGGAGCGTTATGTGGTTTATGCGGAGACAAGAAACAATGAGCACTTTCGTCCGGAGCCCGAAATCAGGTTAGCCACAGTCAAACGGAGCAAATCCTCCACAATTGTTCCGACTCATAGGTGAATGGATAAAGCACATTCCTGCCTTCTTTTTCGCGTGAGAGTCTCATTTCATCCAGTGAGGCATTCCTCATCGTTGCAGTGGGTTAGACCCCCACGGACGGATTCTCCGGATATTCCGTCTTACACATCTCCGCATATTAAGGAGGTTGATTCCGGTTATATAGAGTCTGGGGTACAGTGAGCCTTGTCTTGCCTGAACATGTTTTAGAATGTCAGAGATATCATGGATGTCAGAAGATCAAAAGGTATTATGTGCTTAGGCCTCTCAAAAAGAAATAATTTGAACTTTCAGACGAGTCACTTCTGCGATGTAAAAAGGGATTTGAAAACGAATGGACTGTTTCGCTAAAAACAACAAGACAAGGATTTCAAACAGCCCTGCTTAACTTGACTTCTAGGTACTAATGTTAATGGCCTGACACACTGATGGGGACACCGCAGAGCTTCTATGAACGTTCTAGAAGGAAACAAGGAATGATCCATAACATCTCCAGCATCTGTCACATGTCTGAACTTGCTACTTTTAGAGCATTCCTCATGGAACTATTTCTATCAAATGCACCTGATCATGGAAATTCCTCCCCCACATGGATGCCTACCAGCGCAACAGGCTTAGGCCTGAAGCGACTCAGGCAGGGTAGCAACCTTCTCATCGAAGAGCTGCTCAGCTTGCTTCCAGACCCGAGCGTTAGCCCGGTCATTAAGTGTGAGAAGGCTAGGCAGCAGAGCCTCGCTGAACATTTCAGAGCTCTCACGGGGAAGGAGAGACGGGAGGTGGTCAATGCTGATCACGCTGAGAGGCAGGCCTCCAGCCTCCAGGCCAGAGACGGGAACTGTCGGCTTGTCAAATGTGGTCGTTATGTTGTACAAAGGAATGGGGTTCAAAGGGTTGGAGCTTTTGAGAATTAGCCGTGCGCTTGCTAGCATGGTTCATATCCGACAACTCACGTATCGGCGCTGACGTCACAGATAACAGACAGGGTTCTGTTGGGGGCAGAGAGTGACTCCAGGTTCACGAAGGCTAACACAAAAAAAGGGTGGTATGAGCAAATTAAGTCCAGACGAGAGGATGTACGCGTAAAATTACCTGGGATCTTAGCTGAGAGGTAGATGCAGTTCACGAAGATATCCGCTTCGTGTGAGATTTCTTTGAAAGGACCACCTGTGGACGTTAATTGATGAACTTGGATTAGGTTGGGGAGATTGGAGATATCAATTGACTGACCTCGCGCAGTCTCTGCCATGTCCCACTGGATAATGTTGGATTCGGGAATACCGACATCCTTGGCCAGTTGCACAGCACCGCTGCCACAGCGTCCGAGCTACTGCATTGTTAATCAATTTGTCACTTTCCGTGGATATACACAAGACTCACAGCTCCAATGACAAGAATCTTAGGTGCCTTGCCAGCAACCTTCTTGCCAGCCTCAAGCGACTCCTTAACAGACTCGACTAGGCATTCTTGGTTGGCATAGGGAACCTCACCAGGCAAGGTCTCGTTGGGATGTGTCAATTGCCAAGCCCAGTTCTTCACAGCCAAAGCAGATCCTGTTCAGCGTCTTAGCATTGATTGCGTCAGGCAACAAGCTTTGCGTATAGATACCTGCGTAACCGGCGGACCATCCGAACGCTAGTGAATAAGAAAGTTAATCAAATGAACTGAGATAAGAAAACTTCGGGACATGAGTCTTACCAGCAACTCGGCGTCCGGAATCATCAGTCAAGAATTCCAGGTCGAGCAATGTGCCCTTGCCGCGAGGCCAGCGGCTTAGGACCTTCTCCCAGCCACCCTGCTGCTTGAAGCAGTGCGCGAAAGTAACGTGAACGTGCTCCAGAGGGAAGTCATCCTCTGGCAGCTCCTTAAGGCCCAGAATGACGGCATCCTTGGGCGCATCCCGAACCCAGGATCCCTCTTCAACCAAAGGCGCACCGATCTAAAAAGAAAGTGGTGATTTTTAGGGCGGGCTCGAGCCACCTAACCGAGAGAGTCATACCTTGGAGAATTCCTCATCTATAGAGGGAATCAGCCATGGAATCCAACAGCAAGGGATGGGGATATAGGGAGTTGGACACACCTTCGAAGATCCGCTGGATGGACCGCTCGACGGTCACATCATATCCAGCATCAATCAATGCCTTGCAGGTAGTCGGGGTCACTAGATGGTGTATCAGCCAATTGCTTCCCCTCCATTGTAGATGGGCTGAAGCTACTCACAGGCAGACCGTGCCTCAGCGGGCTTCGTCTCAGCGCGCAACCAAATCTTTTGTCCAGCCATTTTGAGAGTAGAGAACTAGAATATGATGAAGAAGGAAAAAGAATTCAAACCATTAATTGCTTCAACACCAATGATGACACAGACTTTCCCCTCCAATAATAAGCGGGGATGGCATGGGTTATTCCGCTCCGATAAATGACTCAGTCCCGATAATCGGCCGCTTGATACCCAACCCTCCGAGAGAGCTGTGGGTTAATGTATTCAGTGTAATTTAAGAAATTATTCGAAAAGATAACTAGTGCCCCAGAAGGAAGGTTGAGATAAGATAGATCGGACAGGAAGGAGTGATAAGGTTAATACAACCGGAAGTTATGGGGCCGCGCAGATGTCCTGCTGGTATGGTATAGAAACAATTCCGTTTCTTTTAAATGCCATACAAGATCAAGTATATCTGCGGTAGATCTTCTGTGGTTCTTGCTTTTCAAAATCCTTCCCGCCCAATCTGGCCAGGAAAATGATATTCTTATTGCAGCGCGTGTACAGCCACAACCATGAGAAGTCCCGGACATCAATAGACATGATTTGGAGTTGGAGCAAAGATGATGACATGGAAGTAACACGGCAAGCCAGCAGATAGATTACCCTCAGTCTATTCAAGCACCCTTTGTCCGGCTGCGAGTCCGGCTACCAATGCCATCTCCTGGGATTACCTTGTTCATGGCATCCTTGATCTTCTCCTTCTTGGACCGACTAGCCTTCTTCTGTCCTGCGTTGTTTGCGCTGGACGGAGCAACAGTGTTGCCATTTGAATCTGTTACAGGCTTTTCACCTGTCTTCGGCTTCTTGGAATCGGGCTCATCCGACGGTCCAGGCTTTTGTTGCTCCTCGTCCTCGGTCAGAGCCGGAGTAGGCGTCACAGTTGAATCAATATCACGCTTCTCGCCTGCCACCGTTTCATCCTTAGGCCCTACTGGAATTTGCGATTTACGGGCGACGGGAATACTACCGAGAGCAGATCCTGTGGGCTCTGTTACAGGCGGCTTGGTTTCTGGGGTGGGCTTAGGTGCCTCGAGCCCTACCTCTGCCTTCAGCGGGTCGATGTAGATATCGGAGTTTTCTGTTTCGGGAATAGGTGGGCTGTCCGTTTCAGTTGTGTTTAATCTGTTCTGGAATGCATGCGAGTGTTCTTTGACCAGCTGGGCAGTGTCCTGATCTATTAAATCCCTGAGTCAGCATCTGGGGTGCAATTGAATGGTTTACAAGCAAACGATGAAGCGAAGAAACACCATTTTGCAACCACATTTTGAGAATCCAATAGGCCGCTAAGACCAATTATCCCTTTGTTTCCGTAGCAAGACATATGCAGACAAACACGTACCTGAAGCTGCACTGCTCTGACCAGAGGCTCCTTCAGTAGCCATTGTGGATCGATGATGTCAGATGTCGGAACAGCGCATATCAAATTGGAATAAACAGAGTGGAAGGGTGTTCGCAAAAGCAACGCGACTGCAATTATTACTCAGGTGGGTTTATATTAGGAAAAAAAGAAACAAAGCAGAGCCGGTTAGTTTGGCGGGGAGCGTGGAATGAGGTCGCGCGGTGACGTATTTGAGAGCACTGGAGACGCTGCCCCCGGCTGATTCGCCGTTCCAGCCCTCTGACTCTCCACGGCATTCTGTCGCACAGCCTCACCTGTCCAAGAACAATTGCCACGCAATTTTCTCCACGGGAGGCAGCTGTGGACACCACACTTTTGCTAGAGGTGAGTACTCGATCACAAGGCTGTAAACCTTGTCACTAGTTAGGAATTCATGTATAGATGTTTATGTTATGCTTTTCATAGAGCCCAAGCGGCTTGTCTAGGAAACTGGCTGGGCCACTGTTGACAATTGGTTATATGATTATATCAGGAGAAAAAGGGGGCGTTCGTAGATTTGACATGACGAAGAGGCAGGTTTGTGCATAAATGATAGTATTCAGGTGCTTCACACACCCCCAAATGCATGTTTCGCCAAGTCTTCCTGGCAATTCGAGTCCCCCATGAAATTGGGCAACGAATGTAGGCAAGACTGCCAAGAAGCAATAAAGTGATGCTCTACCTCGGGGTGGAGTATCGGCAGTGGATTTCCTTGGTGTGGTGAATTGAAAAATGAAGGCTTGAGGAACAGCCATGCTGAAATAATTTCGATTGTGTGATAGGACACAAATAAACTCGGAAGAGGGACTGTATGCTAGCAGTATGCCAACAGGACTGCATTGATTGTGCCTACGGTCGCCTCTTGTGGTAGAAGCGTAGACAAATAAATGCGCCTCTTTAAGTGTTGGTGTTGGCTTAGATGCCTCTTAATATATCCAGGCCATTTGCGGAAGTAGAGTGTTGTTCAATAAGTTTGAGATCAGAGGATCATGTAAAACTCCAGTTCAAACGACCGAGATGTTCCTCCTCAGACGGTGTATGTGTCTTCTCATCGACTGGAGCTGGCTGTTCGGGTAGCAGTTCTGAGATATGTTCCTCCAGTCGGGCGATATCACGGAACCTCTTCCGGTCAATGAGGACGCGAAGAGCTTCCGAACCAATCTCGAAGAAGGCATCACGCCTAATTTCATTCCAAGCCTGAAATTTGCTTGGTGAGAGGTTTGCCACGAATTGGAGGAATGGGCGTGGATCTGGGTTTGTTGGGTGACAGACAGCCACAGATGCTACCAGTAAGGACCGAGGAGACAGCACGGAAACCGCATCCCTGAACTGGTCGTATACTACCGTTGATACCTGCTCACCCGATGGTTTGTGCTCCATGGCCATACGGCTTAGGTGAGCACCTGCAGCCAGGAGCATCGGTTTCCTTGACTTATGGGAAGAAGCACCTTGAAAATGCATTTGGCATACACTCAGATAATATGCCATCGCTGAGCTGAAGCCATTTCCAAAGCAGGCTTCTGCATCTATAAAATCAACAAGGAGATGATTGAAGGTCTGCCGCGCAAGTCCCTCGGTCATGCGGCCATTCTGACTACCTAGGTCATGGCTCATAAGCATTTGCAACCACTGCATGACAGTACTGTGCAGCCCCTCTGCCACCATGAACTTGGTCAATGATGTAGTCACTGAGCGCAAACGCAGAAGCTTTTGCCTCGACGTGCCATCCGATGCCCAATACCAATCAATAATCCTCGATGCCACCCGAGACGTACTCATATCGGCTGGGGATCTTGAAAGGAGAAGTTGAGACTTCAGACATTCATTGATTACAGGCGCAGTGACTAAACCAGCTGCAGCCATTTGATCAAATACTGCCATCGGTTCTTCGGCTAGCCGTCGCTGGCCTTCAATGCTTTGCAAAGTTGTGGGTTCTTGGGTGATGGGTCTGGTTGGAATGATACGGAAAAGAGGGTTATCGAGAATGTTCTGCAAATGCTGATCGGTTGCATACGCTGATGATTCAGGGTTGCAGAGGGGTCGGCCATGATTGTTGCCTGATGCGGGATAAGCCCCATCTAGTTGACGACGAAAGGAAGATGTGAGGGCATTTAACAGTTGCTGAGACTCTCGTGGAGTACGAGGCAATGGTTGATGAATTTTGGGCCACGACTTGAACTGAAAAATGGATGTACCCTTCATGATGGCGAGTGTTACAAAGATTCTGAATGGTATGTTGGATGATGCATCGAGGTAGAGAGGGAGGATCGACGAGGGCGGTGAAACATGTATTCTCTCCCAAAGGCCGAAAAAAAGGTGCCCAGGTGAATGACGAGTAGAAGAAACCAAAATCACACTGACACCGAACAAGTGATAAAAAATTCTGTCCATCCAATGAGTAGAATATATAGCAAAACATCCATATCTATAAATCCAATCAAAAGATAAGTATATCAAATCAAAATACCTTTAAACATGTAAAGAAATGTAAAGATCCCTTTGTTACTGCCCCAGTATCCAATAAGCGCCACTCGCTAAAAGCCAGGCAACGCCAAGACTTGAAGGGAAGCAACTCAGATCCCGTTAGCTTTTGATCCTTTCTTCAATCTTGTCATCTCCTAACGCATTCTCCCTCTCCCCCAACTAATCTCTTTGATTTTACCTCTTTCTTTCGTCTCTTCTGGCCCCTGTGCCTGTGGTTCTGGTGCTGTTCCTCTTCTGCGAGGGTGCTCCATTTCAATAGCCTTTCCTTGCGAATCGTGACCTCCTTCCTCCTTCGATTCTTCTCCATCTCACACATCTTCATCAATCAACATGTCCGATATTCAGAACCGGTCCTCCGCCTCGCGGGGTAGAGTATCCGCCCGTGGTGGCCGTGGCGGATTCAGCTCCAGAGGTGGTCGTGGTGGAAACAGATCTGCAAATGACAACTCAGACATCTCATCCTTTGAGGAGGGTGAAATTGGACAAATGAAGAAGAAGTACTCCGACACTCTCCCAACTCTTAAGGAAATGTTCCCAGACTGGAAGGACGAAGATCTGGTCTTCGCACTGGAAGACTCGAATGGCGAGCTCTTGGAGGCAATTGAGCGCATCAGCGAAGGTCGAGTTCCCGTCAACCCCAATCTTCCTGACTTGAAGTTGATCGAATCTTGTGATTCGAGGACCATGACTGACTGGCTTTGCAGGTAATGTATCTCAGTGGGGTGAGGTCAAGAAGAAGACCACAGACCGGACTCGCCCTAAGCCCAAGGAGGCTCCGAGTGCTTCGACCGAGACGACTGCAGCTTCTGCTCGTGGAACCCGTGGTCGCGGTGGAATAGAGGGTCGTGGACGTGTTCGCGCAGACCGGGGCCGTGGTGGTCGCGGAGGCCGTGCAGGAGCGGCTACAAATGGAACCCGCGCAGTGTCCGCTGCTACAGAGACTCCGGTGCCTACTGCTATCCCTACTATCACATCGGAGTGGGCTGCGCCCAAGGCAGAGGAGACTGTTGCAGAGCCTCCAGCTGAGGGCGAATGGGAGTCGACCGAGGCTAAGAGCAGTGTGATTCCGGAGGGCACAAAGAAGGGGTGGGCGAGTCTTTTCGCCAAGCCCCCCGCTCCTCCGGTGCAAAAGAAGCCCCAACCCGCTCCTCCTGTTCATGTTGCCGAGAAGCCCGCTGAGCCTGTGGCCGAGCCATCTCCCCCCGCCCCCGCTCCTGAACCTGTGACCGTGCCCGCTGCCCCCCAGAAGACACCCGTTGTCAAGCCTACCCATCCCGTGATTCCTGCCATTCCGACCACCGCTGTTAACCCCCCCAAGGTCGATTTGACCGAGACGAACCTCGAACAAATTCCCGATGTATCCGCTCCCGCTCCTACCGCCACCGCCGCTAGCACCATTGGCAGTGGTATCGACCCCGCGGCTGTGGCCGCAGCTGCTACTACTCCCTCCCGTTTCCCCTCATCTGCCTATCCTCCCAGCGCTACCAAGCAGGGCCGCACCCCAGGTCTTCAACGGCGTGTGATGGAACAGCAGCAGGCTGTGGTCATGCCCGGCAACCACGCAGTGGACCGTGCTGCAGTTCAGTTCGGTAGCCTGGGCCTCAACGGTGACGCTATCGATATTGATGAGAACCGCGAGGAGGCCGAGACCCGCGCTCAGCCCCCTCAGCACTCCCCCGTTGCCCCCCGTGCCTCTCTTCCACCCGTGACTCAGGCACCGCACTCAATTGAGACTGGTGCCGCTGGGCGTCCTGCTCCTGGGTTGCCTCCGGTCCCTCAGGGCGCTTCTGCCGACTCTTTTACCGACTTCGCTCGATACTCTGAGCCTCAGCAGAAGTCATTCGATCCTTTCACCCAGCAGGTCAGCCAGCCGCAGCCTCAGATCCCAGAGCCGTTTGCCAACCAGGCCCCCGCTCAGCCCACTGCCACCACCGGCAGTGAGTACTCTCCCTTCTACGCCGCCGAGCAGCAGCGTTTCCCCTACTACGCCTCTTATGGCTCGTACGGCCAGTCCCAGGATGCCCCCGCCGGTCCTCGCGCCGGAGCTGGGTTTGGTGTCTCTGGTGCTGAGGCCCAAGCTCAGATCCCCACCACGCAGCCTCCCAACCGCTACGGGCCCATTGACGCCACTAACAGCGGACACAACACTCCTAACCCTACCGTCCCCGGTGCCACCCAGCAGACCCCCACTGCTCAGCACATGCCTGGCCAAAGTGCACAGCAGCACGCTTATGGCTACCAATATCCTAACTACTACAACAACCCCCACTACGCTTCATACATGAACCAGATGGGCCAGCAGCAGCAACAGCAACAGCAGCAGTACGGGGGTGGTAACCGCCCCAGGTACGACGATGCTCGCCGGTATGAGGATCACTACATGCAGCAGCAACAGCAGCACAACCAGCAATACGGCTACGGTAGCCAGTATGGTCCTTACGCTGGTAAGGGCGGTATGTACGGCCAGCCCCACGGTGCTTTCTCTTACGACCAGCAATCGTCTTCCCCCGCAAACACCGGTAGCTTCAGCCAGGCCATGCCCAGCCGCGACTCAGTCTACGGCCGCACTGGCTCTGCCCAGCAGTCTGAAAACCAGTCTGCTACTGGCGCCAATGCCTTTGGTACTGGGATGTCGGATGTCTTCAGCCGTTCCCAGGGCAGCTTTGGCCAAAACCCCCCCATCGCCGGACAGCCCCCCGTTGCCGCTGACGAGACCAAAGGCTTTGAAGCCCCTAAGGCCGGCGGTCCCAGCCCCTCTCTGACCCAGAACCGCCCAGGATCCGCTACCAACAGCGTCCCCGGTCAGCCCCAGGCACAGACCGGTCTTCCCCCACTTCAGGGTCAACAGGGTCAGCAGTCTTTCGGCAGCTACCCTCAGCTGAACCCCCAGTACGGTGGACTCGGTGGACTCGGTCACCAGGGTGCGGCCACCCAGACTCACCAGGCCTCTGGCTATGGTAACAACTACGGTGGAGGCTTCGGTAACTACTATGGAAACTCTGGCCGTGGCGGCTGGGGTGGCAACTACGGCCACTAAAAAGACAAAACGAAACGAATGGGAGACATAATGACCCACCAAACACATATGGCGTTGCATTTGCGGATGATTTGAAAAGGGGTCTGGTTTTTTTTTGTCCACTTTACAGGGAAAGAAACCTCGTGTCTTGTCAAAAAGGACAGACAGCACCCAGATATTTCTTCATCTTTCTCTCCTCAACATCTGTGTAATCTCTACTTCTCTTTTTTGGGGGGAGCTTGACTGGATTCTTTTACTTTGGGGGATTGTCTTCTTGATGTTTACTTGTTCTCTTTCTCGTTTCCTTGCCCTTCCTCTCAGCCGTCTTGCTCTTCTTTGCTGCCACTGCTCCCATCTGATGCGGTCTCTGTATTAAATTCACCAATTCCTCTCTAGGTTTCTCTGTTTTTCTTTTTGTTTTCCCGCTACAACCTAGTCGGTGTCTATTCGGGTCCGGTGTGTCATTTGTTTCCGCGGACGGTTTTCCAGTTTTTTTTTTTTACTACCTACTTCTCCCTTCTGTTGTTCTGTCTTTGTGCCTCCTCACCATGTGCAATACCGGTCGATGATTATGATGTATGGCTGAATGGGTCTGGTAGAGGTAGATCCAATGCTCAGTTGCGTTCTGGGCTAAAAAGTGTCATGAATTATGTATGTCCTGTACGATCCAGTATGGCAACTGTATATGGAGACTCTTCTAAATTGTACATTGTAGCTTTTGTAGTTGCAGGAAAGTACTAGACTTTCGTCTTTCACTAGCATCCAGTCTCTACATGTACTTTGATGGATATGAAAGATGTAGATACCATCTCATTAGATGAAAAAGTCGAGCCCGTCTAGTTCAAGCACATAGGCAAGTGCACGGCTTCGACTTTAACCTGGACCGGGAAGTATATACAATCGAAATGCAACATGACACGGTACAGAATAGGAATCCAAAAACTCAAATCTAGGTCGTACAAGCAAAGCCCCAAGACAGTTTCAGATGAACAAAAGAAAAGTATCCAAGTCCAGCGATAATCTACTCGGTGAGACCAAGACCCTCGCCGCCAACCTTGTGGTAAGGTGGCTGAGCGCCAGCAGCCTTCTGAGCATCGAAGCGCCAGATGCCGCCGGTTTTATCAGACTCGAAAGCAAGATCAGCCGATTTAGCTAGACGATGGATCTGGGCGTCGTCGGTGCTCTCTTCAATACGGCTGAAGAAGCGGCGCTCCCACTCGCGGCCTTCCTCCTTCTCAATGCGGCGTTGTTCGCGCTGAGCATTCTCAATGCGTGACTTGTACCCGGAAACGGCATCCATGTCTCCCTTCTGGATATTGGCGGCCACGTCGCTCCAGGCACGTCGGCTCTCGTACAGATCCTGTTGCTCAAGGGGAGCCAGAGCGAGCGGAGTGACGGGGTTCTCCTTGGAGTTCCAGGAGTCGACGACCTCCTTGGTGTGGGCATCCTTGATAGAGAACTTATCCGACCACTGTCCCTCTATCGTGTAAAGGGGGTACTTCTCCCCTTCGCTCTCCTTGAACAGGCTCGCGGTGAAGGTGTTTTTCTTGCCGCTCAGCCAGCCCTTGCCGGAATAATCGATCTTGGCGACATAGCCGGAGCTGCTGACGATCTTGCTTGACTTCTCCAGTTCGACAAAGGGCGAGCCGTAGATCAACGATTCAATGTGCAGGTTGGGTAGCGTGATCAAGTATTGCTCCTTCTCGTTGGATCCAGGCGGGGTGATTGTGTACAGCGCATGACCAATCTGCTTCACGAAGATAGTACTCGAGAAAGAGGCCTTCTGCGCGTTGTATCCTTGCAGCTGTGGTTGTGTTGTCAGTTATACCTCTCAAATGCTTGGCGCAATCTTTCTCTACTTACCTCAACGCCGTTCTTCTCATTGCGGATCGCGTAGGCTGTGGCCGGAGGGTGGTGGCTGCGATTCAATCAGTGGGTTGTAGCGCCACAGGAGTAGCATCGCATACCTGACTTGTTCACTGACCAAGGCAGTCTCCCCCACTTCCGCGTCACCGGCCCATTTACCAATAAACAGCTCTCCCAGGAACGGGTTCAAAGGCTTCTTCTCGCTACCGAGCTTCTCGCTACGACTGCAGTATTGCTGGTGCAGTGTACTGAGGAACCACTTGAGTACCAAGAGAGCACGCTTCTCAGGATCGGCCTCCTTGGCCGGTGCCACGAAGACGGCGGGGTGTTCGGCCCAGTAAGCGGAGTACTCGGTGAGGGAGGTAGTAGAAAGGATGAAGGGAGGGGCAGTTAATGAGGATAGATCACCGTTAAAGGAGGCGATCGACTAAAATTTGTTAGCCAAGTAGTACACTCGAACAGATGAGCCTGCATGCCTTGAGGAAAGTTGTCCATGAGCCCTTGCTACTGGGGGGGACCTGACTCTGGGAGGACATCGTTTAACAATAAGAACGAATTCTTAAGCTATCAATCTGGCTTGGAATCTTCAAGGAAAAAAGCCAAAGAGCGTGAGGGAGGTGGAGGGGACAAGTTGCTCGTTGGCGGTCAGAAGCGGACAACGTCATGAGCAGGGGCTGTGTCCTTTGTGAACAGCCACAACACCACTTTGGGTATACGCTTTTTCAGATGTTTTAGAAAGAGACATATCAGTTAATTCATAAATGTGCGGGCTTTTTAGCATTTGAAAGACTCTTTTGACTATCTTTTAGGCTTCGTGCTAGGTTGTTAGGAAGGGAGTCTGGACTTGAATATAGTGATTCTTGCCGGGCATAAATTATCTAGCTTGTTCAAGATTCTAAAAGGGTTAACTACGGGTTTTATTCATTTCCCTACGTTTATCTATATGCGTGGGAGTACTCTGTATAGGAGTACGGAGTGTGTATGTTTCTTCACAGACCTCTCGCCAGCCCCCGGATTCTTTTCCGCTCCTCTGCCCCGGCAACCCCATCTTCTCCCCGAATCAGATTGGTTCGTTGCCTCTGGATTAGACAAAAGGGTCCTTGAAAGATGATAGCAAGCTCTTTGAGGGCCCTCTGGCCCCTAGAATGCTACATCGGAAGCAATCCGTCGATCCTCCCAGATGATAGGGAAAAGAGGCCATTCGAATTTCTCTCAATGACTCACGCTTCAAGTCTGCGATATAACTCGTTGCCGTTGAACATGCCTAGAGTAAATCCATCTACGTCCATTTCTTTGCTCTTAACTACAATTCTAATTTGGACCCCCTCCCGCGCAATTACCCATAGATCCGACGAGGATGACCTTGGAAAGAAGCCGAATCTAAGAACGATTGCAAAGAAATTTTTTTTTTTCCTATCTTGCATCTACACCACGAAAGAGTCGGATCTTATTTACCACAAGCTAGGAGGCACTAACTCTTGTAAGAGACTCCCCACTATGTTTCCAACTACCTCGCTAGCTTCCAGGGAGGAGAGGCGGTCTCAGTACTCAATTAATGACCCCCAAATCCCGATATCTCCAGTCTCGTCATTGTTAATGAGAGGGAGCTATGAATAGTCTTGGTCACGTACAGAGCTATGTTTCGCATCATGACATGGTTGTCAATGATGTCTTCCAGGAGGTCGATGCGGAACAATACCTACGCTTTTCACCTGCCCGCAAAGTGATCATCGGTGGTATCCTGTCCTTCTGCTCTTTCCTGGCACCTATCTCCTCCACCTCTATATTATCTGCTATACCTGAAGTCGCAAAGACCTAAAGTACAACAGGGGGGGTGATAAACGCAAGCAATGCGCTATACTTGGCGTTCATGGGTCTTGCGGCTCCCTTCTGGGGGCTCTTTAATCAGGTCTAGGGTCGACGTCCGGTACAGAACCGGGAAGAGTTCATCCTGAAGCAACAAGCTAATTGGGTGCAGGTCTTTCTAGCGAGCGCATACTTGTTCTTTGCGTTTAGCATCGGTACGGCCCTAGCACCTAACCTCCCAGCAAATCAAAATTTCCGCATCTTGACTGCATTCCAAGAAACATCCTGCTTGGTCGTTTGGGAGCTCCGCGTTGGGAGATGTACACGAGCCTCGAGCACGGGCAACAGCATTCGGTTGGTTTTTGTCAGGAACCCTAAATGGGCCAGCCTTTGGACCATGCATTGGCGTGCGTCTACTCTAGAAATCTAGCGCCGAGACAATCCGCTGACCTACAATTACAGGGCGTTATCGGCACCTTCCGCTCATAGCGTGTGATCTGTTGGCTTCAGGCACCTCTTGGAGGTTGCGGCACGCTTCTTGTCTTTTTCGTTCTCTCCGAAACCTACCCCCATCTGACGAAAGGCGACATGGCCGACGAGACGATGTGAGAAAAATTCGAAAACCTTTGGTGCCGGATCTCTCCCCTCCAAGTTGCTACTATGTAATTTAAATATCCCAGCCTCTTCTGCAGGGCTCTCGCTGCCGGCGCTCTTGTCTGGAACCAGGATTCTCTCCGGACCCCGATTTGATACATACTTAACCCACGCTTCCACCGCACCAGGCTATGGGTATCTTGATAGCACACTCATCGGTGGAAGGTGGGCAGACCATACTGTGAAGAAAGGATCATCAAGCGCGGCGGTATCCCAGTCCCCGAAGATAGACTGAAGTCTTGTCTGATAATTTTAGATAGTGACATCCCCGGTTGTACATTGGTCTACGGCTGGACGGTCGAGAAGGCAGTTCGTGGAATTCCCGTCCTCGTCATTGCGATGTTCTTCCAGGGAGTGGTGCAGCCGTTCTGCTTCCCTAGTCTTAATACCTACAGCCTGGATTTTATGTATTTGAGTGGGCGGAGCGCTGAGGTGGTTGCTGGTAGCTGTCTGTTACGGTGCGTGTTCGGTGCTCTGGGGTCTGGGCTTGTGCTTCCGGCGATAGAGAGTATGGGAGTGGGGTGGTTCAGTACCATCAGCGCCCTATATTTGCTTGTTTCCGGGGTCGGCGCATGGCTCACAACTATTTCTGGCGATCAATGGCGGGATAAGGCTGAAAGGAAGAACCAGCGTAAGGCCGAGGAGAGCGCTGAAGAGGTACAGCAGAACACGACAAAGGCTGAGGCATGAAGGCTCAATTTTGGAATATCTTGTTGGGGACATCTATGTAAGGCTTAAGAATAGAAGGTGTCATGATCAAAAGAGAGACCAACAGAGATGCAGAGAACAGCAACTAAAGAGTTCCCAAAATTTAGACGCTTACTCTCTTGTCAGAGTGCTCGCCTGCTCGTTTTGCACATGGGGGATATCTTCGTTCCGAACCGGTTGCTTCCCCTTTGTCATATCATTCGGATCTACACCACTCTCTGCCACGACACGGTCTATTTTGCGCTGCTCGGTGAATCTCCGACAATCTTCACGACCTTTTTTGACGTCTACAAAGCAAATAGCAATCATTGCCCCGGCGCAGATGGCGAATAGAAATGGGAAGCCCATCCAGTTGTTGTGGGTTTTGTTTATGATGGCTTGAATAACATTGGGTCCAATGATCGAAGACTAAACAGTCAGCGAAATTGAAGGAAACACAGCACTAAAGAAAATTGGACTTACTGCACGATTGGTTATCCCAAAAAGCGCAAAGAACATATTGTCGTAGCCGCGTGGCATCAGCTCGCTGATCATCGTTTGGGCGTACTGGATGAGGTTAGAAACTGCATGGATATCCATTATGTTGGAAACCGTTTGAATTTCCACCTACCGCATAATATGGAGCCTGGAAAAGCCCGAAGATGACGTTGTAAAAGTAAAACTCCCACTCCATGGCTGTTAGTTGTGAACTGTCAGCTAAGGGCTGCTACACACCCTGTTTTGATACCCGATGCGACTGGTCCACAGTCCTAGCATTCCCCAGAAGGGGATGAGAACGCTAAAGGAATTGGTGAACAAAAACATGGTCTTCGTCTCAAATTTGAAGTACCGTTGTATGTACCAAAAGCCAAATGTTGAGGTGCTCGAGCAGGCAGCTTGGGTAATGCCGAGATATGTGATTTGCAGGAAAGAAAATGAAACGGCATCATTTTGGATGATGCTGACGAGAGTACCTGTTGAACCATGTTAGTGCATTCTCTTTTCCACACTAATGGGTGTATCGAATCAAGTAAAAAGCTCACCAGTAGTGTTGAGGCCATCGGCAAGAAGGAAGTAGGCTAAAAAGTATAGAAACGTCTGTGGCAGAGACCTGATCTCTCGAATGGCCAGCCAAATCTGCTTGAAACCAACAGTGGTGTAGCTGGACCCATTCGGTATCTTTGGCCCTGGCCTTTTTTGCTGGAAAATAAACCACCAGATGCCGAGAACGACCCAGTCTGTCGAACGTCAGATAGTGCGACCCTTCAACGAATTGCCAAGACAGCTTAGCTTACATGAGTTGGTAAGACATAGGGCCAGGTTATTAGATACACTGTTATTTTGGAGGGGAAGTAGAACGCTCAGATTAAGCACAAGCGTGAGTAGGTATCCGATGTTGCTATGTGCAGTTGAAATGTTGCTGCTTTTGTCAGAGACATCTCAAACAGAAGCTCAAAAAGACCACACTCACCTGATGTGATTTCTCTCTAGTGATTCAATTGTATCATATTCCTCCTGGTTGATCTTACCCTCTCTGAGATCCTCTTCTCTCGCTTTGCGCACATGCGGCGTATACCGCGCCAGACGGGGGAACACGGCAGCATAGAATACCAACGTTGCCCCATAAGCAATATATGCCACAACGTACAAGCCCATCGCCGTTGGCCACTGGCTCGGATGCCGGATAGCCATCATACCATACTGCAATGCCCAGCAGACCACCGTCAAAGCCAGAAGAAGCCATCGGCCGAATGTTCCATAGTCCGCAGCACTTCCTAGCCAGACGAATATCACCGTCATGAAAGCGAAGCAAAGACCGTTGGCAATCAAAACCACCGAAGATACTGATCTTGTACCTCCCACCCATGGCACTACACATGCCGATGAATCGGTGCAGGCTTGGGGTGGATTCGAGCCAGGTTGATGTCCGGCGCCATTTAAGGCTTCCTGGAAGCTTGACGGGATTAGTCGGATAAATTCCAGGGTTTTCATTGTACCTACAGGGTTTGGCTGTACGATCCAGGGCCAACACCGTTATCACCATTGTAATAGAGGTAATATGACCAAAGTTCCTTCCTCGTGGTGGTTGGCTGTTCGTACGCGTCCTCCTCCAAGGTAGAATTCGACTGCAAAGCTGAGGTCACACCCACCATCACATCACTTTTTGCGTCATTCTCCTTTATTTTAGCCATGTTGAAGATATAGGTTGGACAAGAAATCCTTAGACATCTCCTTGGATCTTGGTTTGGGTTTCTCCCATGTCAAAACCTCAGGAAGTCTGCCTACCCCCGCATCTATCGCACTTGCCTTATCTTTGGTTACAGTCGAACATTCAAATGGCAAGAAATGTTCAGGCTTGTAACGAGATTTAAAGGGGGTTCTCTACGGATAATCTCCAACGGTGAGAGGTCCAAATGTTCCAGGTGTAAGCGCAATGTTGCAGTTGCATCAGGTGGACCCCCTTTCAAAGTCACTCCCCATTTACTTGCAGATCTCATCGAGCTGAGCGCCATGGAGATGGGAATGGCCGTACACTTACTCGTAGACGGTTTCGATTTTAATCCTGTGGCCCTAAAGAAACTCCTCGCCATCGACGGTGAGGCTGTCCCCAGTATAAGGGAATGCATTTCAAGTGCATTATTCGAAATTTATGTGGGTATGGGTATATAGTTAGAAATCTTCTTCTTCTTCTTCTTTTTTTTCTCTCTTGCTAAATGGATGTGATTAATCTGTGAGATGTCCCCTTCATAGATATCTCCCTTCAATTTCATAGATAGACCGCGGAAAAAGGCGGAAATCCCAACTGGGGTGTGTTCATCTGATTCCCACCTTGTTCCCACTTGAATTCCACTTGGTGTTCACTTGGTGTCTCGCTAACCTTGACCTTGAGCCCTGGAGCAGTTCACTCAACACAGCATTTAGGGCCCGATACCCCATCGAGATCTTGATAAGATTTTATCGAACAGACCCCTCTCGATACAGGGTCTACAGACAGGAGATCAGTAGGCCGTGTGGCCCATGTAACAGACTAGTTGTCATTGTAAACGTCGGAAGTCTAAGTTCTCGTTGAATCTTAGAAGCCATAGCTGAGAGTTTCAGATTGATAGTGAAGGGAAGATCCCAGCCAAGTTTCATCAGTGACACCAAAGATCAAGAAATACAATCCGAAAAGTGTTTGTGAGTCTCAGAAGACTGGAGCATACAGCGACGGCATCATCGATTCGGTGGTAACATAGGACATCCACCGTGTTTAGAGAGTTTGCGAACTATCTCCGAGTAGATTGAAGTCAATTTGGTACATTCAGGACTGGTTATCTGACATAGCGACACCCTTTGAGGACAGATCAATTTCATAAACTACCCATCTCAAAAGATAAGCCTAGGTACATAGTATACTTCATAGATTCTACAGAAACGCCACACTTGGATGATCTAGTACTTTCTGATCTCACTGCAAGTCGAGGAACGCTATGTCAAAATGGTGTAGAACGTCGTGCTCAAACGACGTAGGAGGGTCATGCCATATGCTATATACGAAGCTCTTTCTATCCCTGCCATACATTTCAATGCGAGTGTGCGAGGGCTTGGGTATCCTCATGATCAAATCAGTTTGAAGGGAAAGAACTGCCAATCACAGCAACTTGTGTAGGGGGTTTGCTAATGTTGATCAGTTGAACTTCTCACATAAAGAATGGAAAGGTCTCAATTACCAGATAATATAAGATCATGTAGAAAACATTCCCCGTCGTACATACTTTTTCTTACAATCTTCCATCGTTACATATCTCCCATCCATCGAACTTGCCTTATCTGTTTTTTTTGGTTGCATTCAAATGACAAGAACCTACATCTATGGACTCACTAATCCGTAGATCCCAAGAGGTTACGCTGAAATCCCCCCCCCCCCTTTCCACCCAAGGTGAATATCCCGGTGTAAGCGCAACGTTGCAAGTGGACCCGGGCAGACTCCGACCCTTGTCAACATCACCCCGTCTGATCCCAATTACTCGTCCATGACCCCAAAATAGAAATCAAAAATCAAAGCCAGGATGGCTTCTTCGGATCTTCAAAAGCAGGTTGGCCAGGTAAATCAGTACAGAAACCCCTCTTTCGTGAATCTCACTGACGATCGCAGCTCTTCACGGTGGGGTTCTATGGCTGCACCCTAAGTCCCGAAATCAAGACTTTAATCCATGACTACCATGTTGGAGGAATTGTCCTCTTCTCACGCAATTTGAAGAATGCAGAACAGCTTCAGGTGCGATGTCCGAGGCAATTTAATTCTTGATTGGCTGGACTAATCTTCTCTAGGCCTTGACACTGGCTTTACAGAATGAAGCTAAATCGGCCGGGCATGAGCGACCACTCTTGATCGGAATTGACCAGGAGAATGGATTGGTCACTAGAATTTCTCCCCCGATCGCTACTCGAGTACCGGGCCCTATGGCACTCGGCGCCACGCATGATCCAGAGTGTGCCTATAGTGCGGGGAAAGCCACGGGGGAAACTCTGGGCTTCTTCGGGATCAACATGAACTATGCACCCGTGTGCGATGTCAACTCAGAGCCGTTAAACCCGGTTATTGGTGTACGTAGCCCTGGTGATGACCCAGAATTTGTGGGCCGGTTTGCGAGTGCAGCCGCGCGGGGCCTGCGCGAACAAAATGTTGTCCCCAGTGTGAAGCATTTTCCAGGTCATGGAGACACAGCTGTCGACTCGCATTATGGACTACCAGTAATTCCTAAAACAAGGGATCAGCTGGAGCGTTGCGAGTTGATTCCCTTTAGGCGGGCTGTCGCCGAGGGCATCGAGGCCGTCATGACAGCACATATCTCGTTGCCCCGTTTAGATCCCACGCGTCCTGCAACGCTTTCTGAAGAGATTATGGAAATCTTGCGTAAGGATATGGCCTATGATGGTATGATCATTACAGATTGTCTGGAGATGGATGGAATCCGTGCGACATTCGGGACAGAGGAAGGCTCGGTGCTAGCATTGCGCGCTGGTAGCGATAATATCATGATCTGCCATACCTTTGAGGTGCAGGTGGCTTCGATCAAGAGAGTTTGTGAAGCAATCAATTCCGGCACAATCGATGAATCACGACTGGCGGACGCTTGTCGCCATGTTGCTGCGGTGAAGGGCAAGTTTTTGAGCTGGGATACCGCTCTTCGGCAATCCAATCTCGCAGAACTGAGCTCGCTCAACAAAAAAATTGCCGAGTTAACTATGGAGATGTATTCTCGATCGACCACACTCGTGCGCGACAAGAATGGAGTTCTTCCTCTATCAAAAACTTCAATCATCATATTCCTCTTCCCCGGAGAGAAGACCCCAGTCGGTGGCGCCGTTGATGGCGAGGAAACGAAGAAGTCAGGACTATACCATTCCAACACATATCTTAATGTGTTGCGGCAACATAACAATTCCATTGCTGAGATCAGATACGGAGCAGCCGGTCTGACTGCAGAGCAATGGCGAACCCTTGAAGTCGCTGATGTAGTGATTTTCACCTCGCTCAATGCAAGAGAGTCGCCATATCAGGAGTCGCTAGGCCTAGAACTTGCTGAACGTGTTCAATCATTGGTGCATATTGCCGCCTGCAACCCTTATGACTTCCTTGATGCTCCCAGTGTCAAGACCTATATAACCACATACGAGCCGACCATCGAAGCATTTTCTGTAGCTGCCGACATCATGTTCGGAGCGCTGGTCCCGACAGGTGCCCTCCCCGTGGGGACTAATGCTTTGGCAAAGACGTACGCAGCAGTAACGCCCTTTGATGCACAAAGAGATCTGGATGAGGTGATTGAAGTCTGGGCCGCTGCTCTCCCGAGCTACATCATTCCTACTGGAAGTTTGCGATCTATGATTGTACGCCCGTATGGCCACCATTTCGTCGCGCACGTTGAATCGCAGCTAGTAGGCTTCTGTCTTGCTTATACAAATGCTCACGGTACACCAAACACCGTTTATATCGCAGTTCTTGCCGTATCACCAAAGTACCAACACCAAGGCATTGGTATTGCTCTGCTAGAAGAAACGAGAGCGTACTTCCGGGTAACCTTTGGCTTCAATAACATGAAGCTGGGCAGCTCATTCCCCCGCTTTTGGCCCGGGATTCCCCGGGATCTTCCAGAGACGGTACAACATTTCTTCACTCATCGTGGTTTCCGACTCAGTCCACCCAGTGCCCGAGCCGTTGACTTGTACCAAGATATCCGGAATTTCCAGTCGCCAGAGAAGTATATCACTCGTGCCCGGGATCGAGGCTTCCGCTTCGCACCATTGAAATCTGAAGATTACGAGGCCTGTCTGGTTGGACAAAGAAGGAACTTCTCTAAGAATGGGGTAAGGCTCTTGTGTTGTTCTCGCGCTTATACCTTGTTAGAATCTGTACTAATCTGTTAAACAGAGCTGGGTGGAGGCATATGTTGCATTGCATCCCGACAAGTATCCTAACAGTGTGATGACAGCATTCGATTCCCAAGGCCAGCAGATCGGCTGGACATTAATGCTCGGTCCATCAGACGCTCTGAACGAGTCTTGGGCATTCCCCCAAACCTGTGGTCCAAACACAGGACTGATCGGCGCCGTAGGAATTGATGAGTCCCACCGCCAGAATGGCATTGGGTTGGCGTTGATCTGCCACGCTATTCAACACATGAAGCAGCGAGGTATTGAAGGTGTCTTTGTAGACTGGGTTGCACTTGATGGGTGGTATGAGCAGGTTGGTTTTGAGACCTGGCGAAGCTACAGACCCGGAGACCTTTAGGCATTCCCTCGCCATCGCCTCCGTGTTAATTTTAAGAGCTTAGCTCTGGTTCCGAGAGGTATTTATATCGACCATTCAGACCTTTGAAATATAAATACTGTTCCTAGATGCAAGGCTGAAGCTTTATGACATTTTTTTTCCCAGAAGGTTGACTTGTTCCTTACATAATCAGTTCTTGGCTTTGTCACCGGAAACCCAAGATACTATCGGCAATCAATGCTGATCAGAATTGGTCATGGCATCAATCTTGGCTCGACAATTCCGGAAGAATTCAGCCTTCTGCTCAGGAGTCCTAGTCGAGTGGGGAACATCCACCCCCTTTTGAACAGCAGCACGCTTATCAATCTCCTCAACCCACCTCTGCAAAACAGGGAACTCGGACAGGTCAATATCCAAGAAAACACGAGCACCGCGAACCCAGGCAAAACTCGCAATATCGGCAATAGTATACTTCTCACCAGCCAGGTAAGGGCTTTCCTTCAACCGCGACTCGAGGACCGAGTAAAGACGCTTCGTCTCGTCAACATACCGCTTAATGGCGTAATCAGAGCGCTTGTTGGCGAAGAGACGGAAATGGTTCGCTTGCCCTGTTGGTTGTTAGAGAGAACCTGGAACACAAGTACAAGGTGGATTATCTGCACGCACCTTGCATAGGTCCGAGTCCACCCATCTGGAACATTAACCAAGATGTTTGTTCGACGTGCTCGGGGGTGCCAGGGGCGTAACTGATTTTGCGATCGGTGTCATACTTGTCGACTAGATAGGTCATGATTGCTCCACTCTCGAAAACACGCTGCGAGCCATCGAGTAAGGCGGGGATGCGACCATTGGGGTTAATCTTCAGGAACCATCTGTTCGATGGATTTCATCAGTATGTTATTACAAGTCGTGCTGCATGGATGGAGAGAGTTGTACTCTTCCTTTTGGGGGTTCGCGCTGGAGGAGATATCAAGGCCTTCGGTTTTATAAGGCAGGCCAAGCTCCTCGAGAGTGATGGAGGCTTTGATACCATTCGGCGTAGGCCAGGTGTATAGGGTAATGTTTGAAGACATGGTAGAATCAGGGTAAATTCTTGGGAATTATGATAGTGTTGATGCAGTTCTCAGTGAATAATGGGACATTAGGAATAGTCCCAGTAAATATACGTACTTCGCTCCCCAAGGCCACAAAGCGTGAGAAGGCTTATTTGTCAGCTCCCCGCAATAATGCCCTCTCCGGTCGTAATGTGGCGTCATATGACATCAGTTTGACTCCAGGTCCAAAACTGCTGACCCATATCCTCAAATCAATGAAGCAAGACGAGTTGATGCGATCAGTGAAGCCCTTTTTGTATTTGTAGGTGATACATAATTACACCATTTTGATACATAACTAATAGAACATTTGGGTGACCCTTCCCCCAGGATGGAAGAAGGACCCAGAAGAGCTTGACTACGAGGGTGAATAAATCACACCAGATCCCTGGGGTAATCCACTCGCCGTTGATTACAAGCTTGGGGGATGCACTTCTATCATGTGCGACCCCCAGTGGGGAGGGGCGTGGGAGATTCTACTAAATCTGCTAGATGGGCGGGGATGAGATCACTGCCCCAGAGACACTGGGTGAAATCAATACTACCATAAAGGGAGAAAAGCACCAGACAAGACTTCAACGGAAGAGACTCGCCTGAAACGGATTGACTTATCCTTGCTTCTGTGGACTATGCGGACAGCTAAGTATACATTCGAGATGCAAAACCTCACTCTACCACCACTCCCTCTGTGCATGGTCCGGCTGTCCCTATTGCGCTCACCGAGGTCTGTATAAATCCTACCCCTAGGTCCATTCCCCGACATACTACGGTAGAGCAAAAGAGGACATTGAAGGCATTGCGCTACAATGGAAAGGTATCCGAACACCCGGTTACCAAGATTTTCTCCGCGGGGAGGCCGGGAAAAAGACAACAGACCTATGCTTCAATTTCCAAGAGCACATAGTCATACGCGGCGGCATAATTGCCAATCTTTCTCGCGACATCGGATCAGCTAGAAGTCATCTTTGAGATATTTCGGGATTGCTATGAGATCGGGTCAGTCTATCGGAAAGTGCTAAAGAGAAATTCTACCTCGTTTCCCTTCACTCAACGATGAAGAGTAGAACGGGCAAGGAAAGCGTTCAAAGGGAACAGGCATCTGATCATCTAGAGATTCACATCCATGAAATCCAATGGGAACATCCAAAGAAACAACATGAAATAATCCATCTGTGGTCATATCTGAGTAAGCATTTACCCCCCTATACAGGAACCATCGATTTCTAGAGGGGTAGGTGTTACAATCAGTTTCTATGTTTGGACCAAGGCAATATTGCCATGAAGAAAAAGCACTTTAGCTACCAGCTTGTCGTGATTGAATGTCAGGAAATATGCGGTTCTGTTTCAACACTGATGCCTTCGCATCTCCTTACTATTGGCAGAAACCCGCCTGGGGCTTTAACAGGACAGGATTTTGGCCCAGTCACTCGAAGAATTCTCAAAGTACGGTTTTATCCACATTCGAAGCCGTTCCCGGTGTGGAGTCAAATTGGAACTACATCTCGTAGTTGATAGAAGCCTACGAGGACTCTAAAAGTGGAAAGGAAAAAAAATGGATAGTACGATCGTAGAATTATTCATCTATTTACTTTGCCCTTTATTGTAGGATATAAGAAATATCAGCAGTAGGCTTAAGATTGACTTTGGGAAAAATTCGGTGGATTTAAGAGTCGCCACATAGTAGGTTGCATAGGAACCCGCAAGGGTGATCCCTTTCTAGACGGATAGATCAATATTTACAGAATGGATACTGCCTAGGATCTGGTATAGCACATGATATAATCAGACCAGAGTTGGACGCTTGATAGGCAATACTGCCACGCTATTCTTCTCACTAAGGGCCTTCGGAATTGACTCAGAATAATCCAGTACACAAAGGGCACTCTACATCTAACGTGTCAGAACTACTTTAAAGGTGCAGAGCAAGTCAAAAATGGCGTTAAACTAACCAGCTTCGTGGAAGATGGTGCATTTGCTGGGAGTTGTGTCATGACTCACATGGGGCGTTGAGAGGTTACAAAAGCATCTCTAATCTTTCCCCAGAGAATAACCAAGTCGGAGTTTAAAAAGTCCCCACATGGCCACGAGCATTTTAGCGTCGCAACCCCCAGACACGGCCCGCTCGAGCCTCGAGAATCACATCGCCGGAGACGGTCACAGTCCGCTTTCTGAGGTTGATGATGCGATCATCTTTTAATGTGCCGCTTCGGTCGGATCAGCACTTGGCCGCGTCACGTTCCGAGAAACACGTTGATTGCCGTGGAGGTCGGACTTGGCAGGATCATAATAAGAGTTGGAATCATTGCCGGGTCTCGGGCTACTTGGTCTAAACGCCACTTAACACCTCTTGCGCTCTTGACAGGAGAAAAACGCACGGTAACTCCCGCTTAGGGGGCATACGGCTGGCGTGATTCTATCCGCAAAGGTCAGGATTGAGCATCCCTGGATTCAAAACCATTAGTCTCTTCCGATAATCCCTCACGGCTTTTCTTGCCGGATGGACTCCGAGGGGACTTCATCTCCAAGTTGACTTGGGCCTATTCCGTCCAACTAGATTGCACTCGCGTGCTAGACCCCACAGTAGAAGCAAATCGATGTCTCTCCCGCAATTTGCCCCGGGTTTGCCCTTCTTCTCTCCCTTTTGCTAAATTCGGAAATGGATTCAATTTCGGGCTTTCGTCAGGTCCTAAATAACCTGTAATCATGGAGAGTTTGCTCTCTCTCAATGCGGGTTTACAAGACAAACTACATTGCCCACGTGAACCTCTAAGCTCTATGAAGTCACCAAACACAAGCATTAAACGCAGAGATTACCGCAAATTACGCCTCATTTAGCGCCGGCTTAATGACTGGCTCCTTGGCTGGCATGCCTCAATGCTGTTTGTCAATCATCATTCCGGCCCCCTGCCTAGAGGCGACTACCAAATGGGGCGCTCACCCGGAGACCCCCATACCCTCGAGACGTGACCCTGATACCTCGCGAGAATAACTTGGATGTCAGGATTTGAGAGGAATGATAGATAGAGTTGTAAAGTTTCATTGCCTAGTAAAGAGACAAGCACCCCGTCATCAATCGGGAGCTAACTCCGGGGCACAATAGCAGGCGCACTTTCGCATCGGACTTGAACGGGTCTAGACAGTGACCCCAGTAACAGAGCGAAAGATGTTAGAGGGGTTTACATGTAGCTGTACTTGGACCGAGAGTTTCCATTTGGGCATGAAGGTAGCAGAGTACTCTTAATGTAGTATTTGGCTGAGACCAAGTCATTCCACTAAAGGCCAAAGGCTTAGTGGAATAGTGGAGTATCTCTTTCTTGTTTAGCATCTCTCTATTTTCTTCTTAGGTTTGAGGGTTTCCCAGTATTTCAACGTGCCCCAGAGTATATCCGTTTTGGGAAGTAGGAGGGAAGCCACATGTCGATTCAATTCGGCTTTCCTCAGGGCTTGGACGTCTTTCATGTCAGCCAATGATGTTATCTTATGTCAAACGAATTGGCCGGGGAAAAGAGTAGATGCAAAACATAAATAGGTGTCCCTCCCTTCCCCACTACCCAGGTCAATAGTTATTCATCACTTTGTTTGTCTCTGAGACTCATCAAACGAGCTACTACGGTAAATGAAGTTTGGAATTGGTTTACAACTCTTCCGCTCTGTCAACCTTGCGCTTTTCTCAATTTTCTTCTTTCATATCAAAAGGCCCAACTCAGCTCACAGCCTCTGGTTTCTATCTGTGTTGCCATTGATAGCTTGACCACCGAGTCCCGAAAATGGTTCAGGAGGCCATTACTCAGATGGGCTTAGGCCAGCGGTAAGAGTGATATAATCCGTACCCAGGGTGCGCTTTGCAATGCTCATCATAATGTATTTAGTTCCAGAAACGACCAAACCGGTGCTGAGAAGGGTTACTTCGAGCAAATTGATCTTCAGAATAATGTTTCAGCCAGGTAAGTTTCACTCAGTGGAATCCCGAGTCATTTTTTTGCCTTTCCCACTTGGGGCATTAACGTCAACCAGGATCAAGAATCCTTTGGCCAACTTGACCAAGAATCAGGTGCTCCGCAATGTGGAAGAGTTTGCAGAGGAGTACAACGTGACCGACATCCTACCCGAGTTGAAAAAAGGAGCCCTGGTTGCGCGTGATCCTACAGAATTCGAGACGGTGGCAGAATTGACCGAGCCGGAGCTCACTGCCCTACGTGACGAAGGGCTTCACAAATGGCGTCAGCCTAGATCTCTCTACTTCACCATCATCCTGTGCTCTATTGGTGCAGCGGTGCAGTAGGTGATTCCCCCAGTATGCCTAGAGTCCATTTCTAATGTGAAGACAGAGGATGGGACCAGACTGGATCCAATGGTGCTAACTTGTCCTTCCCCGATGCGTTTGGCATTTCAGAAGATCCCCAAAAGAGCTCTCAGGCCGGTCGGAACCTGTGGCTTGTCGGCGTGATCAATGCTGCTCCCTATATCGCTAGTGCTTGCCTTGGATGTTGGCTCTCCGACCCATGTAATCGGGTCCTGGGCCGTCGCGGTACAATCTTCATCTCATCGATATTTTGCGTCCTCACCCCTATTGGCTCTGCAGTGACCCAGAACTGGGTACAGTTGTTCGTGGTCCGTCTCCTACTGGGGATTGGAATGGGCTTGAAGGCCTCCACAATTCCAATCTTTTGTGCTGAGAACACTCCTGCTGTTATTCGCGGTGGTCTGGTCATGTCCTGGCAGCTGTGGACCGCTTTTGGCATTTTCCTTGGCTTCAGTGCCAACCTTGCTGTCAAGGATGCCGGTAAGATATCCTGGCGCCTACAACTTGGATCGGCCTTTATTCCGGCTATCCCTCTCCTATTCGGTGTCTACTTCTGTCCAGAGTCACCTCGCTGGTACATTCGACGGGGCGAGATGGGTAAGGCATACCGGTCTCTGTGTCGCCTCCGGAACACGCCTTTGCAAGCTGCTCGCGACCTTTACTACATCCATGCTCAGATAAAGATTGAGATGGATTTAATTGGCAAGAGCAACTATGTCACCCGCTTCATTGAGCTCTTCACTGTTCCCCGCGTTCGCCGTGCCACTCTTGCTTCGTTCGTTGTCATGATCGCCCAGCAGATGTGTGGTATCAACATCGTTGCTTTTTACTCATCGACTGTCTTCAAGAACGCCGGTGCAAATGATACACAGGCTTTGTTTGCTTCCTGGGGATTTGGCTTGGTTAACTTTGCATTCGCCTTCCCTGCTATCTGGACTATCGATACATATGGCCGCCGGAATTTGTTGTTGTTCACTTTCCCACAGATGGCATGGACTTTGCTTGGTGCTGCTTTCTGTTTCTGGACTCCCGAGGGTACGGGTCACCTGGCTTCGATCGCTATCTTCATCTTCCTGTTCGCCGCATTCTACTCGCCTGGTGAAGGGCCCGTGCCGTTCACATATTCAGCGGAGGTATTCCCTCTTTCCCATCGTGGTATGTTCTCCACTCTCGGTTCTCCTCTGCCTTGATATCATTTCTAGAACTAACATTGATCTCAGAGGTCGGCATGTCCTGGGCCGTGGCAACCTGCCTAGGTTGGGCTGCCGTGCTTTCAATCACGTTTCCCAAAATGTTGAGTGCAATGACTGCCACTGGAGCATTCGGGTTTTACGCGTCAGTCTTTTCACCGATACTCGAACTTTCTCATCAAGCCTCTAACGATTGAATTTAGTGGTCTGAACGTGACTGCAATGGTCATGATTTTCCTCTGGGTCCCCGAAACCAAGCAGCGCACTCTCGAAGAGCTGGATTATATCTTCGCAGTTCCTACTCGAGTGCACATGAAGTATCAAGTCACCAAAGCGCTACCGTACTGGTTCAAACGCTATGTTTTCCGCCAGAATATTGAGCTGGCGCCTCTTTACCAGTTCGACCATCTAGCGGGTGGTAATGAGGATGTGGCCATGTCGCGGACACAAAGTGTAGTCTCTGACCATGTGAAGTCGTAGATCGATCTGGTCAACAGGGCTCTGGAATTTTTTTTTTTTCGAAAAAAAAATCCTCGGATATTCAAATGATGGTAGATACACGAAGAATTTTGAAGATTTATCGAATTTATCACAAGAATTGTCAGTCTCTAAACCCTCAAAAGAGCTAAACCCGATTCCTTGGGGTCTGTTACTGTGTTCCAAGGTGTCTACGGGATAGACCTGTATCAAGTGTGCTCCACAAGGTTTCGCAGAATCCATGGTTGCTGGGGAATCAGCTGATGTGGAGATTTGATCAGGACAAGTTCAAGGTTGATATACTCCGTAAGTCGAGTTGGGATGATGGGCTATTGTTTTGTAAGACAAATAGCGGCAAATGACAGTATTCCATGCACAGAGCAGAGTCATGGGAAAAAGCATCAAAGAATAATCCAAATGACCATAAATCTAGGCGTGCTGTAGGCTACCATAGGCCTGATAGGCGCATCACGTGGGAGTTTGGGGGGGATGGCAACACTCATGTTTTGGTCCACTCCCGCCCCTCACCTTTTTCAGAGCTCAGGTCTACTTTTCTGACTTCTATTCCTTTTGTCCACATTTTGAAGTTGTATGTGTCTACGGGCGTCCAGGGACCTCGGTATTGTGGATTTCGACCCAATTTTCAGGAAATATAGGATCTTTGTCGTCATTGTGACCCTCCTTTTGGAACTCCAGAGACAAACACACCAGCAGCTGCAGTGGAGCTCAAGGAACTGCTGTGGGCTGCTGGGTGATTCGAAACCCACTACCTTGACCGCCTCCCACCTATAGTTTATTCTCTCAACATCCACGAGGGAGGAAAAAAACAAGCTAAGGAAGAAGTTCGCCTATCCTCAATTTGGCGTCATTTTTCTCGTACTGTTGCCTGAAGTATTTCTTGTCTTGGTTGCGGGGCAGATCTGGCCCTGCGCCTTTGTTGGACTCTTCTCCCCACAGTGCAACTTCCATATCCCACATAACCCTTTCCAACCATGCCCTGCTTCAAAGGGCTTGCCGTGAGCATCCATACACCCGATGGCCCGATCCCCGAATATTCCATTCAACGCCACTCTCGAGCTTCGCGTATAGGCTGTTTCATTCCTGTTCCTCCACCCAAAATCCCTGAAACTGGGTCCGGCAAAGCGGAACAATCAACTTTCGCCATTTCCGTCACCCTCCTAAACCCTGAGCAAGATGTTCCGTACTCGACCCCAAAGCCGACACCAGAATGCCCCTCGCCGAAACCAAAAGTGGTGGGCAAATTGCCCGGTGAGCCAGGCCAAATCGCCGGAACGGTCGCACCTTACCAGGGCTTGACAAACTCGGCGAACGAGACCGTGGCTGCATACATCTACTTTGACGGAAGACAGAAGGAGGAGGTGGCTACACTATTGCGACGAGGGGAAGAGACATGGGTGAATTCACGCTGGGTCAGCATTCCGGAAAGCGAAGGCGGGGGAATTGCCGAGCGCGAATTCTTGTTCCGCGAGGTCGGTCTGGAGCGCTGGCTCAATGGACTGGACCTGGAAGGCAAGGATGCTGCAGCCAAGATCGAGCGGAGGCGACAAAAGATTGAGAAACGACGTGCAAAGCGCGCTACTGAAGAGGATCCGACCGCCATGGAAATGGAGGATAGCCATCCGGCCAAGTCCAAGACCATTATGCGATACGGAAACGACGAGAAGTCGCCCCTCGAGGATGTCTCAGACGACGACCTCTCCTCCGACTCTGACGATGATGATCCAATTCCCGAGACAGCGGGTCAGATTAAGGTTGCTTTGTTCCGAGTTTTGGCGTCGGGAGAAATCAAGCGGGGCGAGTACTCTCCGCAGTTTGATGCGCACGACGATGAGGAGGGTGCTCAGGATAACAGCGGGGGAGGAGACGCCGATGTTGACCACACCACAAGTTTTGCGAAGCCCAAGTCACTCGACCCGAAGACCATTAGTACGCAGACTGTTACTGGTATTGATCCAACGGATAAACCGTACGCTGTTTTCACTTTCATGTACCGTGGTGAACGTGAGTATTCTCTGGGTCAGTATTGATGGGAATTGTTTCTAATTTCAAATGGGACATAGGTCAATTGCAGAAGATGGGTATCCTGAAAGATCCCAAGGTGCAAGAGACGCCTGCTTCCGCCAAGCGCAAGTCCATACAAGCTGATTTCGCAAACCTCGGCCCTATCAAGCCTGGAGGCTCGGTTGGATTCCTTAATTTCCGGGACAACGAACCCAAGCCGCGAAATGGCAAGAGCGCCGATGACATGGACAGCGATGACGACGACACCGATAACCCCATACTTGGCAAGGCAGACGACGAAGAAGCCAAGGATGACGATCGGTTCCTGTCCCCAGATGACATTCAACGCCAGGGAGAGTTGGCGGAGAGCCTGCGGAAGATTCGAGTAGGTACAATTCTAATATTCTGTCGGTGCTTTACTAACAATCCCACAGCTCAAACGTCAGCATTCCGCCGAACCACCTGGAGGCAGTGTCGGTGACTCTGCCGATACGCCGGCTTCCGGATCTGGATCCACACCCCCTGCAAACGAGCGCTCAGAAACGCCGCCAAAGGCTGCCGCAACTGGATCTGCAAATGGCCCCCCGGAGCCTTCTCAGTCATTTGCTGAACTAGAAGATGGCCTTTTTGGTAGTCCGCTGAAGAAGCAGCGTGCGAGTGTCTCGACTGCAGATGAGAATGCCCTCAGACGCCGGATCGCAGAGTCTTCCGGTAGAATCAATGAAGTTCTAGGTTCTTCCGCTCCAATGGAAACCACTTTGACCAGTCCGAAGATGTTTGCAGATGGGTTCAGTCTTACCCCTGATCTTTCCGCAGGACCACCAGAAAATGACGAGGAGGAGTTGTAAGCCTGCGATCGTCGAGAATAGTTTACTTCTGGGTGATCTGATCTTGAGATTCTGTTTGAGCCATTCGGCCTGACAGGCTACTGCCCTTCACTTATGAAAGCACTGATCCTATGGATCAAATAGGATTTCGCGAGTTGGCGGGGTCCTCATTGCCATTTATCGGGTCCTCTGAATGGTCATATTGCTTTTCTACAATTACGCCGTTATGTCCACTACCTACAATACAGGGAGCATGTTGAAGGAGATATACCGCTGCATTGATCAGGGCAGCTTTGTCATAATTCCAACCCCTAAAACCAAGTTTGTGGGCGTAGAGAAGTAATGGCACGGAGTAAGTACATTGTGCAAAATCCATGTTCCAAAGGTTCCCAGGGTTCACGTCTGGTCAAGCATTGGCTGAAACGACTTAAGCCCCGATAAGCTTCTGAACCCTGAAGGCTACAACTGAAACCAATACAAATGTTTTCAAACTCCTCAACTACCCATCCATGCTTAGAAGTACATTTCTACCTGCAGCTGCATTGCGCAGTGTTCTGGCCCAGCCCGGCTTTCTCCACCAAGTGAGAGAGATTCTGCCAGGTCCCAATTCAACCTCAAATAATCAACAACTTCAGTAGCCCAGAATAAGCCCCATTCGCCACAAATCCACGATGCCACTCGAACGCTCAACAGAGCCTTTGGTCTGGATTGACTGCGAGGTACGCCTACACACTCCATCTCCGATCCAACAACTCCAATTATTCGTTTCGCAATCATCACTAACACCACCCACAAGATGACAGGCCTGAACCCAGAAACCGACAAGATCCTCCAGATCTGCTGTTTCATCACAGATGCCCAACTAAACCTCCTCGAACCGACCGGCTTCGAAACCGTCATCCACGTCCCAGACTCTACCCTCGACGCGATGTCGCAGTGGTGTATCGACACACACGGCCGCACGGGCCTCACCGCCGCCGTGCGCGCCTCGACCACCTCCCCCTCCACCGCCGCAGACGCTCTTCTCGCCTACATCCGCCAGCACGTCCCGGTCCCGCGTACTGCCCTCCTCGCCGGAAATAGTGTCCACGCTGATAAGGCCTTCCTTGCCCGTGCGCCGTACTCGCAGGTGCTGGATCATCTGCATTACCGCATTCTGGATGTTAGTTCTTTGAAGGAGGCGGCGCGAAGGTGGGGGAGCGATCAGATGATTGCGCAGGTCCCACCTAAACGGGAAGTTCATCTTGCCAGGGATGATATTCTTGAAAGTATTGAGGAGATGCGATTTTACAAGGAGAAGCTCTTTGGGTGATGGTGTGGCTGATATTGTGGCTTGCTTGTCTCTGTTGCTCTGAGACATGGGTCTGGCTGGGGGTTATTTTTAAAACTCTGCATATTGAAATTGACCTTTGACTACTCCGTACTCCGTACTCCGTACTTTTTCCTAGAGAAGCGCCTATCAAAGTACACTCCATGTACAACCATACTTCGAAAGACAGTTGTTGTACAAAAGACATTATCATTATTTCTACCCCTACGGGAATTGTCTGCGGGTAATGTTCAAAGAGTACCTTGACAGATAACTTGTATACCTTGTAAATTGGACTGAGAACAAATCAGGGAGCCCTTGAGCTGCACGGGTAGTACGGAGTACTTAAATTAATGTACAACTTATTGTGGCAAAGTACTCCGTACTATAAGAGTACTAGCGGAATGATAAACACATGACGCCAAACCTTGGCCCCCTCCCCGTGGAGCTCAACAAGTCGGTGAACTTCTCTCGAACTTTCCCCCCTCTTCCTCTCTTCTCCTTACTACCTCTTTCCCTTCAATCTTATCCCATCATGTCTGTCCAGACGGTCTCCATCCAGCCTTTCACCGACCAGAAGCCTGGAACGTATGTTGCTCGTTGCCCGCAATTGAACTGCTAGCTAACTTGCCCCCAGCTCCGGTCTTCGCAAGAAGGTCAAGGTCTTCCAGCAGGCCAACTACTCCGAATCCTTCATTACCAGCATTCTTCTGTCGATCCCTGAGGGTGTTGAGGGTTCTTTCCTCGTTATTGGTGGTGATGGTCGTTACTACAATCCCGAGGTCATCTCCAAGATCGCAAAGATCAGTGCCGCTTATGGCGTAAAGAAGCTCTTGATTGGACAACATGGTATCATGAGTACCCCGGCTGCTAGCAACCTCATTCGCGTGCGAAAGGCAACCGGTGGTATCCTCTTGACTGCCAGTCACAACCCCGGTGGTAAGTGATGGTCAGGAGTATCACAAGATCTATTAGAAACTGACCAAACGCTTCAAGGCCCCGAGAACGACTTTGGTATCAAGTACAACTTGGCCAATGGTGCTCCTGCCCCCGAAGGCGTTACCAACAAGATCTTCGAGACTGCCAAAGCCCTGACCTCCTACAAATACCTCGATGTTCCCGATGTTGACACCTCCACCATCGGCACCAAGCACTACGGCCCCCTCGAGGTTGAGATCGTTCACTCTACTGCGGACTACGTGACTATGATGAAAGAGATCTTCGATTTCGATTTGATCAAGGAGTTCCTCAGCTCGCACAAGGACTTCAAGGTCCTGTTCGACGGCATGCACGGTGTGACCGGGCCCTACGGCGTGGATATCTTCGTCAAGGAACTTGGTCTGCCCGCCAGCAGCACAATGAACTGCCAGCCCAAGCCGGACTTTGGCGGCGGTCACCCTGACCCCAACCTCGTGTACGCCCACGAGCTCGTCGAGGCCGTCGACGCCAACGGCGTGCACTTCGGTGCCGCCAGTGATGGTGACGGTGACCGTAACATGATCTACGGTGCCAACAGCTTCGTCTCCCCTGGTGACAGCTTGGCCATCATCGCCCACCACGCCAAGCTCATCCCCTACTTCCAGAAGCAGGGTGTTTACGGCCTGGCTCGCTCAATGCCCACATCCGGAGCTGTAGACCGTGTGGCTAAGGCCCAAGGCCTGCAGAGCTACGAGGTGCCCACCGGCTGGAAGTTCTTCTGCAACCTGTTCGACGAGAAGAAGATGTCGATCTGTGGTGAAGAGAGCTTCGGCACTGGTAGCAACCACATCCGCGAGAAGGATGGCCTGTGGGCCGTCGTGGCCTGGTTAAACATCATTGCCGGTGTTGCCAAGCAGAAGCCCAGCGAGACTCCTAGCATTGGCTCCATCCAGAACGAGTTCTGGCAGACCTACGGGCGCACCTTCTTCACCCGCTACGACTACGAGAACGTCGACAGCGAGGGCGCCAACAAGGTCGTCGGCACTCTGTCCGAATTGGTTGCCAACCGGGACACTTTTGTGGGCTCGGAGATCGCCGGCCGCAAGGTTGTCGACGCCGGCAACTTCTCCTACACTGACCTCGACGGCAGCGTCTCTAAGAACCAGGGGCTGTACACCAAGTTCGATGATGGTAGCCGTATTGTCGTTCGTCTATCCGGTACCGGCAGCAGCGGTGCTACTATCCGTCTGTACATTGAGCGTTACGAGGCCGACAAGTCCAAGTTCGGTCTCACTGCTCAGGAGTACCTGGCTGATAATATCTCGCTGGCCCTCTCTCTACTCAAGTTCAAGGAGTACGTTGGCCGCGAGGAGCCTGATGTTAGAACCTAAGTTTTGCTAGGTTGTTAGGGTTAATGTGGAACCTGCTGGATGGGGATCACCTTTTTATTATTTTGCGGTTCTATCCGAACGCGAGAAGAATGATGATCAAAAAGCCGGGTCAATATTGAAGATTATCCTTTGGCATAAGATAGAAACTGCATCTTAATCATAATCCGAGCCTGTCTTGTTCAAATTCAGACCTCAAGATCTGCGAAGTGAATGAAGTAGTTACAGTATTTACAGTATTTTTCCCCTGTCAGATCCAAAATAACGAGGGAGAAATCGACGAACTACCCATAGCATCATAGCATCGTAAGTCATCAAATCCCTCCATGTGATTATGCCTTCCACGCAGCGGCAGAAACTCTTAACTTCTCCTCCCACCAGCTCTTCCATTTCACAACCCTCTCTTCTCTCCTCGCCTCTTCGGCCGCAAAAACAACAGCATGGCTCCGCACCGCCTCCTCAAGTGAACACCCAACAAACGTCGCTTGCGCCGTCTCAACGTCCAATCCCCCCTCAACTGCCTCAACAGCACTAACAAACTGCCTCGCAAGCCCAAAATCCCCACCGCCATGCGACTCGTTCTGCCCCGGCGGCGGCTTCGGTACGTCAAAGACAGTAGTCTTCGCCGTGGCAAAATCAAATACAGAAATCGTTGTACTATCATACGAAACTTCACCAATAGTGCCATACACCCGGCCCCGTCGCTCACACTGTTTCTCTGTAGGCGCAATCATATGGAAGCTTGCCGTTTTAGCAAGCCGATGCGGCGCCGCCTCTTCATCATCCCAATTAAACGTTACAACCTGATCGTCGCAGACATCATTATCGGCTTCGTAGACGCACCGCCCGTACCAAGGCCGCGCAGCCATGTCCGCATCCGACACTGCATCCCGGTCATAGTCCTCGGCAAGGCGGGAGAGAAGCAGCGATTCGGCAGCTTTGTCACCTTGGGCACGGAACACATCCTCGATATCCGGGCAGACAATGTCAACCGGCCAAGCCGTGTGACCGGTCGCGAGGTGGCGATCGTTATATATTTTAACCGCGCTGTAGTTACAGTCACGCTCAGCGGGGCAGGAGAGACAGTTTGTAGCATTACCTGCGGAGATGGGCTTGCGCTTTCGGCGGAACTGCGTCATCGTGCCGACGGAGGAGATCGAGCGCGGTAAGTGCGGCTGTTGAGCCTGCTTGGGGGCTTTTTCGGGTGAGGGCGGGGAGCAAAGAAGCCAGAGGATGAAGTCGATGTCATGGCAGGATTTTGTGAGGAGGGAGCCGTCGCCGGCTGCTGTTGCGCGCCGCCAGTTGCCTCGGACATAGCTGTGCGAGAAGTGCCACCAGCCTACAGGCTCGCAGTGTTCCAGGGAGACTATATCGCCGATTACGCGCTCTGTCAGGAGAAGCTTGCGGAGTAGGATGTTGTGCGGGCTGTAGCGGAGGACATGGCCGATAGAGAATATGTTCTTTGGAGCTTGAGGGGTATTGTCTGCGCCTTCTGGTGGTTGGAGAGCTCGGTATACCGTTAGACAGTCGTCCAGCGAGAGGGCTAGTGGCTTCTCGCAGAGGATGTGTATCTGGAACGGGGCGAGCGCCTGTAGGATTTCAACATGTGTATCGTCTAGTGTGCAGATAAAGACTCCATCTACACCCACGGGAGTTGAGTTGGCATTTGCTGCGTTATCATCGTTGTTTTGACTCGCCCGCTTCCGTCGCTCGAGCTCCCACTGTACCCATTCGCGCCAATCTGTAAATTCCTGGCCCTCTTTAGAGGATTTGGATTCCCCCCATATATATTTTCGCCCCAATTCACGTCGTTTAAATGCGTGGGGCTCAGCGATTGCGTGAATTATACCCGGTGTTACAATTGTGACGGCACGAGCGTAGGCGTTTCCGCGAGAGCCGGCACCGATGATAAGGAAGCGCAGTTGCCTCGATGATGATAGTGGGGATATGGGAACATCATCCAGGTACGGGGGAGGTGGGATTGGTTCTTTCATGTTGGTTTTGGTTGAGTTATTGGGGATGCGGGGGAGCTTTGGAGCTTCCAAGGGTTGGGTCTAGCGGTATGATAAACAATTGATGGGCTCTTTTTTTAAAGGCTCTGACAAGGCCTACTCTTCTCTAAGAACCAATCAAACTGTAGACAGGTATGTCTTCAACAAGAATTCCGAGATATGAGAGCTTGCAAGTTGCAATGGGCATTGTAACTGTGGGCTAACCTCAGCAATATCAGCTGGGCTCTGATTGGCTCCCATGGCCCTTAGTTATATGTGTCTTTTAGTTTCGGTCCATCTCGTCTTTATCTTCTTTTGGCTATCACTCTCCAATTCCTCAGCCTTGTCGAAAATCATAGCAATCTCTTCCAAAGACCGTCCTCTCGTTTCGGGGAAGAGGAAGTATATTAGACCCAAGAACACTACCAGACAACCAAGAAAGACACAGTAGTACTTCCATCCAATCGCCGTAAATGCCACCGGGTTGACATATTGGTTGAAGAAACAAGCCACAGCATCCATCGAAAGGGTGACAGCAATGCCCTTGGCACGCAGTTGGAACGGCAGGATCTCAGCTGGGTAGGAGATGAACAAAGGCGCATAAGCAATGTCAAATGCCCCATAAAAGAGAAATAGGAGTGGAACCACCGCAATTCCAGCAGCAGAAAGATGCCGTTCAGCAAAGAGACCAGCAGCCAGTGTGGACATGGACAGGAAGACAATCATGGCCCCCGTAGAAATAAGCCATAGAATGCGGCGGCCGAATCGCGCCGATGCGAGGGCACCGGCTGCTGCAAGGAGGAAGTTCCAGACATTGAGGCTGACGTTCACAGCTGCTTGATCGGCTGCTTTGTTAATTCCCACTGAACCAAGAACCGGTGCAAGGTAGTAGGATAGAAGACCTGCGATCCTTTTAGTGACAGGGTCTTCTTTTGAAGGTTGTGAAAAGCGTACCATTTCCGGCTCATTCCTGCATGAGCCCAACTAATACACAAATGGTCAAACGGTGCCTGTTCCCTTTTGAGGAGAAGAAGGAGCTCCAATTCCTGGTGTTGGTGATCTCGGCTGTGATCGTGCTGCAGATCAATCGGTACTCGTGCTGGACCAAATCGTCATTTAGGTCTCCATTCGCGTGGTATTTCCCCAGTACAGCCAGGGCTTCGTCTTTCCGGCCTTTCGATACAAGCCACCTCGGGCTTTCGGGCACAAACGTGATCAACCCTAGGATCTGAAACAGCGGATACGAAATCTGTAGCAGACAAGGAACTCTCCACGACCAACTGCTTGCTATGCCTATGGTTGCATACGTGACTGCTGCCGAGCTAATAGTGCCCAGGCACCAGGATGCATTATAGAGGGCTGTGGCTGTATGTCGCTGCCGAGGGTGTGCGATCTCAGTTGCCAGGAGAGGAGCTGCAGTCTGGGCGATGCCCATCCCTATACCCGATAAGACTCTGGTGCCAAAAAAGGCCCAGTGGTTTTGGACTGCGGTTTGAGTGATAGCACCCACTATCACCGCACTGGATCCAATGAAAACACACGTCTTGCGTCCCCATGTATCAGCGATATAAGAGGCTGGTGCGAAGGAGATCAACGCCCCCAGAGAAGTGGCAGCAATTATCAGACCAACAATGCTGGAATCTAATCCGCCAACGACGGTATGAACTTTTTTCATGATTAGCAGAAACCTCCAAATCTCAAGATGGAGACGTTACACTGAGGGAGCACAAGTAAGCTATTGACCAGATTTCCAATATACCCAGCGGAAGAAGCAGTGAAAAACATGAACACGATACTCATATTCAACTTACGGAGCCCCCTATCCTTAATCCAATTCGGATTTGTGTTGTTTGGCAGGAACTTGAATGCCTCCATCGGGGGCTCCTTCTCCCTTGAACCCGCCTCTGTCGCCATATAGTGAGCTCTCTTAAATACCGAGCTTGCTGGCCAAAAATGAAGTCAGATTGCGTAAACCCAGGCCTTCAACCTCATCATCCTCTGCCGGCAAGCTTTTTATCATAACATGACACAGAACAAGGGATCATTCACATTCTTTCGGCCCAGCAGACTTCCAGCCTTCTCCGGAAGATCCTCGGATAGCTCCAAGGTAACTGGCACCTACAACTCGAATGCACGGAATGAAGGGAGGAATGCAAGATCACACTACCCAAAGGTCCCAATATCTCCGGTTACCTCGTCACAGCACCCAAGCCCCCATGATCTGCAGTCCAAAAGAAGAGTTTTAGTGTGACGACATGGTCGCAGGGGTAGCAGAGTAAAGTTCGCAGGGTTGATAGCACTAGTATCCACAAGTGGGTGATAGTATAGGTTACTAGGTTTTTTTCTGGCATAATCCCACGTTACTGTTTACCACTTTTTTTGTAACTCACAGGGTTGCAGGGTAGAAATTGATTGATATGGGTAGTACGGATAATTTGCAGAAGGATATCATTGTACGGCATAGTTGATTCTAGTGTAGACTTTCAAGGAGTGTATGTGTTAATCTAGTGAAGTTACCGTACGACCCTTAGTAGAGTCACTTCTAACGAGATAGAGGGCTCGCTTCTTGACTTGAGAAGTCTCGATTGCTGTATGGCAAGTCATGGCCCTGGATCTGCCTCGCATTTTGGCTTAGAAGGGGGGGCAATCCCGCGGAAGGAAAGTGTCCTGTTGCTCCTTCTGGAATTCAATTCCAACTCACTGCGGGTAGGCAGAACAAGCTATCTTGGGTTGGGTTGGGTTGTTGTATCTTAAATTCTCATTTCGGTCTATAGTCACACAGCTGCCACAGCTGCCACACATTTGACGAAGGCCCTGGTCTAAAAGAACTTCGAGTCTTTAGATTTGTTCTGGCCGATGCTGAGGATGGTCTCTGCCAAGAGACTGTCGGTTTTGCCCTAAAGAGCAGCAATCACGCATTGTAAAGCTTCGCCTTTCGCGAAGCAGCCGGTGTAAGTCCAAAGGAGATGTCCAACGGGTTTTGGCTAGATTTGACTTCTTCCAATCCCCTGCGAAAGTCTCGGTGCCACCTCGAAGGGAAAGTGGAGCAGCAAATAGCAAAGTTGCACATTGTGATTCAACTGCTATCGCTATCACAGCAATGCTATATTCGCTTTGTGATGGTCTGGCCAATTGCAAGATAAACAGTGGAATTATCTAGAGCGCGTCGAAGAATTCAACCGGATCTCATCGTCGGCATTTTAATGGAAAAAACGTGAAAAACGTGGCAAGTTGTGAAGATCCTCAGGCTAGTCCTCTTGGTATGGACCCATTAGAGAAACAAAGTTGATCGCCAATCGACAAACCTCAACAGAAGAAAACGCCCCTTAGATCAGCGAAGCCTTTATGAAAATGCATTTTGGAATTACCTAGGAGCATACACGAAAAAGTGAAGGAATTTAGTTCAGGATTCACCGTCGTTTGGTGGTAGTTAGCGCCAGCAAATCGAATGATCTTGTTTCAACTAAGGAACTGAATTGTTGTACTCCGTACCAATCTAAGACTAATTCCACGTCCAAAAAAGACAGCAAAAATTGAAATTTTCAACGACGGCTGCATGATTCGAACATGCGCCCGCGAACGGAATTGATTTCTAGTCAATCGCCTTAGACCACTCGGCCAAACCGCCTTGTTGATGGAAGCTCAATGCATTTTTTGCACACTGAACCCAAAAACAACATGTGACCAATTTTTTTTAAAAGTGGCGGGTCCTCGCATCCAAGGCTCTACAAATTTGGTGTTGAATTGGGGTATCAGCTACGGATAGGCTTAGGTAGCGCTAAGCTAGGGTACTGACACCAAAACCCGGCTTCGGAAACCACCGTCTATTGTAGTTGGGAGTGGTTACCGTGGCCTCTTTGATAACACTATCTAGTTATCTTTTTAGCAGTTTGGTATCTAAACATCAAGAAACACGAGGTGAAATCAATTGAATAGCTACTTGTACTATTTAGAAAATATTTAGGACGCAAAAATGAAAAATCTATTGATTCTTTTATGTAAAAATCAGTAGGGCCAACTAGTCATAAGCATGTCCTACTAACTACGAAGTAGTTGTAGCATAACCGTGCCAACACCTACCGAGCATTGGTGCGCCCTGGTAGACAGATGAGTCTTTTGTATGACTTTCCCACACCAAAGATACGTGTGTACCTGGTAGATGCCATGCAAATTTTCTCAAATGTTGGACTAGCTAAAGCAAGATGAAGAGTACGAATTTATATTAAGGGTCTAGCGTAAGTAATTTAATGCTAGTACTGATTCTCGGCATCCAACGTGGATGAAAGACATTTTCTTTACAACATAAAAAGACACTGTGAATAAGGTTTTAGAGATTAATTACGTGCTTTTTTTTAAAAAGTTGACTTGGAATCTCTGCCTAATCTCTAATCAAATGAAATTGAATTCCATTATTCTATGTCTCTTCAAAAGTCTTCCCTAAAGAGTTCAAAGGTTGTGAAATTCTGTATAGTGTCTGCGAGGTACACAAGTATCTTTTGTATGGGAAAGTCATACCAAAAATGGGGCGCACCATTGCTCAGTAAGTGTTGGGCGCTTGGCACGGGCACCAGACGTTTCAGTATTTTAAAAAGATGCCCATCCCCCAACACCAGCAAAAAGAGATCGTAACGACGGCTGCATGATTCGAACATGCGCCCGCGAACGGAATTGATTTCTAGTCAATCGCCTTAGACCACTCGGCCAAACCGCCTTACTTGATATTGGAAGTAGGCAGTTTGCCTATATAAGGTCATTCTCTTTGGTCGCATGGACCATAGATCTCACAAATTTGGCCCCCGTCTACGCATTTTCGCACCCTTCAGTTATGGTTAAAGCTTCAATTTAACACATATATAGATACGAAAGATACCTTAATGTAAAGCCGTCGAAATGTGCTCATTTTAATTATTTATCCTTACGAGTAGCAATGAGATGATTTTCATAACTATCGAGAGATCTGCCTTGACTTTAGTTTCTTGCCCTACTTGGTTGTCTTTGTCGTCCCGGTACGCCCCTATTGATAGATGACTGTAATCCCAAAGGGACGATTCTTTATAGATAGATATATCGCATTTTCCGGCTATTTCTCTCCTTAAAATAGTCGCTATCTAAAGTATCGATAAATGAATTTGCGATCGCTATGGCTGACCATTTAGAGCTAGTCGTATACCCCACGAATGAGTCTTCGCCCTTATCGTAGCGTAAGGACAATAGAATGACAAATCTGATGCCTAGGTCGGTTTCTGAGGCTATGGTGGTATTGGCGTTGGGGTCCTTTTCGCTTGGAGATGCCATCTCAGCTTTGACAAATAACAAAATCTAATCTGGAGGCATGTTGGGGATACAGAAAGTTGTGGGTTGAATGTTGAACTAGTACATGCCGATATACTCTTTCCTAGTTTTATCTAGACTTCCGCAAAGCTCGAAAAGCTCCAAAAGCTCCAAAAGCTCCAAAAGCTCCAAAAGCTCCAAAAGCTCCAAAAGCTCCAAAAGCTCCAAAAGCTCCAAAAGCTCCAAAAGCTCCAAAAGCTCCAAAAGCTCGAAACCCGACCCTTTTGAGAGTCGAGTCGGGTCGGGTCGGGTTTCGGGCTTTTGGAGCTTTTCGAGCTTTGCGGAAGTCTAGTTTTATCTCCCTTGAAATGATACCCGGTGAGAAGTTTGAGACCTTTTTGATATGCCATCCGATTTACCTCTTAGTCGGAAGTGTGTCTTTTCTTGGCCGATAGGCCACGAGTCTCTCGCCTTTGAATCAGACTCTATCATTGTTACACTGCAATGTTTAATAGCTCCTTCTATCAAGATCTTTATCAAGTAGGATAGTGCCCTTGGTGCTTTTGGTAAGTCTCTCAAGAGAACGAGGAAACTAGGCCTCTGGGACTCCGCTTTGCACTCTGCAAATCGATAGACATCATCTTCCTTAAGACCTAGTCTTTCGAGCCATATCCTCAAGATTGGATTGATCTTGTCTAGATCTGGTTCGAGTGGGTCAACACTCTCAGATCTCTCGTCATCCCAGCCACGAAGCACCAGTGCCACTGTGGGCTCACTCTTATATAGTGTCGTAGACAGCTTCTTGTTTGAGGCAGCTGGCACAGGCCTGAAAATGGTGCTAAGCTTCACGGCTGCGGGGTCCTTATTCGAACGCAGTGTGACGAGGGGAGCGAGCGATCTCATAAAGATGTTCAATGGCATAGCGAATGCCCTGCAGTTCTAAAGTGAAGTTCTGCTATTGTTCTTGCTCTATAAGAGTGGCCTTCTCTGCAGGTTTTCCACAGAAAAGATTCCGTCGCAGACAGCTTTTTTCAAATCAATTCGTGGGTACTGGTGGAGAAAAATCCCATGTAGGAATCGCGTGGCGTGCTAGCCTGAAATGTCCTAGGGATAGCCTTATATATTTAGAAATTGGCAAAGCATGTCAACAAGTTTTACGCCTAAAAATCCTCTCCCTCTCAGCCCCGAGGGGAAGGAAATCTCACTAGAGGTATGACCTAGAATGCTTTTCAACACGATGCCGACAGAAGATATTGTAGTTCCGATTGGGATTCCTAGATCGATCCTAGCATAGTGATAGTACTCCGACGCGACAATGGCCGCTTTCAAAATTTCCTCGAACCAAGCCTTCAGATCTAGGAGTTGGATTTAGCTGTTAAGAGGATTCCAGGGGATCCTTTCTTTTGTTGGCCGGATATCGGCAACCTCGATTTTACGCTAGATAGCAGTACGAAGAGCACCGATGTTTTCTTCCGGCCTCAATTTTAGATCTCACTGATTAGAAAAGTCTTTAAAAACTAGTTATTATCTAGAATATATAACAATCTACTCTCTTTAAATACCATATTTAAGTTTCAGCCTATGTTTTAGGGAGCCCTCTTGTGATATTGCGATTTGAACTTTAAACCTACCACTGCCTCTATTCAACTTCAAAGGCGTTCCGGAAACTGACCATCAAAATTTCATAAAACTATTAAGATAAAATTAGAATATTAGTTATACACTTATAATAGAAGGTCATTATATAAGTTAGTTGAGAAAAACTTATATTTATATATGTACCTTTTGCATGGTCCGCCTAGCAAAAGGTACAATTGCATATGGGTGGTTTGTTGCACATGGGTCGCGGACCCTCCGTTAGGAGAGTCTGTAATTTTTGGAAAAAATTACAGAGGCCGGTTAGAGCTAGCATACCAGACTATTCACTATCAAAGCTCCAACCTCAACACCAGCAAAAAGAGATCGTAACGACGGCTGCATGATTCGAACATGCGCCCGCGAACGGAATTGATTTCTAGTCAATCGCCTTAGACCACTCGGCCAAACCGCCTTACTTGATGAATTATTTGTGAATGTTTTGTGTCATGACCCTGGTCATATTGCACTGACAGAGCCTCGCTTGCAAAGGTGCATGAGTAAAATACCTGATTTTTCAGGGTTGGTGCCTGAATTAATTACGCCTGGTTTGAGACTGGCGGAAACTAGAATACCTAAATTACCACAACCGAGACCGAATAGGGTAATTACTCAACTTCAACCCACCTACCTAGGAATGGATAAAAAAGGGCTTGACATAGTGTAAAACTATTGATCGCAAGATTTGAGGGTGTATAGCGGTTTTAACAATATTCCAACTATAGGAATTCACCTAATTGTGTGGTGAGTAGGCTTTGGTGCGTTGTTCTGCGAATAGCGTCACATTTAGTGCCAAATTTTTAAAGGTATTAACATTGTCAGGCGGTAAATATTCAAGCATCTTTGGGTGTCAGTATTATTAGTTAATGATTAGTTTCTGACTCTAAAATAAGGCTTTAGGTGCTAGGAATAGCTTCAACTTTAACACTAAACGAGATACATTTCGAGAATTCAACCAATTTACGAATGGCTTAGAGCGGTCTCCAGGGCGGTCTAATACAACGCATCAACCCTGGACAACCAAACAATTACCCCCTGGCCGCTATGCACCTTCGCAATAACTTACGAGGCTCGACAGATTTGATAAAAAATGGCGAGGGCCGGTTAGTTCGAGTTCGTGTGTTCCTGCTACATGTATACTAACTATACCACACTGTTGACTGTCGAATACCTAGCCCTAATACCAGCAAAAAGACATGCTTACGACGGCTGCATGATTCGAACATGCGCCCGCGAACGGAATTGATTTCTAGTCAATCGCCTTAGACCACTCGGCCAAACCGCCATACGATATTTAGGAACAAAAAACTGGGTAACATAAGCCAAAACTCAACCTCTTTACCGACATTTATATGGCACACTATTCAATTTACACTACAATGTACATGAGACTAGTACAGACTACTCTACAATTGTGAACTTGGCCTTGATCTTTCATCTAACTTAGAAAGAACCCTTCTAAGGGTCGCAGAGTATATTCAATGGGCAAGTGAACACATTTCGTGCAACCCTAATCTAGTAATATATTCTTGTTTATCCTTATACTGGCTATACATTCTACTTGTGGTGATTGTGTTTTACCCTACAGCCTGATCTATTTAAATAGGTTTATCTGGCAAACAGTACCCAAGATGACACACCGCTAACAATGTGATATTTGATAAAACCACCAGTAAATACTAGTCTCTTCACTAGCAAACTTTATCCGGCTACTCTGCGAGCTCACCACCCGTACAATCTATGTGATGATACCACCCATCATTACGGTGATGTGAAACAATCTCATTCACCACACTCCCCAAGCAGCGAAGCATACCGATTCCCAAGCCCACAGAACCCTTCACACTGCCCACCAACATCCCTTCCCTTGTGGAGCAACTCCTCCATGCCCCACGCAACACGTTCCGCGCCCACCCTCGCGCCCTCGAGATTCGGCGCCCCGGGCCCAAGCCGGAGAGATGCCAAGCGGCCTGTCATGAACAACGGTACGTCATCCCGCCACGACAGGTCGTTCGTTAGACACGGGAGACCTGCCTTGACCTCGATCGGGTATTGGTCGTTCATCTCGCGAAGCAGGGGTATCTCGCGCACGTCCGCACGCACTCCGGTTGCGAAGTAGATGTAGTCTATTTCAGGGAGATCGGGGATTGGTGGGTCGGTTGTTAGGGTCCAGGTTTGGGTGACTGGATTGTACTCGTGGGATACTATTTTCGTGCAAGGGTGGATTGAGGCTCGGTGTTTAGCTGCATGTTGCTTTACAATCCTTGTGTAGCTTGGTGTAATGCTACCGCCGTTGCGAGCGGTTTGGATCATCTCAAGGCGCTCTACAATGTATTAGTAACGGCCGTTGGATGAGTTTATGGCTGTTGATCTTATATACCTTCGTCGGTGTCCGCAGACCAGAAGGCTGCTTTCTCCCAGTTCTTGTACTTGCCCATCCAAGGCAGACTGATGTCGAAATGTTTGACTGTTGTTAGATTGTAATGAGACATTGTCCAAAAAAAAAAGCTTGCTTGCTGGGGACGTTATGACATACCCTTCATGCCGGACCGCAACAAGAACCACACTTTTGTCACGCCTTTGCGAACCGCCATATCAACAATCTGTGCTGATGATAGCCCACCTCCAACAACGACCACATTAGTCTCTTGTCGTCGCTGGATCTTGTTCTGTACATTGGGACTGGGGAATGATTTGATCTCTGTACTGTGACAACATGCTGCGGCGCCCTCTTGTTCTGTCGACGGTTTCCACGGATAAATCTTCGACACACCTGCTCCACCCGGTCCGATAGCCAGGACGACAGACCGACTGTAAAACTTTTCTCCTGTGGAGGTGGTGACAGTGAACACCTTCGACTCCGAGCTGTCAGAGAGATAATTATATGAGAGATTCGTGGCCTCGCGCTGCAAGATCTTGCCGGGCTCATCCAGACCATACCGCTGGATGATCGACGAACAATAATCCGAAAAAAGATCCGTGGAAGGAGAGAAGTAATCTTTCCGATCTCGTTCATCAATCTCACCTCCAATGGTTCTATTCGCAATGATGCAAAGGTTAGAGCTCTGTTTCAACTGCATTCACATGGAACACCACTTACTGAGTTTTTCCACCCTGCCTCCTCTTCTTCTTCTTATGCTTGCTCATCTCCTTCCCAACGCATCCGGGGATTTCCCAGAGATCTGAATCCCGCCCCTGCTCCTGTGCATAAGCCAGCATGCCATCCCGATCCCCGGGATCAACATGGAAAAACATCGGGCTGCGGAGCTGTTTGATTTCCAGCGTGCGGAACGCATTGTTCCACCGTTGCATCCATTTATCACCAGAGCCGTCGAGAACGAGAGTTGAAATCGATGATGTCGATGATGTCGACGAGGTTGACGAGGCGGACGACAGTGATGGCACAGAAGATATAGATTCAGTTGAGGTACGCCGTTGCTGGCCATCATCACAAGGACATCCACGCTCACTGTCCCATTTTACGGCTCGCACTCCTTTGATCTTGCCATGTCGTGCTTGTACCAGATTCATCTTTCCGCTATGCTTCTTGATCCAGTGGTAGCGCTGATGTTCTTCGTCTGTGAATACTGCCGATGGTGTTTCTTCGCTTAGGCGTGCGGCAACGGCGAGGCCGCATGGTCCTGCACCGATGATTATTACGTCGCGGATCTCATGATCATCTGGTAATTCCCGAGATGAGGACATCTTAGAAGGGCGTGATAGGGTTGGAGTAATGGTGGATGGGTAAAGACGTATTAGTAGTAGTGCAGGGCTGAGTGAAATGGCAAATTTGCAAGAACGTATGATTGTAGGAGGAAGATCTTTCTTTTGTAGTCTACAGGGTACATATAACTGTATTATAAAATGTACTCACAAGTTGACTATCGAGGTACTCGTCCCCAAGGTCCTTCAGGCGTGACAGCATATAAGGCCTCAGACTCCACAGTTTACATGACGGATTTGATGGGGTAATGGTGTCAATCTCTGAGGACCTTAGGAGTTTCTTCAATCCTTTCGAATTTATTTTTTGTTGGGTGTGCAGATACAAGCCACGGAGACTGATTGTATCTATGACACTTTCTTGGTGTTGGCATAATCTAAAGAAGTTAGACCCCATCCTAGGCATTTCATAGGTCAGATGGTATAAGTTGGTTGGATTTTACTACGTAGGCTAGATGAAATCACAACTTGGTCTTGAGTTTTGGTGATCTACATGAATCTTCGTGGCCGAGTTCAACACAAACTATGGCAAAATCATACATCACACGAACAACTAACAGCTGGAAAACACACAACCCAAGGCAAGTGAAGTAGAACATCCAAATAAAACAAAGACTGTATGCGTGGCCCTGGATATTCCTAGTCAAACTCATCGCGATAAATGCTCTCGTCCTTTATAATTGGGCAATGTTGGGTCACGTAAGCAGTGCAGGTCTCAGGGCCTCTTGCAGGATATCGCATGTCTCGAAGAAACCCTAGTCACAAAACGAAATGCCTGTGACATCTAAATCTTTGAAATTATCCTATTCCCCTCCCCTCCCTTCTATTGTTTTTATGCCGGGATATCTTTATAAAGTAAGGGTATAAGGAGCGAAAGAAGACATGATGAGTAGATGGGGCAAGAGATTAAATTAAAAGTTGAACCTCAGATCCATCACTTTGATAGCCGTTGGTCTCTACGACGTATTAAGAACCTTTCGACTATAGAAAATCGAGAAGGGAAGAAAAGAAAGAAATTAAATTACTATGAAGGAGAATATTTACAAGGGGGAATAACAAATCACCAAAAGAAGTAAAACGAAATATGCTCAAAACTCCACCAAAACCCAACTGCCTCCAAACCTGCGCCGATGGAAACCACTCATTTATGCCACTTTTTCGTCTTCGTCCCAGCCTTCCCCCTAGACGCACCTCCCTCCCTCCGATGCCAAGGATCCAAAGGCCAAACCCACCCCCTCACCCTCTTAGCATCTCTTTTCTCCCCAATCTGCGGCTCAGGGATCCACTTGTCCTTCGCTTCCACCAGAATCCTCTGACGAGTCATCGCACCAGGTCCGCCAACGTTAAGGTGAGCAGAAGGCTGATGTGGAAGTGGAACCGACTTCGAAAGCATTAACAAGAAATACAACCCCAACCCCGCCGTCATAGCTGGCAATGCGTCCTCAGCTGGCTCTGGGTCCGAGGAGTCCTGACTCAAGGGGAATGACGAGCAGGACGAGGACGAGGACGAGAAAGAGCGCGCGCTGACGGGCGTTGCGAGTGGTGCGTCGCGCGGATGTGCCCTCCTCCCAGTGGCTGTCTTGAGCGGAATTGACGCCGCGATCTCCAGGTACCCAAAATAGGGGACCTCATCGCCTGCATCGCAGCCGGCTCGCACGCAGACGAGCTCGATCTCGGTGATGATGAAGCCGTAGCGACAGGAATGCTCGCGCATGCAGCGCTGGAGGTGGGCGAGTCCGTTGAGGTATTCCACGCGTCTGTGGGGGGCTTCGTTGCGCATTCCGGTGTTCCAGCGGTCAAAGCTCTTCACGATGCCGACAAGTCGGCCGCGCGGGAGACCCGTACTTGTTTGCTCGGTGTCTGAGAGGTAGTTTGCTAGGAAATGTGGGTGGCCGTGGTTTTTGTGGCCTGTGTTGCGGACATCTGGGGCAGCGTAGAGTTGGAGGTGGTCTTTGCCTTGGGAGACGGCTAGCGCGGCGTTTATGCGTGGTGCGTAGAGATCGCGGATTAAACACACTAGGTCGTGCTCGGATTCTGGCGCTAGGCTTGCTGGAGATACGACCACGCGCGGTGTGAGCTCTGCTGGGATTTCAGTCTTCAAGAGCTGGATTAATCGGCTGTCCAGAGAGTCAAATGCCGCCAGTGAGAATGAGCTCCAGTTGCGCAGGTTGCGGATGTCCCACCAGAAGTAATCGTGTAAGCCACGAGTTGGCACTACACTCACGTTGCGGACTATGTTGATTGGTTGGATTGGTAGTGTCAGATATGACAGTAGAGTTGTGGTCCTCGGGGCTAGATCTTCATGGGGGCTGAGCAAGACTGGTGAATGCTGGGCAGCCGATGCCTGGCGGTAGCTGTATTGAGGCGTCGGCACTGTCAAAGAAGTTTGCATGCTTGCGGGAAAATGCTGGTCCCCCAGTCTTTGAGAATATGATAGGTAAGGCATGATGCTTGGAGTGATTGGGGTGACTGGGGTGGTCGGGGTTGTCTGGGCCTGCATTTGAGGTGTATATTTTGGCAGCTCCCGATAGGTGGGATACCCGAATCTAGTCAAAGTAGCTACATCAAGAACAGATGCCGACACCGAGCGTGAGTGGCCCCCACCTGCCTTGCGCTTGCACGAAGGAATGATGGTCACAGGCGATGACAAGGCAGAGAAGCTGCCTTGAGCAGTCATCGGCACCGGCGAGATGGGAGAGGCCAATGTTAAGCGGTCCGCAATGTTGCGTGACCGACGGCCTATTGATGGCCGCGCAGGTGGGTAAGATGTAAGTCCAGGAGGAGGGTTCCGTGTATTAGACAGAACCCGACGATGACGAAGAGGTCCGTTTGCAGACACGGGCTCAAAAATCACGACGTCTTGGAGTCGGATCTTTGGTAGTAGCTTTGGGCCATGATGATGTCTGGTTGGCGACGTGGTAGGACTGGTGTTTCCAGTCATAGTTGACCAGGGGGATGACTCGCTTGAATAGACGGAAGAGTTGGAGGCATGACAACTATGCCCGGAGCCGATGTATTCCCCAAGAGAAAGATGCGGCGGCGTCGTTGGCCGAAAGCGAGCAGAATCGACAAAAGACATGATAGCGAAGTTGTTGATTAGGTGTGGCACCAATGACAATCTATCACAAGGGTAACAAATGAAGGAAGGAACTGATGTCTTGTTGACCGAGTCGTTCAGAAAGGCATGATTTAGAAGGGAAGAAGTTTAGATATTAAATGGACCTCGATAGAGTCTCAAACAGCCAAGCATAATGCGTATAAAAAGATTGACTTGACGAACCATAACTGATCTAGAAAAGATGAAACATGGAGAAGAGCACCGTTGTAACGCCTACGGAGCTTGAGAATCTTTTTTTGGGATCCTAGTCTCCGATCAGAGGCATGTCCACTCGATGAAACGCGAAACTGCCGACATTGTGCCTGAAGACAGGCATGTTGAGCAACAAGGCCCTTGAAACTGCCCCTCTTAGGGGGTCCGGTCCGGTATAGTGCGGTTTCATCGGACTGTCGCGCGTTAAGATGTTACTATATTTTGCATCTTCTTCAATATCATTCTTCAGATTTCCTACAATGGTTAGCTTGCTGCAAGATTCTCGATATATTCTAAAAACGGCAACAATTAGGCCACATTTCCATGTAATTAGCGGACTTGTTGGTGACTCTCCCTGCTTCCGGACTCGCGGGGTCAGCGGTTAAGGGATCCAAGGAAGCATATGGTTAAAAATAGCCATCGGGCCCATAGAATGTGTGATTCCAGGGTTGAAAATGGGCAATGAAGACCCCATGAAGGAAGGGTAGCTGCTCTAGATGCGCCAGTGGCCGAATGTGATAACGAAGTCAGCGGCTACATGTATGGGATGAGTTTGAAGTACGCGCTGAACACCGGCGTCACATCATGTGATTGGATGATTCGATCTTGAAACTAAGAAATTTCCCATAATTAGCAACCATTAATGCAGTGGATATGAGCTCATGCAAGAGACATCTACGGAGTATCTGGAAAGAGGTTGAGGTCAAGTTGGGGTGATCAACACATAATCACGCATTGACCGTTGGGGGGTTTCGCGGTTAGTCTACAGTGTTGCTGTGAACTATTGTAGTTAATATCGACTTATTAGGGACAGATTTGGTTGGAATTATTTGGGGAAATTTTGGAAATTCATCACATTAATTGTCGTTTTAATAATTTCATGACAATCATTTTCATCTGGGTCGAAATGATCAAAAATACCCAACCGAAAGAGTTCTTTTTTTTTTAAAAAAAAAGGAAAGAAAACGAAACAAAATGAAAGGTCTCAAACAAGCCTTCCTATGATCTATGCACCTTGCAAAACACTCAAAACGCTCGGGGGAATCTCTTTGAACCGTCTAAACAACACATCGAACGGTTAAGGCAATCGCAGAACATCAAAGAAACCTTAAGCCTTGATCTCGTACTTGCGGCGGAACATGTCATCCACCTCAGTCAAGTAGTAGACACCGGATCCAATGGTCTCAATGTTACCAGTGGGCTTGAAGTCCTTCTTCAAGTGGGCGTGCTCACGGAGCTTGCACATGGCATCATACGCAACAGGCTCGAGGATAGTGCGGGCGTTCAGGCGGTTCTGGAGGTCAAGCTTTTCAACCATGCCGGAGACATCACCGACAATCTTGGCGCTGAACATGGAGCTGGCCAGACCAGAACCGTAGCTGAAGAGACCAATGCGCTTGGGCTCTTTGGGGTCGAAAGCGACGTTGCTGAGAAGACTGGCCAAACCGCCGTATACGGTGGCAGTGTACATATTACCACACTGGGTGGCGACCTGGAGACCAGGGTTCACACGCTCGGCGAAACGCTTCTTAGTCAGACCCATGAAAGTCTTCTCAACAGCCTTGTCGGTAAGAGACTTCTCGTAGTCCAAGTCACGGAGCTCGGGGGCAACTTCAGCGAAAGCGGGGTGCGAGGGGTTGGCCAGGTAGTCGTTATAAAGCATACGAGCGTAGGACTTCTGGACGAGCTTGCAGGTAGGGGCGTGGAACAGGATGTAGTCGAAGCGGTCCAGAGGGGACAGAGACTCGTCGGTAGCACCGTTGGTCTGAATCTTCAAAGTCTTCTCCCGGACGTCGTAGGCCTTGTAGCAGGCATCGACAGCCTCGGTGTAGCATCGAAGGGAGTAGTGACCATCGACAACGGGGTACTCGCTGGTGAGGTCGGGCTTATAGAAATCGTAAGCGTGAGTGAGATAGGAGGCACGGAGACCGGGCTCGAAGACGATAGGGGCATCGGGGCCAATGACCATGGCAACACAGCCAGCACCACCAGTGGGGCGGGCAGCACCAGCAGCGTACAGGGCAATATCACCGCAGACCACAACAGCATCACGGCCATCCCAGGCGGAGGACTCGAGCCAGTTGATGCTGTTGAAGACGGCGTTGGTGCCACCGTAGCAGGCATTGACGTTGTCGACACCTTCAATGTTGGTGTTTCCGTGAGGAGCGAAAAGCTGCATGAGCACGGACTTTACGGACTTGGACTTGTCCAAAAGGGTCTCAGTGCCAACCTCGAGTCTTCCAACGGACTTGGGGTCGATGTTGTATTTGTTCATGAGGGAGGAGAGGACGGTGAGGGCCATGGAGTAGATGTCTGCCGGGAACGATTAGCTGATCAGTCTTGGTCTCCATTGGAATCTGACGGTGTTGACGGTGTCCATACCCTCACGGTCATCACAGAAGCTCATCTTGGTCTGTCCGAGACCAATGGTGTACTTTCCAGCAGAGACGCCATCGTACTTCTCGAGCTCAACCTGATCAACACACTGCAATTGATGGATCAGTATAGATCATAGGTGATTATACACATATGGCATGCTTACCTGAGTAGGGAAGTAGACCTCAATGGCCTTGATACCGATGTTTTGGGGACGAGCAGCCATGGTGGGGGGAATGGAGGGGCAACTTCCTTTTTTTTTTGGGAAAACACAAAGTAAGGATGAAGAAAGAGTGAAGAGAAGAAGAAGGTCAAGATTAAAATTAATAAAAGAAAGGAAGAAGTTCAAAGAGAAGGCAATTGATATAAGAATGAAAAGGAGTTTGTGTACTCGGTTCTACCGTGTACGATCTGTCACCACCTTTTTTTTTTTTCCCTTTTTTTCTGTCCAAGTGGGGAGATGTGCCCTCTTTTTCAGTTTCTTTTGTTACAGTTCCTTTGGGCCGGATCATTGCCTAGGGGATCTATAATGACTGGAGTCCAACATACTATAGAGATCTTGTATGTAAAGCAACGGATTGTACTCCGTACTATGATACGTTATGTACTCACCGCTAACCACAGTCTCTTAAACTTCACTTTAAACAAAAGCAGAATAGTCAATAGGAAATAATTCCATCTAGAAAAAGATCCCTAGGTATGTTTTATACTCTGCTACGTGGCTTTTGGGGGAAAATAATAACGGATCGCAACATCCAAGCTACGGTGTAGAACTGAGTCTGCCATCTTATCGATCTCTCTTGTCTCCACTCGGTTTTCTTCCAGGTTCAGTCTTTGAGATCTTATTATATCTTTTAATACGGAGGATCTGGAGTCTCTCTTTCCCGGGTTTCTATTCATTCTCGGATCATTGAGTGGAGCTATAGAGTAATTTTGAGCTACATTAGGATGGTCCGGCATCACCTCGGAAGTCGGGGATATTTAGCCTGAAATTTGCTGCTCTACAATAGAGGTTATTCAACTGCCTTGATGACTGGCTTATTGTCTTCCCAGTAATCTTATGTAGAGCTTCAGTTTCCCCTTTGCTGTGAAGTGTTGTTCGGATTCTGCCTAGGGATCTATGTTGTAATTTCGTTGGCATGGACAGGGTATGGAGCAGATTGGAGAACATCTGCACAACACTGCATTTCCGAAGTCCGTAATATATTGAAGAAAAAGTACGGGTTCCTAAATCGATCTCGACGGACAAAAATGGTTCCCACGCCAACATTCTGATATCCGGATAGCATGGAAGAATCCTTATGCCCAAACATCTAATGTCAGGATGCGTAATGCAGTACCGAAGTTGCCAAGCGTGGGTCACTCTCACTCCGGGGCGTCTGCCTATCTCCTGTCTCTCTCCTATACGACTCCATCGAACTTCTGGACAAATTCATTTATCGGCATATGATGTCGGACGTCGCTCATTTCCCTTTTTCCTACAGATCATGATCCTCCGGATCTCCGCACCCGTGTTATACACTGCTTACGGCTCTCCGGAGCCCCGTATCTCCCACAATGGGCGACGAGAAGTTTGACTATCAGGCTGTCCCCATCCCTTCTTACGCTGAAGCCACCGGCCAACCCTCCTCCTCTCGATCCAACCTTGGCGACGGAACAGATGTTGAACGACAGGGGCTACTCGGTCGCGATCATGCCTCCACACGTGGCTACCACCCACCAACCGTGGAATCGGCGCGCTCCAGCCTCGATGACCTGGAGTCATTGACCTCACACTCAGATCGAGAGTCGGTGGAGGAGCTACGGCGGGAAATAGATCAAATGGATGTGGATGATTCGGCATCGGCCCCCTTAACCGGCAGACAAGCCCCTCTGCGAGATCGTTTTTCCAAGCAGCTATCGAGTCTGGGTCGTACCCTCTCCGCTATTCAACGTCCTTTCCAACGGTATATGCCCAATTTGCGCTTCACGATAAATCTTAGTGACACAAGGGCACGCTTCAAAGATAAGGGGTGCATCATGCTTCTCCGAGTGTTCGCTCTTTTACTGGTGGTCACCCTAGTGTATGTGTTTTTCATTGCAGATGTCTTCAATATCAACAGTCGCATGGCCATGGGTCAGTCCTATAGCGCTGCCTCTGTCGAAAACTTCATCCAAGGTCACATCAACGAGACCAATATCGCCGAAAACTTGCGACGAGTCACCAACTACACTCACATGGCTGGCACGGAAGGCAGCTTTGCGCTATCAAAATTAATTGAACAAGAGTTCCAGAATGCAGGGTTCGATGAAGTGTCGCGGGAGGAATTCCAGGTCTACCTCAACTATCCACGCAAGGACGGGAGGAGAGTCGCAATCATCGACCCACCCAGTCTAGCCTGGGAGGCGAAACTCGAAGAGGACAATGCCAAGGACCTGGTATTCCATGGGCATTCGAAATCTGGCAATGTCACTGGGCATCTGGTGTATGCTAACTTCGGGTCCCGGGAAGATTTCAAGCTGCTCGCAGATACTGGAATTTCACTTGATGGCTCGATTGCCTTGGTCCGTTACTATGGGACTGAGTCCGATCGCGCATTGAAAATCAAGGCCGCTGAATTAGCCGGGGCTGCCGGCTGTATCATCTACTCCGATCCCTCTCAGGACGGATTTCGAAAAGGCCCCGCTTTCCCCGACGGGCGGTATATGCCAAGCGATGGCGTGCAAAGGGGCGGTGTCAGCATGATGTCACAGATAGTTGGTGATGTTCTCAGCCCTGGATGGGCATCCACTCCAGGAGAGAAGCATCGTCTATCTCCCGAGGATAGCCCCGGACTACCCAAAATTCCCAGTCTCCCACTCGCTTGGCGCGATGCACAGATACTTCTGCAAGGCCTCAAAGGTCACGGCTCCAAAGTCCCCAATGAATGGGTGGGTGGTGTCCCAGATGTACAAGAGTGGTGGACTGGTGACCAGGGCTCCCCGATCGTTCATCTGATGAACCTGCAAGATGAAGTAGAACGGCAACCTATCTACAACATCCACGGCAGGATCACTGGAATGGACGAGCGCGATAAGAAGATTATTGTTGGCAACCACCGAGATTCGTGGTGCATAGGAAGTGTTGACCCCGGAAGTGGCACTGCTGCTTTCCTTGAGGTTGTACGAGCCTTTGGCGAGTTGCTCACCTATGGATGGCGGCCGCTTCGCACCATTGAATTTGTCAGTTGGGACGGAGAGGAGTACAATTTGATCGGCTCAACAGAACATGTCGAAAAGGAGGTTGATGATCTCCGTGCGAATGCGTTTGCCTATCTGAATGTTGACGTGGGTGTTGCTGGGCCTAACTTCCGTGTGTCTGCATCGCCCGTTTTTGAGCGCACCGTGCTGCAAGTTCTGAGTCGTATCTCGGACCCCTATGCGAACGCAACACTGAAAGACCTCTGGGATAAGAAGGGCTCAAAGATCACCCCACTTGGCGCTGGAAGTGATTATGTTGCGTTCCAGGATATTGCTGGCACCTCGAGTATTGATTTCGGATTCGAGGGCGAGCCCTATCCATACCACAGCTGCTACGAAACGTATGACTGGATGGTTAAATTTGCAGACCCCGATTTCCAATACCACAAAATCCTAGCTCAATTTTGGGGACTTCTTCTCCTTGACCTTTCGGAGAGCCCCATGCTGCCATTTGATTTAGAAGTCTACGGCAATTCCATTGAGGGATGGGTCAAAGATTTGGACAAATTTGCCAAATCAAAGAAGGCCAAGGTGGATATGCAACCCATGTTCAAGGCTGCGACCGAAATGAAAGCCAACGCTGTTACATTCCAGTCCTGGAACAAGATCTGGCACGACACTGTGTGGGGCATGGGCGGATATGAAAGCAATATCATGGCAGTCCAGCGGGTGACCCATAATGTTCGAATGGCTGCCTTTGAGACAAATTTACTTGACTTGGAAGAAGGCGGTGGCGTAAGTTGACGTCTTGCTTGAATCATCCTTCACCCCTAGCTCACGACTTGTACAGATCCCCAACCGCACACAATTCCGACACGTCATCTTTGGTCCAGAGCTGTGGTCCGGCTACGACGCCTCGATCTTCCCTGCTATCCGCGACAGCATTAACACAGGGAATTGGACATTGACCCAATATTGGATCGACCGGGTGGCCAAGACCATCCACCACGCCAGCGACAAGCTACTCCACTAATTTTTTCTGCCTTTCAGCCCTTTTCCTATTTGCTGTTCTTCTCAGCCATGCCTCATCCGCGCTTGTCGGATTGATTGTTTTGTCACGTTCTAAACGAGCACTGTACAGCCCGACACCTGCCGCTGGTTGTCGGGATACTTCTATACCTGCATTTTGGGAACTTCTTTCATGCCCATCATATCCCACGCATGTCTTGAGCTCATACGGGACTGAGCACATTGTTCTTCTGTCGATCCTATTGGTCGCATCATCCCCGCTATTCTTGAATGTATCTAGCTTCTCATCCTAGTCCTGAGGGACCGGCGTTCATATGGGGATATATCACTTTTCGTCTCTAGCTTTTAAGATGCTTTTAAACCTGCGATTCTACGTGTTTTACTTGCTCTTTCCAAGTGCTATACCCTTAGGGCAGTGCTTAATTTTTCAAAAGGAGATATTTTGCCATATTGGATGGTTTTGGGCCAAGAGAATCCCTCAATGAATTGACGAAGCCTATTATCCGTCTATACAGCATCATTCCTTCCTCTGCAGCCCTAAGACTGCCAGGAAACTCATTGATTCATTTCCTTCTCCATGTTGAAACATTTTCACTCAGACGCAAAATCCCAGCTAAGGTGACCAGGTGCGGGGAAGGATCAATAGTCACATCCGTCGTAGATATGCTACTCCGCAAAATGTGCATCCCTATCCTCACATTTTGGGCTCAGCATAATGTCTCTTCACTTTTTCCTCTTTCCTGAAAGCTGGAATGGAAATGTTTGAGCTCGAAGGTATCCGTTATCGGGCCGAGACTGGAGACTTGCCCAAATTCTCAAAGCTCGGAGCTACACTTCTGTACACTGAGGTGGAGTAGCGACCATATTCAATATCAGATTTACATATTGCCATTGCTAATGTGGCAGTAATCACGGCTAAAGCCATTCGGAATACCCACTCACGTCTCATCCCGTCCCTCAATCCAAAACTTTACAAACCAGCGTGCTGACGACTTGACATTCTACATCATCTCCTACATCGAGAAACAGAGAATTTGGTAATTGAACTGCAAACACCGCAAGCACAACACCATGTCCCTGGTCTACAATCTCTTGGCCCAGCAAGATGCCATCAATGACATCCAGATCGCTCATAGCATGAAGGAAGACTCTACATCTATGAATCGAAATCGCTGCTCTAACTTTGAGTTTTCTTCCAGATACCTTCGCAGGCAAGGTGGTTGGTGTAGGGGTTTGTGGGGGTGCCATCAGAGAAAAGATATGACTAATTTGGGTCGCAATAATAGTCCCGCTTACGCTGGGGGTCCTGATTTGTTGGTGGCTGTATAAGAGAGCAAAGCCGCCGACGGCCGAGGGGAGTATGATGATGATGGGAAAGACAAGGCTGATTCTGTAGAGACGGGGACAAGTGCTTTCTAGGAGGAGGTCCAGTGTTTTTCCTGGCGGCTTTTCACTTCGGAGATTTAAGACCGGTGTGGGCGAAGAGAGATATAGAGTCCAGTCTCGATCACCGTTTTTCTTGTTGAATGGGTAGGCATATGACATCAAATAGATATGGCCTTCTTTGAGCCTTTCCCATATGGTACTTACACATGGGTATCACTCAGCATTGTAATTCCATCAAACTAGACAGGAGGCAAAGAAGGCTCAATCACCACCAAAGACGGATGATCAGCCAAATTCTGCCAGAACCCAGCCTCGAAATCCCACAAATCTTGACTCAGTAGTGACGTCCACTCTTCATTACCCTCAAGTCCAGCCATTTCAGGCAGAGAGTGCGCCGGATCCGAATGAGTCGAGTCTAGAAAACGCTGTATAGTCCGAGTGGCCTTGGAAAGCAACGGGTAATTCGGATCCCCAGGTTTAACAATAGTCCCGATCTGCACCTCCGCTACAAACACACTGAGATCTTGTAATGACCGTGTCCGGTGCGCTCGTGGCATGTGCTGCTTTAACATGGCCAGAAGCATAATCCCCGCAGCGGGGAGGCCGTAGTATGCGACCTAGTTAGTGTCTACATTAGTCGAATGCTTGAAGTTGGAGGTTTTGTAGACACAGTTTGTTTTTTAAAAAAACACCAAGTCTGTTCCATACACACCTTCCAGATAAGACCCGTCCCAGAATTAGTGAGCTGATCCCGCAGCAGAATAATCTCCACAACGAGCGTGAGCATCTGACCCGCCGTTTCAACAGTCGGTAGATCGGGCTCGGTCGGTGATTTAAGAAGTAAAAGACGGAGCAAAAAAAGCACATGTAAGTGGTGCAGCCGTACACCGGCAACGAAATCCCGCCCGAAGGGTCCTTGTGTGCATTTCTTCAGACTGCCCTCGAGCCGGAAATGGGCCGGCAGGTGTTGCCACTGCTCCTCTGCTTGACACTGTATCACGCTATACGACTGCTTGGTTAGCCATGGTTTTCATTGGGATATTCGGCGTGGGAGTTGCTTTTATATACCTTGCTCGTTGCGCACATGACGGATGATGCTTGTCTTGAAGAAGCTCCCAGATCTCCTCCTTCAGCGATGCGCACAGTGCAGACCACCGCGTATCAGCCCGGTACCCTGGTTCCGCGTCTGGGGTCCAGTCTGCTGAGCCTTCTTTTGCGTTCCGGCACGATGGGATCTGGAAGTGGCAGAATCGTTTGTTCATTCGTGGCGGGCGGCCGAGGAATATTGCTACATTCTTATCTGCGGAGTAGATACGCGCAAAGGCTGTTTTGCGCAGTTCTTTAAGGAATGGCGGGAGTCCGGCTTTTATTTCGATGTTTTCGTGGTAGCCTAGGGCAAATGTGGAAGATATTGCGTCGCCTAGTTTGCGCCAGGAATGATAGCCTTCGAGGGTCAACACATGGCTAAGTAGAGATAGTTAATCATGGATAACTTACTTTGGTCTCCATCTACATAGGAGTGAACGATAAAGTTTTCGTATTGCATCACCAGCTGTAGATCATTCAAGCAATCTAGAGACAGAGATATCTCTAGTGCGAAGTCGCAAAGTTTGGTGCATAGTCTTCGGAGAGTGTACTGCTCTTGCTCGGTGGTATATAGAGAGGGAAAGATCGCAATGTCAATTGTCGCTCGACTGACAGCGGCAAAAAAAATCCCCAGTGTCTCCCAACGAGAATTGTGATCGAGAAACTGAGCCGAGAAACTAGCCAGGTCAGAGGTATCGTTAAAGTGCAGTGGCTGGGCCGAGTTTTGCAAGAGGCGTCTTGCATAAATTAGATGCCAGTTGTCGTCATGATAAGTAAACAATTGGCTCACACTCTGAGCACATTGTTCAACAAAGGGCTCTGCCAGGGCCAGGTTAGCTCCCTTGACTAGCCAAAACATGACGAGATCTGTCATGGCGGACAACTTGTATGTTGTCAAGAGGTGTTTGAGGATATCTGCGCCTTGCAGGACCAGATGGTTGTCCCCAAATAAGTCTGATTGTAGATCCTCCGGTACCACCTGATGATTACCGAGGCCTTGGTCTCCATCTGGAGTGATGTGCTTGAATATAGCTGCATGGCTGGAAGATCCTAGATATCCAGGGTTTGGGTACGGATTGCGCCTTGGATTAAATGACGGCGATTCATCCGGCGAATCAAGGCTGCAAAGATACAATCAGTCAATTCAAAAGCAGTTCAGGAAAGTATGAAACTGACCTTTGCTTCTCGACTCTTTTTCGCTTAAAGGGCGTAGTCCTGTAGATACAAATTCCCTTGTTAGCACTGCAACGCGTGCAAACGGGTAACTGATGGTCGCATGCCAGTTTGGCCTTCCTGCAAGCTTCACAAGCAGCCAGACGCGACATGGCTGGTCTGGCGGAATTTCGCCCGCTAGTGGAGTCCTAAGAGTGAAGTCGGCAAGCTACGGCGAGATCGGAGAGACGGAGAATCGGCGTGTCGGTGATAAAGATGCGGGGATCCATCCATCTATAAATAATGGTCTTTCTTCTCTTCTTCTCCATCTCGAACATCAAATTTATCATGACCCAGGAAATAAAACTCGCAGAATATCTGTTCACTCGGTTGCGCCAGTTGGGCGTCGACTCCATGTTTGGCGTCCCTGGTGACTACAACCTTCGCCTATTGGATTTTGTCACTCCTGCCGGCCTCCACTGGGTGGGCAACTGTAATGAACTCAATGCCGCCTACGCGGCAGACGGATATGGTCGCATAAAAGGCCTATCTGCACTGATTACTACCTACGGCGTTGGCGAGCTGTCCGCTATCAATGGTATTGCAGGCGCCTATGCCGAGAACACACCTGTGTTGCACATTGTCGGGACTCCACCACGCCCACTTCAGAGCGCGCGCACGTTTATGCACCACACCTTCTCAGATGGCGACTATCGTCGCTTTGCAAACATGTCGAAGCACGTCACTGCGGCTCAAGTGAGGCTAGAAGATGCTACCACAGCGCCGGAAAGGATCGACTATGTCCTGCGCCAGGCGTTGATCCACAATCGACCAGTCTACCTCGAATTCCCCGATGATATGCCCGATGTGCTAGTGTCGGCTACAAATTTGGAAACGAAGATCTGCATCCCCCAACCACCAAGCTCTGTGCAAGAGCCTCAGGTGCTGGCTCGCATCTTGGAGAGAGTGTACAGTGCCAAGCGTCCATTCATCTTTGTGGACGGAGAAAGCACAGGTCTCGGTATCGTCGACCAGCTTGACACTCTTATCAAATCAACCAACTGGCCCACATGGACAACCGTGTACGGCAAGGGCCTAGTCAACGAACAGCTGCCAAATGTGTACGGACTGTACGCGGCAGCCTTTGGCGACAAGCCAGCACAAAAGTATTTCGAGGAAGCAGATCTGGTCCTGATGTTTGGACCGCACTACAGCGATACCAACACCAATTCCTACACATCAATCCCCAAACCCGCAGTGACAATTACCTTCTCGGGCAGTACCATTCAAATCGAAAACAACACCTATCGCGACCTCTCCGCCCACAAAATTCTATCAAAACTACTCCAGAATCTCGATTTTACACGCCTAGTCAAGACCACCGGACCCCAGAAACAAGGAACCACACTGGCCAACATCCAGAACACAGATCCACTTGCCCAAGACAACTTTTACCGCCTGGTAAACCCACTCTTCCGCGAGGGCGACATAATCCTCACCGAGACAGGCACCGCAGCGCACGGTGGCCGGAACTTCAAACTGCCTGCGAAAGCCCGCATTTTCGGCGCAGTGACCTGGCTCTCGATTGGATTCATGCTCCCGGCAACGTTAGGTACAGCACTAGCGCAGCGTGAGCGCAATAAAGGCACAGAGAGTAAGAGTCGGACGATTTTGTTCATCGGCGATGGAAGTCTGCAGATGACGGCGCAGGAGATCAGTGTGATGATCCGGGAGAAGCTGAACATTATCATTTTTATTATCAATAACGACGGATATACCATCGAGCGGGTGATCCACGGACGCAAACAGGTGTACAACGATGTGCCGTTCTGGAGACATGCGCAGGCGTTAAACTATTTTGGGGCTGATGAAAAGCATGCGGCGAATAATACTTTTACGGCGAAGACTTGTGGCGAATTGAAGAAGATATTGGCTGATGAGCGGATACAGAATGGATCTGGGGTAAGGCTTGTTGAGGTGGTCATGGGCAGGGAGGATGTGCAGGGAGCTTTGCTGTATTTACTGAACAAGCAGCTTGATCAGGAGGAGGCAGAGCAGCAGGAGCAGATCTAGAATGAGAAAGGAGAGATCACTTGTTACTTACCGACCAATGACATACATTTTCTACTGTAGTTTCCTTGGATTGTAGTATTGATCAAGCGGAACGTTGTCTTACTATGATTATTATTGCGTGTCTCGCTCCTAGCACACGAAATGAGAAATGCTTGAAAGAACAAAATCAGGCTCAGTAAACGCCGATTCCCTATGCTCCAGATCCGCCATGCACACAGTGTTGTGAAATTAGAAGAAACAAATAGGAATGGCTCGAAACATCCTAAAACAGACATCTGCTTGAACATGTTGTGGGGGAGTCTATAATTGACCCGTGTAACTGAGAGGGAGTTCACTCATGCTGAATTGTGTTTATTTGCGGAAGCATTCAACCCCCAGAGTTGGGGTTTCCACCATGCCATCAGTGGGGACGCCCTCGTCCCGACGACGGGCGAAAAAGCTGTCGCATTCGGAGACAATGTGTGCCCACTCCGCAAGGGCACGGCCTGCATATTTGCTAGGCACAAGATGGTCGCAAGAAGATTGGGAAGGAAGTTCAGGCAAAGGGGAGTTCTTGGTTGTAGCTATTCTTGGCCCGGTATCAGAGGTAGGCTGTGTGGGAGTATCTTGGTCGGTGGTAACGGTGTCTGGTTCCTGTTCATCATTCTCCAAGTCGGACTGGCCCGGATTCTCTGATGCTGTGTCATAATCCGACTTGTCGGGAGAACGCCGATGCTCAATGTGCAGTTGGGATGCGACAGGGAGACAAGGAGCAAAAAGACGTTTGTTTTTGGTGGGCCAATGAGGCCGATCCATCCACTCCAAAGAGAATTTAAAAAAGAATGGCTGGTGGGGAGCTTTGGGGCGGATGATCTCGCCCGTACCGCGGGTCGGAGTTTGTTCGTGTTCATCCAGACATTTGCTGTCAGCAGTCATTGTTGGGTCTGATGCGCCATTCTCAGAGTCATCAGAACTGCTGCTGCTGACGCCATCACCGGAACGTGTGGTAGAAGAGCTGCCAAACATAGCCTTGAGTATTCCCCACCGTCTTTTAGGTGGCTGACCATCTGGGCCATTGGGGTCGGAAGATCCAGTTCGACGGTTTGATGTGAGTTGCTCCGAAGGAGCAGGTGGCACGACTCGGTCGAAACTGACAAAAAGATTGACAGGAGACAGTTGGTTTTCGCATCGGATAATGATGATTCTTCGACCTGGAGCAGGTGTGCAAGGGGCAGAGGACAAAGGAGCTGTCATGTCTTCTTCGGCCTTGGACTGGAACCCAACATAATACTCCCAGACTCGGAGGAGTCGATCTGAAAGAATTTCATAGACGTTGGTGTCAAGTGATGAGGGTTCAGTATTAAATCGCGCGACTCTCCAACACAACAAACGATGGAAATAGGCTCGCACCATGGGACTCCAGTGGTTGAAGTAATGGTAGAATACTGACTCATGCAACAATAAATTCACGCACATAGATGCTTTTCTTTCCTCTGTAGCAGTCCAGGTACCCCAAATGCAGAAGAGGAAAGAGAACACTCGCACCTCAGTGAGCGAATTGTGGCTCTGCATCATTTGGCGACAAGCATCGAGCCAAAAGCCCCAATCAAACAATTCCGATTCAATTGACTGGGCATACCGTGTGATGATTGGGATGACCTCCTCGAGGAAGTCACATAACAAAAAGCACGCGTTATGATCAAAGAGAGACGTTTTCTGCGCTGCAGCCTTGATGATGCCACAAAATGATTCAGCAAACAACAATCGGGCACGATTCGGTTCCACGGATGATTCAGACAGGAGGTCTCGGAGAAGGATGATCAGACGGTTCTCTGACATCGACCGATGAGTGTTGCTGCCACTTCGGAGATGTTGAGCAGAGGCAGAAGCATCCGGCGACTCGATCAAATCATCGAAGGTAATTGCAGCGGCTGTGTGCGAATTGTCGGGCCCCTGTGGTACCGATTGTTTGTAGATCGTGTCCTCCAGCACTCGCAGGAGTTGCGCATGGACGATCAACAACCCAGGTGCCAGTGTCCGTTTCGCCTTTTCAGTCCCCGGGGACAAATACTCAGCATACAAGATGTGAATGTACTTGACGAAGACAAAGAAGAGGTCCGTATCACGCCCAGCCCATCGTGCGATCCACGGACGGTTCCAATTGATAGAGGTAGTGTTCAAGGGTAGCTCGGGTTTCTGGCGTAGATACCGCAACAGAGGTGCTTGTGAGTGAAATGCTAGGGGACGGAGAGCCGGAGGAAAGCACAGGGCGAGTTCTTGTGTGTATGCACGCATGTTTCCAGTACGTGACCCGGCCGATTCTGACAAGACGCGTCGGAACATGTTGGGAGGCGTGCTCCACAAGCGGACCAGGATCTCGGGCACCCCAGGACAGAAGAAGAAGGCATATGCGCAAACCTTGCCGCAAAAGGCGACCAGGCTGGCTGGTGCGTGTCTCATAGACATTCGTTCCACCACAAATGCCATTTGAGAGAGCAGGTTTTGGATGAAGATATTTCGGATGTTGTGATGGATCGATTCAACCAGGAAATCCGAACCCGAGGAGCCTGACCCATCCGATGTTTCCGACACTGAAGTTGACGCATACTTCAATGATTCCGTAGTCCCACTGCCATTCTGGACCACGGGGAAGGGGATGCGCCATTCCGGTCGAGCCATGATCCCTACGACAGCTTCCAGAAACACTGGTCTGTCGGTTCCCGAGATCGACTGGTTATGCTTGCCATTGAGCATTTCCAACATTCCAATCCACCATTTGTTGAGAATATTGACTCGACGATCCAGGTCTTCGGGTCTGAGGTTCTTACATGATTCGTGAAGGTGATGGCGGCTGAGAAAAGGGAGGAGCGAGGTACGGATGACGTTGGCCTTTAGCGAGATGGATTTAGCTTGAAACCTGTTCTGGTCAGCAGTGTTACTGTGAATTGCAAAGGAAAGTGCACATACTTTTGGAAATCCGCCTCCAGGCCACGAAAGATACCCCAAAGCTCATCCTTGTTCCGTGTTTGATCGGTACCGGAATTCGCATATGCCGCAGCAGTTTCTGCGGCTCCCTTGGGCATAGGTGGTAAAACCGGGGTCGAAATGGATAACGCTGCTGTGAATTTTTCGAAAGAGGACCTGCGCCGTAGCGAATTGCTAGATGGGCTGCTTGGAGAGCCGGGGCTATCTTCGAGGTCCTTGGCCACAACAGCCAGCATAGGTCGGCGCGGGCGTTTGTAGAGAATGGTTCGCCTGCGGGAGGGTTGTGTCTGATCATCTTCTGTTTTTCGGCTGCTGGATCGAGTTGGGGATTGAGAATCTTGCTGCTTAGATCTCTTTGCAGAGGGGGATGGAGACCGGGAGGAAGAGCCCCATGGTTTCCTCGCAAGGCTGACTATCCTTCCAGACATTGACCGGCTCTTGGATGGCCTCACCGCGGCCTCCGGTGCCCTCGTTTCAGGTACATGTGAATCTATATCCTTCAAATCCTCCGATGACGATAGTGTGAATCGTGAGAGGGAGACTGGTCTCGACTTGTCCTTGGAGCGAAGAGAGGTTCGGCGGAGAATGTCCTTCCCCGCAGCCACGGTTTCTTTTGTCGGTGATTCTGCCAAGGTCGGAACAGCACAATCCGAAAACGTACGTCTTAAGATGAATTCAGGCGCGGTCTGATTGGGCAAATCGGTATAGCTGGCGGCACGAGAGAGCACGGGTTTCTGGTCATCGTTCGTCTCGGGTGAAGGTGAAGACATTGTCTAGAGGGGAAGGGGAAGGCAGATCGGTTACTGAGGGAATTTATCTGTCATTTCCCCTTAAATCTGAAGATTCTGAAAATCCAAGCGTAGAAGAGACCAGCTCCTCTATGCACCAGGAGGTTCCGGGTCGAAGTGGTCAGGCGCGCTGCATCTGGGGGAAGGCAAACAAGGCACAGTCCCAATTCTGAAATGCCAACTGTGAAAGAGTATCAGGGAGTAATAGGCAAAAGTAGAGAGATAAAACAATAAGATTGAGGCCAGGAACAACGGAGTTTCGGAGTGGATAGATCGTCTATGCAGCCGCTTACAACATAGAAGGGCGCCACTCTGATTCAGCAAGTGATCGACGGGGGGGGGGGGAATCTCCCCCAAGGGCGTCAGCACAAGGGTCCGGGATAGAAGGTGGGGATAAAATCAAGACGAAGTGAGGGAGAGAAAAAGAAAAAAAAATTTACAAAAAGCAGTTGGAGAAATCAACATTTGTAGAATCAAGTTGGTTCCCAGGGGGAAAATGCCCAAATGTCCACGAATGTTCTCTATTTTTGTCAAATTATTGTTGTCATTTCTTGTTAATTAACTCGAGACTCCTGGGCATAATTAACTTATGTTTTCTCTGCTCCGTATTATACGAGCAATATACCCAGTATATCATTTTAGATTAAAATCAGCTGTTCCTTTTCAGCTGAGACATTCAATACTCATTTTTCTGTTTTGCTCCACTTCTTCTATCTCTTCTTCTTCTTTCTGGAACCATCATGATCTCATAAATACTAAACAGTCTCACGGTGTCAGCTCGAGTCAAAGGTCTCTGCATGCACTACCATGCAGCAAGTCTGATTCGTAAAGATATTCGACTCTCTGTTCAGCCCCAATTGCAAGGTCCTTACAGGCGATAGGCCAATCGCATCCTCTCCGGAACTTGATAGGGCAGAATTCACCAATTGGCTATGACAGCTGTACTCCGTACGGAGTCTTCCGATCGGTACGGAGTACAGATCTTTCGTATATCTCATTCTTAGCCATGGAATATTAGAATGTCTCTGTGATCCGATGGCATCATTAACCCTAAATCCCTATGCTTTTCTCATTCCCCACAAACTGTGTGGCCATAATCCATTATGGACTACTTGCAAAAAAAAATCTACACTGCTATCCACGCAGCAGCTGAATCAGGACCAAATCAGTTTCCAAAGTATGGTGCTATTATCACCACCTATCATAATCTGTTCTGCAGGGGGGTTGAAGCATTAGACGCTTACAAAGTACATCACACTCCTGATATGGCTTTATAAATGGCTATTAATTTCCAGTTGCCATACTTTATATTTCCCTGGATGTATCTGAGAGTTCACTGATACGAGTGCCCTGTTGACACACCATGAATCACATTGTACAAGCCCTTGGCGACTAAAGTTCTTATTGCGCCCCCTGTTGGAAAAATATCAGCACCGAAGTTGAACAACAGGATGCAATCATGGTGCATTAGTACTCCGTACTTGAATAGAACTTGAGTAGTCGTCTTCTCTTTAACTTTGGGGGGTTTTCATTAGACTTTAGCTTTAGCTTTTGCCAGCCACCCCGGTTGATCCCTCCAGGGATATTGATATCAAATTCGGTCAGCAAACAATGTCTGGCAGGTGTTCAATTCAGGGAGTGTGACAGCTTGATATATTAGATCAATTACAATCCTTTTATGGATGAGTTACATGTTAATTTACGGAGTATTGGTGGCAGCAGGAGATCCCAATAATTGGTACCAATAGTTCTCTTATCTGACATTACAGTGTATGTGCTTCCAAGGTCTGATCAAGTAAAGGACGAGTGATTGTATGAGCTTGACAATAAGCCTGTTTAAGCCACGCAAATCACTTCTTGGAAACCAGCAGTTTCATGTCATGTTCTAACCACAGCTACCTGTTTGGCTCATATTGCCGATGCACGTCAAGCAATTCCTCAATTACGAACAGGTAAGACCGTTGATCAATCTAGATGTGCCAGGCATTAATTGCCTACCCACAGCTCTAGCCACCAGTGTTGACTGTTAAGAATCGTTTCCCTGTGCTGCCTTGCCTGTACGGTAAATTTCACACGACGAATCATGTAGGGCAGCCATCTAGATTTCTATGTGGTGGATCGGCTATTCTTGCACTACAACCTTTTTTAATGCTACCACTCCCCGCCCTTCTTGCTCAACTGAAAGCTGAAGATATCATCAGTGACCCCAGTCTGGAGCCCAAAGACAAGTCTTTGGTATCAGCGACCCCGCGTATCCCTTCCTGACTGAAAACCCTTATTCTTGAGCCCCGCCTTGGAAATAAACAGAAAGGTAAGAGTAATTAAAAAAGAAGTCTCAACGTTCAAAATTGTGGTCTAATTTACAAGCTTGAAGACCTCGAGCGGCGGCCACATTAGTTGTGTCGTCGGCATTTAAAGCCGGCCATCCCCTCATATCCCCCCAGACCTTGTCGAATGAAAAAGAAAGAAGAATTTAGTGGGCGGCGGGGGATTCCTCTTCCTCCTCGAACCAGCTCTCCTCGACGGGGGCAGCCTCGCCAGCGGCGGCCTGGCCCTCGACTTCGACCTCCTGGCTCTCGTAGGCGGACAATTCGCTGGCGAGGTTGGCCTCCTCGGGAGACTTGGGGGCCTTGGGGGCGGTGAACTTTTGGACGTGCTCTTCGGCATCACCAGCCTTGATGGGAGTGGGCTTGTAGGCCTTGAGCTCGCGGAGGTACAGGTCCTGGACAGGGTCGGCTGCGGCGGGTTGCGGGTTAGCGAGAAGGTGATCGACAGATGTAGTAGGGATATCCAGGTCATTTTTAAGTTAGTCCCCAGGTAAAGTACGTACCCTGGCGGACGGCGGAGGTCAGGAAGGTGCGGCGAACGACCGAGACCTGTGCCCGAGAGGCACGGGAGAAGAGGGTGCGCTGCTTTTCGCGTTAGTCAAGGGTTGAAATAGACAGCTTTCAATCAAGCAGCACTCACCGAAGCCCGGAGAGACTGAGACATCATCTTGACTGAGGGTGTAGATGAGGAACGAGGGGTGGTTCTCAATAGAATATGTCTGATCCGTCTTTCCGTGAAGTTGGAGGTTCAAACGACTTCTGTTCGGAAAGGTTTCTTGGCAGATGACTCAGCCGGGCCATGTTGTTCCCGATTCTTTCCAGGGCTTCAATACAGCATGAAAACAAACAAATAGTTGGGAGTGGTTCAAATTATCGATAAGAAGCAATGCCTGGTGATAAGATATTCAATTATGAATAGTTGACGATGATGAGGGGAGAGGACATAGTTCTCTGAGCCGACTGTCTACAAAAATTCCCGAGATCACCCGTTTACAAATGCTTCAATGCGTTAACTTCAGTATTTGCTCTCACTTATCTGCGAAGATTATATCTAAAAGCCCTGTTGTCCTCTCTTGGTTTGAACTCTCTGCAGCAGCAAACGAAATTTTTTTTTGTTTGCTGTAGATGGCTTCCTATACTTCATTAACCAATCAGAGCACAAGCAGTGAGCCACGTGACTAGTCTACTAATACTAATCTGGATTGCGCCTTTCTCGGGTGTGGTGCCGCCTGTTGAAGCCTCACCTCATCCCATCGTTACTCTCCCTCATCCTCCCCCAGTCTTTAGCTTCTTCTTTTTCTCCTCCTCAGCCTGTCCCCATTTTCGTGAGAGACTTCTTGCGGAGACCTTGACTGGTTCAACACGGCTGGACAAGCTGAGGCGAGATTTCTGTTCTACTTTCGATCCAAGAAAGCGCAGACTGGTGAAGGGTTTTCTACGGCTGGGGGTGACTCCTTCGAATCCTGACGGCTCTGGCCTGTGAAAGGTAACGGAAATTCTTTGTTCTAGTATATCTTGGCATGACTTCTAGTGGTCAAAGAATCAGACAACGTTGCGGTTTACGGTAGACAATGAGTTTGCTTTGGGCTGAGCTAACATCACTGCGCAAAACAGTGGCCTTGAGCAACTCGATTCCTTTCATCGGCTTTTTTCCTTACTAAGGGATCCTCTCCAGGTGGCCCGCTTTCATTTTACCCACTACAGCCAGCCGCCAAGCTGTATTCGCCACTTCTCCTTCGCTATTATAATCGGAAATACCATCTACCCCGTATAGCGCCAAAGGTCCTTACAAGACGTTGCCACGATCGATACGCGAGTTACTTGAAAACTCAAAATATGGCTAGTTCCGCTCTTGCTAAACCCGAGGTCGCGGCCCCTTGGAAGAAAAACCTGTCCGCTCATCTCGTTTGCCCCGAATGCAAAGAAGATCCTCCAAACCTGGAATTCCCCGACTCACACGAGACGGTTTGTGGTTCCTGTGGACTTGTGCTCGCAGACCGTGAGATCGACTTGCATTCGGAATGGCGTACCTTCTCCAACGACGATCAAAATAATGACGACCCCTCCCGTGTCGGAGATGCTTCCAACCCTCTGCTCAACGGCGCTCAACTGGAGACTTCCATCGCAAGTGGAGGCTCTGGCCGTGCTCGGGACCTGTATCGTGCTCAAAATAAACAGTCTGGTGAAAAGGCGAACAAGGCTCTTCTAGCAGCCTACAAGGAAATCGGTGCTCTGTGTGACGGTTTCAACATCCAAAAGACTGTCGCTGATACTGCCAAGTATCTCTTCAAGATGGTCGATGACGCCAAGGCCTTCAAGGGTAAGTCGCAGGAAGTCATTATTGCCGGTTGCATCTTCATCGCATGCCGCCAGTGCAAGGTTCCTCGTACCTTCACCGAGATCTTCGCTGTGACCAAGGTCACCCGTAAAGAAATCGGTCGCATTTACAAAGCTCTAGAGAAGTTTTTTACCACTCAGAATGTCGAGCGTCACAATGCTGCTTTGGAAAATGGCGAAACTCACGACTTTGCTGGCGATTACAACGCCACTACTTCGACCAAACCAAGCGACCTTTGCAATCGCTTCTGCAACCTTCTCGACCTTCCTTATCAGGTCACCAGTGTTTCTGTCTCCCTCTCGGACCGCGTTACCGCCATGGGCGATTTGGCCGGACGTTCTCCCTTGTCTATTGTTGCGGCTTGCATCTACATGGCTTCATTCCTCATGGGCCACGGCAAGTCTGCCAAGGAGATTTCCCAGGTTGCCCACGTCAGTGATGGAACCATTCGTGGGGCTTACAAGCAATTGTACGCGGAGCGCGAGCGTCTAGTTGACCCTGAATGGATCAAAGGCGGCAAGGGTGATATGGGCAAGTTGCCTGTGAGCTGAACAGTACATTGGAACACCAAAGTTGCTTTTCGGAGAACATTGATGATGCTCACGAAAGGGCGACATGGCCGAACTTTTTGTCCGGAGTAACTTCATTGAAAAAAAAAAAACCAAAAACTCCCCCAAAAAACATCAACATCTGCTTTTATCGAGACACATCGATGCATTTTATACGTCATCATATTTCCTCGCTGCAATGTGCTTAGGATTTTATCTTCGGTGGATATTGGCTTTGGTACAAGCCTGAGAAGTGCCCTGATTTGTACATCATCGTGGACAGGGAGTTTGAGCAACAATCAAGTATCTTCCTATGAATCTGATGAATGTAGATGTAGCCCAGTGTCAACTATTTGTTGGTAGAGTAATCTCTGAAAAGACATCAGAAGCGACTCGAATTTCTGAACACGTTGAGGATTTCTCACTGCCCATTGGGGTACATACATCTGTAAAAGTCGTCTGGCACATTTAAACCCTACCCCCCTATGCTCTGCTCTAGCCACAACAACGATCGGGGGTGATTTTTCAAGCTACAGATTACTTCAAAATTCCACCTAAGCGACGTGACAAGACCGACTGACTGTTCTTAGAGAATGATGAACAAACCCAGAGAACCTAAAGTCCAAAGTCCAAGATCAAAAGATTGAATCTCGGTATGACATGCCGTTCCACCGCAGCCTCGAAGCAGACGCCTAACACCAGAAGCCCAAAATCAGATTGAGGAACCAGCACCATATCACCAGCACAGCGGGATACCAAAGCAACCAACCTAGCTCTTGAAAGCAGGTTTGACTGTGCCATCATCACCAGTGGAGTTATACGGCTTATCGTACCGCTCCTCCATCTCCTGGTTGTGCTTCTTCACGTCCTCAGGGAGATCCTTCTTCGGGTTCCCCTCTCGGTCCGTAAGAGGCGACTGTTCTCCCTTGCTGAGAGTGGGCTTTGCTTTGTTAGAGGGGATTGGGCGGTTGGGCAAGTCTGGCTGGTGGGTGGTGGTTGCTTGCTCGGGGTCATTTGAGGATTTGGTCGCGTAGCCTCGGTATAGGGAAGTGCGAGGTGTTTGAGTCCGTGATGTGGAGAGAGCTCTAATAGAGAATCGGGTCTGGAATGTGATCCTTTGACGCATCAACTTGGTCATTTCGGAGATTGGGCGTGTATCTTGGCTTGGAGTTGCTTGAAAGAGTTTGACAATGGATTGCCCCGAGTGGAATTGACTCCCCTGTATACTCCGTTTACAATTCCCCCATGAAATCAGGTTTGGCATTGTCATTTTTGTCATTTAATGACGTACTTCGATGTCATGAACACGCCAAGAGTTTCGTTTGACAACTTTATATCCAATTTGGACGCTTTTCAGAAAGATTTGGTTTATCTTGGGACTTTTCTTCTTTCGAACCGATTCATTGCCATTTGCATTCTTCTACTAGGGCACATATACGTCGTTATCCAAAAGAAATTACAGAAGCCCAAGAAAAAGGCCCTCCAACTGGCACAAGATGACTTTCCTGTCTACGACATCAGGTCGAAAAAATCCCACCAAAAGCACGATGAGCTGCTTTGCCTTGATGTTACTATCTTGGTGTGGTAGTGGGAAGACCTTCTCTGAAGATATCGTTTGCCCTGATGGTAAATCCGTGGTTCTCTTGAGATACTGAAATTGATGGGAGGAGGAATGGAATATAGTCATACTCTATGTAAGCCAGCATGATGAACAATGACACAACTAGTCCCCGGGGTAGTTAGATGCTACAAGAGTAGTCGGCGGCGTTTGCGGCCTTGTGACGTCTGTTTGTAGTAATTTTGGAAGCCTGTTCGAGAATCTATCTTTTTTGGTCAGTTTTTATAGACAGCTGGCAGAAAAAAGCAGAAAACAGCAGAAAGAGGTTCTGAATTGGACTTTTCTATGTGTAACCTGGATGTAATCCCGGCTATTAGTATCGGCCTACAGGACAAAATGCAACGCTCTGTCTGGAAGAGATTAAATTTAAAGGATATACTCAGCGCATCAGAAGATGCATAGAAGCCACGTCAAGCACCTCCATCCCTCATGCAAAAACCAAAAGATAGGGCGCAAAGGGTATCCTCGTTTTATTCGCTATCTGTATCTCACCACCTCGAGCACGCACTAGTGGGCACCTAAATGACGATATCCTAGCAAAAAGTGGCAGAGCGCACCAACAAGAATCCAAGCCGGGGGAAAAGCAAGGGGAAAGCAGTCATAAATGGCCTGTTTTGTTTTACATGTCGCCGCGATCGAATCGACTCAGGACCTCGGGCGGAACTGTGGGTATGTACTTGCGGGCTCGTTCGCGGTTCGTGCCACCAAAGCCGGCGCCGTAGGTGACCAGCATGTCTGTACTGGTGGGAAGGGAGAAGGGGAGGAAAAGGGTGGGGTCGACGAAGACACTATTGCCGCCACCGGGGCGCTCGTCGCTCCTGGTGGCGACCATACTTGTACGTTGAGATGATGCACCAGCGGAGCCCGGGGATGTTCCAGTATCAGGAGATGTGGGTGCTGCGGAGGGCTGGTCCTTTGGTGTCTCTGGACGAGCATCTGCGGCAGCTTGGGGCCTTGGTCGAGCTGCCGCCGTCACCTTCTCTTCTTGAATTTGCTGTTGCTCGCGGTGTAGAACTTCGGGGTCATTTTGCATATCGAGAAGGAAATTCATTGCTTGCTTGGTCAGGCCTTTCTCGCCTACTTCTGGGCGGTATGACTTGACTGCATGCATGAGCTGGGCGGGGGTGAGTTGTTGGAATTGGAGCAGGGTTGTTACGAGAGATTCGTGGTCATCGCCGAGCGAGGAGAAGCATTGCAACCATTGGAGGAGTTGGATGAGCGGGGCTAGATGTCGACGCGCAGCGTCCATTGTAGACTCTCCGGTGCTGTTGGTTGATCCATTTTCGTAATGTTCCGGCACGCGGTTGTTTGTGCGTGCCCAATCCTCTAGTGATGAAACGTTCATGCGAATCTGCATCGCCTTTGTGCGCGCCAAGTAACGTTTCGTGCTCATGATTCGGTTAAAAATCTCGGCACTGAGCCAGTAGAAAAGTTGGGAGAGGATCTGGGTCGTGATCACCGAGTGAACATCGTATAGGTCAAGTACAAAGAGGGTCGATGATAGTAAAGAGGTGATGTTCCGAGGCGAGATTTGTGCTCGTCGCCGCGGTGATGGAGGCCGGAATCGCTTCTCGTCAGGCTCGGGATTTTTGCTTTTATTTTTGCGGAACAGCTTCCACTCGTTTTGGAAGGCAACATCTTCCAGTCCAGGGATGGTCTCATGGTCCAGCATTGCCGCATCCAGGACTTTGTTCATTCGGCGCTCGGCGTCACGAATGACCAGAACGAATATCTCGTTGATCAGCTCGGCTAGATGGAGCTGAAACTCAACGGTAGATTCCACTAAGCCTCCATCCTTCTTCAGGTAATGGAGCAGAAGCGTGGCATTTGACAGCCAAAAGGCTTGCATCGTCATATCCCACTGGTAACGTTCTACAACGTCATTAATCTTCTCCATTGCAGATGATAGCAGAGTTGTGAGCAGCTCGGGGCTGGCATGATAGTGTGCGTAACGGGCGCTGAGAAAGAGAAGATTTGCAGGCACTGGCTTTTGGGAAGGAGACCGCTGGGGAGTCATGTTGGTGATGATGATATCCAGAATGCGCTCTAGTTCGTTATCCTGGAAGACAAACATCTGATCATTCAGACATCTGTCCCAGACAAATTCCTGCTGATCTTCCCCGAACTCATCCTCATCGAACGGCTACGCCATGAAAGAACTCATATCAGTCAAGCTCAACCCCTGAGGTTCACGAAACCAACTGACCTCGAATTTTTCGTCAAGCCCAAGACTGGATAAATCGACCTCCAGATTGATTGCGCTCTCTTCCATCATCATTCGTCGTTTCATCTCGCTCTCCGCTAGCTCTTCTTCGAAACGACCATGCGCCAATCCAGCATCATAGAAGTCATCATAGATATTACCAGAGCCAAAACTATAACCGTTTTCATGCAAATATTCAGAAATCTCACTACCGGGCTGGGTGAAATCAAATGCCCTACCACCGGATGACGACTTGATATCCGGCGATGCACCGTTATCAAGAAGAATCTTCGCTATCGTTTTATGTCTATTGGTCATGGCCCACATCAAAGCACTCCACTGGTTGCGATCCTGTCGGTCGACGAGGGCACCGGCGACAATGAGCGCAGCAACGACTTCTTGATGACCCTGTTACAAACCGTTAGCCTTGCATCAATAATTTGCATATAGTTGTAACACACAAAGCAACTAGCATAAATCAGCGGCACAGTCCCCTCCTCATCGGGCTTATTGACGTCGACAAAAGTCCTTGCCTGGCCCTGTACCAGTTTCCGCACGCGCTCCACATCACCATTGCTGGCCGCCATGTTCAAGCTCTTCTGGAGTATATCGCGCTTCTCATCATCAGACAAGTTCTCGTCGGCAGCAATTGTCTCTTCGTCTGCAGTAAGTGAATCTACCTCCCGATGGGCAGCTTGGGCAGCAAGCATCTCCATTAGTCGGGCGTCACTATCTTCAAGGTCGCGCCCATAGTGAGCTCGCAGTTCGTGCTCATCATCGTGTGAATGATCGTCGAGGGCTAGGCTGAAGGATAATGGTTTTGCGGCGACTGGCGCGGTCAGGTATTGTGATTGACCTGTTCGACAATTAGAATTTGAAGCTTGGACCCAGACGCAGCCGATGAAAATTTTCATCGTACAACGTTTCAAGAATAAAAATAGTTTGATTTCCTGCGCCGGGGAAACAGGGGGGACGGGGTAATAGCTCCGCGGACACAAGAGCACTCACCTTGCCATGCATCGTACATCTCAGTCTCCGGCTGGAAGATCGGGACGGAGCGACGATCATCCAGTGATTTGGGCAAGTCGTCTGGAAGTTCCTGTTTATTTTCGTAGAAGGACGCGGGGCTGTGTTCGCTGTAGTCATGGGGGTCGATGGGGTCATCTGAAGCCCCGCGCCGCGGTTCGATCATGTCCATCGTGGCGGGCTGGCTATCCGGTAGCGTTGTGGTGGGACATCAAAAGATTCAGATTTGCGGAGAGATCAAAGAACCCTCTCTGAGAGTAAGTTCTGTAAGGAGGGCACCCTCCACGCGTGGATTTTAGGTGTTGAAGGGAGGTGATGATGATGTGTAGGTGGTGGATTTGCTGTTCCGTTCCTGGACCAGCTCCCGCGATGCGGCCCCGAAGACCTCGGGAGATATGACGCAGCTTTGTAATGACCTTGGTATTCAGTGTTGGCGTGTATAATATTGAGGTGTAAAGCCGACAGAGGCCAATAATTGGTAGGCTGTTCTTAAAAAATTCCTTTTTTTTGGATTTTAGACTCAATTTCTATGTCTTCTACTAGTGTGTCGACCACAGGTTATGCATGCAAGGTTCATTGTACACAATTTAAGCTGCCTATGCTCTAACTCCAACACCAATAAAGCGGAAGATTTCTAACGAAAATTCAGCTTAAAAGAAATCAAAAAAAAGTAGGCTAAAAAGATTACCAAATCACGTCACGAGGCCGCGTAAGGGGCTTTCTAGTTTTGTCATAGGTAAGTGGTGAACCCCTATTCTCCTACAAGAAATGCCTCCCTCCGAATTCTATTTCCCACCCGCTTATGATTGTATGATGTTAAATGTTAATTGATAGCGTTGGATAGGGTGAATGCAAGTTGATAGTAGGGAAAGAAGGCATAGCTTTCGAAGGGTTGGTACCGAATACAAGCTTAGCTGCAAATGCTTTAGACATATTGCTACCCATAAAAGAGGCACATGAGGCCCAAGTCCCCAAGAAGTATCGGCCTGTGACCCGGAGACAACAAGACTAAACAACAACATAGATGTATAAAAGAATATTGGCGACGCTATAGAGCGAACCACAAGGTAAGAGAATCTGACAGATTGACCGAAATAGGCATGATGATTACTATCATAAAGGGCTGGTAGACATTATAAACCAATCACGATGCTAGGTAGAGAGCGAACCGTGAACCGCGTAAGCGACTCTAAGGGGGTTGGAAATAGCAGTAACGCCTAGGCATTCCCAAAATTTCTGAACGCCGACATCAAATGTGAGGAGGGCTGAAATGGCCAAGGTCTGTACAAGGATGGCTGAAATTATGGAGTGGCAGATCCAAGTCATGTATAGATAAAACGTCTCCATTCATGGGGACAGCCTGGTTCGGCATTCAGCACCAACGAGACAAATGAAAAAAAAAAAATTAAATGAACGATATTAACCAAAAGGGCCGGAAACAAAATGGCAAAGGGGCAAAGCAGCCTCTAGAAAGGGGGTATAAACTATCCAATCACGGATGGCAAGATTGCAGTACAGAAATGGATATAAAGAAACCAAAAGGACCAAGGGGAAGGGGGAAGGGGGAGGGGACAGTAAACGAGAGATTATTCAAGTGCTTTGCTGCGGGATTGAATTTCTTCCTCGGGGAGACAAGCAATCCACAGGCACCGTTCGATGATGCCCTGCACGGGCACAAACTTGTATTCTGTACTAGCGTCAATGAGACGGAGGAGGCTCTTAACGATTCGTGCCGCGGTGCGATAGCGCTCGAAGTTAACAAGTAAACCGCCATTGGTGTTATTAACTTGTGCGGGTTTCTGTGCATTATAAGTGAGGTCGTGGACGTATAGACCTGGAACGAAGTAAAGAGGAATCAGCAAACAAGATCTAGGGTGGCATTCAAGCAACCAGTTTTGAAACTCACCGATGAAGGGAATACAGCCTTCCTGCAAGTTGGCCGTTTCCATCTCGACACGCAAATCATTAAAATTGCGCACCGGCTGAATTAGGCACTCCATGTCCTTGAACAGCCGCTTATCCCCACTTGAAATCAGCTGCCACGTACGCTGCAGTCGGGAGCAATCAGACGAAGACAAAGCAATGGCGATCTGAAGCATCGTGGCATAATTGCAGATGCGGCGGGCATGCGCAGCTGTATGGATATACTTGATGATTGTGCGGGCCCGCTCGTTGATGTCACGGGTCAAGACAATCTCCGACAAGATCCATTTGACCATAAGGTTGAAGCGGCCCACGACCAAATCGATACCCTTTCGTTCCTCCTGTGTCAGGAACTGGACCCAGTTTGTTACTAATGGGCAGGCACTGCTCCATTTCATTTCGACCAGATCTCGCCAGTCAACTTCGCTCAGGGCAGCCATTTCGATTAATGTCAGTTGTTGTGCGAGGACTTGAGATTCACATGCTAAGATAAAGGGGACATGGTCGGGTAAAAAGGTGACAACGGGGGTTGGATCGGGACGATGGTTTTCCGAATTGGATAACACGTCACTCGAAACCTGCTGTATGTTTAGAGGACGCGAAGCAGAGTTGCTAACTTCTTTGTGTCGCGGGGATGTGTCGGGCGTAAGGGGCTGGGCCTGGAACAGGACCGTATTCAACGGCGAAGGGTATGAAGTAAAAGATCCCGGATGTTGGATGGTCATCGGTGGGGAGGGAGGTTGCGCTAGAGGATGAGATGGGATCCCAACGGTTGACGAACCGAGGCTGAGCGTGTCTGTCGAAAATCTTGCACCTATAGCTTCATGCGGATCAATCAGGTCGACGGACAGCTCAGAAGACAGAGCTGAGAAGCGCTTCGGAGTAACCTGACCAACATCGTAAATGGCCGAGGCCGGGGTGGTTGCTCCACGAGGAATGAGACGCATGCTGTCGGTTTTGTGCACAATTTGAATTGAGGGGTGCGGTGAGGCAAGTTCCGAAGTTTCATAGCTTGATACGAGGGTGAGTGGAGCACCGTGCGGGCCAGGTTGGATTGGCTGGCTTGTAGACTGCCATTTCATGGACTCGTCAGTCAATCCTCTTTCAAGAAGCGGAATCGAATCATATGACTCTTCAGACTCAGTGACAGAACCTGAATAATATCTAGGTGGTGCCAATCGACCCCCAACTGTGGAATACGCGGACTTGTCCGTCTGTCGCCTACGGGAAAGAACATCCCACCCAGGCCTGACCGTTTCGACACCCTCTGCGTGTGCAGACGAGGAGTTTCGAACGGCGTTGGGTGGCCCATCCCACTTTCCCTCCAGTTTTAACAGCGTTGACTCAATACCACCGTCGTCGTCATCAGGAATCTGTGCAAACTTCGCGATGACTGACTCAAAGGAACGTCTAGTTTGCTGGGAAGCGAGTGGCTGAATCAGTGAGTACTGAGGATTTGGAGGGATCAATGTTGAAGGAGGTCTTGAGGCAGTGCCATCAGATAGGGCCGTCCCGTCCACAACTGAGTCATCCCAAGACGCAAACGAGTCACGACAGGAAGGAGGCTCGGGTTCATCTCCAGTCTGCATTTGACGGAGGTTTCCACCTCGGCGCCTGCGAAGAACCGGCCCCGACTGTGTAGTGTTCTGTTCATGCATCGCATTTGAGTCGACAGTCGATTGAGTCGTCTCGCTGCTCATCGAAAGCCGCTGTCTTGAGACTCCACTTTGGAAAGACGCGTACTTTCTGAGCCGCAGAGAAAAAGAGTTCTTCATCTTTTTGATAGGCGTCGATCCGCCTTCAGCCGAAGACGATCTTTGCGGCATGAGAGGGCGAATGGGGTAGGATACGTTAGAATGAGCAGCAGATTCGTCGGCCTTGTAGCACATCGGTCGAAGGTATTCTCCCCCCGAGGGGATCGATTGCGTTGAGGCGTCATCGGGCACTTCGAGTTCCAGCGCTTCATGAGCATCATCATCGACAATTGGCATTGGTTCCTGTGCTGACCCTGACAAAGAAGGCATTTCGAACCCAGTATCATCGACAATGATGATTGATTCGCTGCCCATAGTGATACCGCTCCGAAATTTGGGATCTGAGTTGGGGGGATGCGTCGGGAAAAGATTAGAAACGTTGGATGAAGGCTCCTGCAGGGTCGCTTGATGAAAGTCAGAGGCAGCTGAAGGCTGGCTTCGGTCTTTCATCCCTTCCTGGTTCATGGCCAAGCGGTATTGTTTGAGGACCTCATCGCACAGTATATCAATACGACCTGGATGTTTTGGGACAGCAGCCATTTTCCTCTCCCGATAGAGCTCAGAGCCAAAAGCAAGTCCGATTGGCATTGCAGAAGTCTTCCCGCGGGAAGGCAACGAAATAGCTTCGTGGGAAGTCGTAATGAGAGCAGAGATACTCTGCCCACCGTTCCTCGTGTGCAATGCTCGCTTGATTGAGCCAATGATTGTTTTCATGCCCGAGTTAGGTGACAACTTGGGCACGTTCGGTGTACTCCGACGATCCGGATTTGGGGGTTTCAACGGCGGAAGAAGGAGCGGTGATTCCGGTACCATCGTTGTCATGAACGAATCCGCAGGAGGATACATTTGTCCCCGTATCAAACTGATCAGATCGAACATCTTCTGTGGTGCAGGTCCCGTTTCGGGCTCCATCACGAATATCGGCGGTCGATCCTCTCGCACCGAGTCTGAGAAGCTCCCGCTTCGTTTATGGCTATGGCTGTGGTATGGGCGCCGCGAGACCATGGGAGACACGGGTGACCTGGGTGGTTCATGAGCCCTAGACGGGGACTTGGAATTTGTGAGACCCAATACCACAGGGCGAGGCGCCTTGTCTTTCGATGCAGACAAGGACAAGCGCCTGGGGGATTTAGGTCGTAATGAACACGAGAGCGCCATCAAGCTTTGTTCGCTTTTAGCAGAGAGTGGAATGCTTTGCGCAGTTGCTGCAGAGTCAGTTCGATCATGCTGTATGGGGAAAGCAAGACTTTCGCGAACGGTGGAGTCGGTACGAGGCGTGATGCCATAAATGGGGACGTTCTGCTGCAGTTCCTCGGCTTTGGGCAACTCAATCTGGGCATCTCCAGGCACAATAGGGATTTCTGGGTCGTTACAGGCGCGAGACAAGTCGGGGGAAGCCCAGTAAACCGAACATTTGCCGTTCCAGCAACGCTTCAAGTCAATGAGAATCTTTCGATCACTCGAGCCGCCATTTTGTCGAGACCGGACCTCTGAATATAGCTTGTTGATGGTCTCACAGAAGTGGGTTCGAAGCTCGTAGTTTGTAACAAAGTCATCAACGAAGTAATTGAGAATCCAATGTCGCAAAGCCGCAAAAGTGCGAATCCTAATAATGCGTCCATCATCTTGTAGCCGGTTGATTGCCCACTTTAACCGCGCAAGAAGAAGAGCCAAAAGGTGTGTGGTGGATAGGTATGAACGAAAGGTAAGGAAGAAGTCCGATACTAGTTCGTAGTCCATGAATGACTCGGAGGAGATCTGCGCAACAATTCGAGCAGGCGTGGCAGCACTAATATCCTTTGTCCCAGCTATGTATCGGACAACAGAACCATCATCCATATCATGCACCATCGTCTCATAGATAGATGGCTCAACCGGCTCTTTCAATTCATAGACCATGGAATTCCTCAGAGCCGGTGAAGCTCGGTTCATATCCATAGCCGCTGCAGTCCCCGAGAACATCGAAATTGCAAAAGATGGCCGATGCCGCGAGAAAGAGTCTCGAGGATATGGACCGTGAAGTACCGGCAGGAGGTCAGTCACACCCCCAAGCAGTGTTGAATTCCGAAAGTTGTCCGACATCGAGTTTCGCGTATAGGCAGGACTCTGCATCAGTGCGCTACCTTCGACGTTGAATCGCGGCGACCCGAGCCGATACCGCAGACTAGGAACCTCCAAGGTTGGTGTCGAGTTCTCATATGCAGACTTGGGGCGGTCTTCAGATCTATCGATCACGATGCGCAGCTCCCCACGCTTCCCTGCATCGGCTATCGATTGCTGCTCCGATACGGTCGAGAACGATATCGGTCTCATGCGGTGCTGGCTCAAGAGTTCGGGAGGAGGAGGCACAATGAGGACAGACTCGAAATCTTCGGGTTGTTGGCGCGGACGTAATTCAGAGAGCTGCGAGCTCGACCACCTGGATGGATCTGGGGCCTTGCGGGTATGTGCATGGCTCTGCGGCTGAAGGAGACTGGGTTTCGCGGTATCAACCGAAGAGAAGGATGCAGGCTGTGGGATTTTCTGGGACGGATTGGCAATCGGCCTAAGTCATTGAAATAGTTCCACTATCAGCAAGCTGCACACTATGTGACACAGCACGAGGAATGATGAATCGCTTGGTGTACCTGAGAAATATTTGGCCATTTTGGCCGACACTTCTTACGGTGAAATGGCCGACCTTCCTTCCGGGTGAACGTGCCTCTAGTGGGCCAAGGTGTGTTTGAGATCGTAGAAGCTCATGGCTATCCTTGGCGTTTATCTCAGTTGCTGTTTTCTCGCGTGCTGCCTTCAACTCTAGGTTCCGCTTAACGTTGCTGCCCTGGGCTACGGTATTGGCATGGCGAAGATTCGAGATTGGATCCTGGGGCACTCCACTAGACATTGAGTTGGAGGCTGGCAATTCATTGATTTGAACTTGCGGGCCCAAAAAGGCATCTTTGAACTCCGGCGGATCGATAGGAGGAAAGGGCTCCATGGCTTAAAAGCTGTGAGGACGCGAAATGCTCCCGTCGCGACGGGGCCAGGGTTTGTACCACTGGAAAAGGTCAGGGCAAAATCATCCAAAAAATAACATCACTTATATTATATGAGGTCAAAAGGGTTGACGAAAAATAAAAAAATAAAAAAATAAAATAAAATAAAAACTAAAGAAAACAATTTAAAAAGAAGGGAAGAAATTGGAGTGTTTTTGTGGAGATGACCCGACGCGGCGGAAGAACACTCTGGGAACTTTGTTTCGCAACTGGGAACGCTGGGGTTCTCTTTTCATACTTCGTAGAGCCCCTTTTTACTGGAGGGGGGGGGGAGTTGTTTTTTTTCTACAGGATACTCTAAATATGTATTAATCTAACTCTTTTCCTTTATATATTTTTTATATCCTGACTTCTCTTTACACCACCAAGAGACTCTACAGAGTCTATTGAAGGGAGATAAGGCACTACATTCTGGTGAAAAGGCGAGCACTAGGATTAGCAGTGCCAGGGATAATGGCCAACTCATCCGTGATTTCCATCTCCACTTTGATAGGAACGCAAAACTGAAAAGGAAAATAAGCGGAGCTCATCATGAGTAGTACGGAGTACGGAGTATATTGTTGTGACTAAAAATATCGTGTATCTTAAATTGCACAGATCAATAAAAGATGGTGTTAAATTATATGACCGCTTTAATTGTAGAGCAACCTGGAGAACTACCGTGCAGCCACACCCTAATCTGTCTCATTGGCCTATTTGATAGACCCTAGGCTAGCTTAGCGTGAGATTCTTATGTTTTACACTGAAGATCTGAGGATCGTATGATGACCAAGGATTTAAGGGGATGGGGGGGGGGAAGGGTGGCCTTTTTAGTGGGTTAGATTCACAAGTTCTTATCTTCTCGGCTCATAAATGAGGCCGACTCCATAGTGATCCAATGTCGATCTAGCCTCTTAGCAGACCCAATCCGCAATCCCATTGCTCTCACTTTACCATCACATGTCAAATGTCGATCAAACTGATACTGATCCATAAGAATTGACACGTCCATCAAAAACCACACCGAAAATCAGAGAACTCTGAAGAGGTGAGGAGGCTGAACCTTGCTGACCTAGGTACTAGACAACTACAGACGGAGTAGATCCGTGGGCTAATTCTGTACCTCGGCCTCTTCCGCTGTCTTTTGAGGGTCGATGCCGAATGGTTTCCTTGCCTGTGGCCCGCTCCCGCTGGGGTTGAGCAGCGATCGCCGTGGAGATCAGCAGCTGTAGGGGTTCGGCATCTTGGCCGAGCAGGATGCCCTCTTCTCGCGCATCGTAAGCATCCATAGGTTGGATCAATGATGTATCGGAAATGGATACCAGTGAGTTGCTTTGCAGGGTGTGGCGATAGGCGTTAACAACAGAGAGTGCAGTAGCTCTATCTCTAAGGTAGCATGCTAAACTTTTGAGTTGTGACGCATCTGTCCGAGCGGCAGGAGGCTGGAGAGTTTGGGGATTCATAATTCATCACGTTCAGGGTCGCTTGATGAGAAAGATTTTCTTTCAAGGGTGAAATGAATGGGAAAATGTGTCCCAAATTCTGGAGAACGTGACGGGGATTGGTGGATGTGCATCGACAAGGGGTGATTGTGAAAGTGAGTGGCAACCATGTTCATCCAAGCACTAGCCAATCAGCTAGACACTTGAACCCAGTGTCAGAATATTCGAACGACTCAAAACTCATGAAAGCAAATGACATTGACAGTAAACTACTCAAAACTACCAAAGCTTGCAAGCCGGCTTCCTATCTGGGCAACTAAAGGCATTTTTGAACTCCCGAGAGTTGGCCATGGTTTCCTGTGACAACGGTCAGTGATGGCACACAAGTAAAAGAATGCATTGACAAGACTCACGATAATTCGTGCTGGCTTGGGCGCATGGGGATCGTTATAGATCGCCTGCTCAGCCGCTTCCTTGGTAGTCTTTCCACACCACCAATTACCATAGGATATAAAGAACAGCTGCTCTTTGGTGAAGGTATCCAATCCCGGGAGGTGGAGGTCAGGCTTTGCCTCATCGTGCTTCTTCCACGCGTGGTACGATGCGGTCAAACCACCAGCATCGGCGATGTTCTCGCCCAGTGTCAGTCGTCCGTTCACGTGGAGAACCTTGTCCTCGGGACCTAGGACGGTAAAGTTGGAATACTGGTCGACAAAGCATCGAGCACGCTCTTCAAAGGCTTCAATGGTTTCATCGTCCCACCAGTTGGTGTAGTTTCCACTCTCATCGTAGTGTCGACCGGTAGAATCGAACGCTGAATCATATTGGTCAGTTGGAAAACGGCAAGAGTTTGGAAGGGACCTGAACATACCATGGGAAAGTTCGTGACCACTGACGGCGCCGAATGCACCATATGCCAGATACAGCGGGGCCGAAGGTCCATAGAACGCTGGCGGCTGCATTATGCCGGCAGGGAAGACAATCTCGTTACCGGGTGGGTTGTAATAAGCGTTGACAGTCGGTGCACTCATACCCCATTCGTCACGGTTGGTGGGCTTTCCCAGCTTAGACCATTCGCCGCGAAGCTGGAATTTTGCCACGGCCACCTCATTCTCAAAGAAGGTGTCATTGGACAATTCCAGCTCCCGGTAGAATTTGTTCACATCCTCGGGGTCTAGAACATTGGGACTCTTTGTAGGAAATCCGATCTTCTGGATGATATTTCCCACCTTCTCAATGCCTAATTTTCGCACATCCGGAGACATCCAACTAGTCTGGTCCAGGGTAAATATAAACCGCTCTTTGATGTCGGAAACGATCTGATCGCCAAGTTTCTTCGAGTCCTCAGAGAACGCATCGAGCACGTAGAAACGGCTGAGACTCCATTCAAGCCCTTCATCCAGACGCCCAAGGCATTTACGCCATCGCTCCTCCTTAGCCTGAGGCTCTTTGCCGGCGAGTTCATTCTCAAAGCGCCGAAGAGGTTCAATGGAGGCATCCTCGATAACATCCGCAAACGCTTGGATAAGCTTCCACTGCAAGAAGAGCAAAATGGTCTCTCTGGGTGTATCTTTCAAGACAGCAGACAAGGCCTTCATGTAGGCAGGCGATCCGACAATCAGGCGATCACCTTTGTAGTCATGGGGCGCCAAAGACGAAATAATATCGGCAAAAGAGATCTCGGGTATCAGTGTCTCTGTTTCCTTGACAGTAAGGGGGTTGTAGTATTTGGTGACATCTTCCTGGGTTTGGGTGTCCGGAGTCACATCCGCGAGCTTTTTTTCAAAGGCCACAACATCCTCGGCAACTTGGTCAAATCCATCTCCAGCAAAGCCTCGAACAACTTGCTTCAAAACGGTCGTGTAGTCAGCTACGATTTTTGTGTTGTTATAGTACTCTCTCGCAGGAAGTCCGATTTCACGAGGCGGCGAGATCATGATAACAACATTGTCAGGGTCTCTATCGTCGGGCTAGGAGGAGTCATTAGTGGCGCCCGCGAGATATAGGCCGCACAGACTTACAGTGACACCAGAAGAAGCCAGAGCCCCAACACCAGCGTTCGCCAGATACAAAAGAGCACTGGTGAGTTGATCCTGCGCTCCTTTTACAAGGTCTGCATTTGCGGGATAGATGGTCTTCAGTTCATCGAGAATATTGATCAAAGGCTTGCTGCCCCGTTTGTTGATAGTAGTCTCGTCCAAGCAAGCGTCATATGCAGCTTTGAGTTTCTTGAAATTGTCAGCATCAGATAACTGCGGCGATTCTGTGCGCTCCAAGATGTGACGAAGTTTAGTCTGGGCATTCTCTGCCATAATGGTGCCTGCAAATATCGATCCCTGATCGGGCCGCATGTCGTGGTGCTCCCTCCATCCACCGCAGACATATTGGTCAAAGTCAGTGCAGGGATCTATGTTCTCATAATTGGGATCGAGATTATAGAGGATTTCAGATGCAGCATGAATGCATTCTTGCGACTGGCAAAGCGGGGGAGCCTCGGGGTGCGGGGACGGGTTCTCCTCGGTAGACGTAGAGCCTAATCATAAGGATGGTCAGGTTAGCGACACGTTCTAAGAGGGAGAGAGTAGTCATACCATGTGGAGCCCCTAGATAAAAGGTAATGAAACCGACGATCACAAAGACGCAGAGCCCTTTCCTCACAATTCTCGCCCAGCAGGGGCGAGTTCGTTGTGGCTTGTCGTCACGGGTGTGGCTGGAAACAAAGTCATTGTCCTCGAAATCGTAGACCTCGTTTATATCCAGAGATGGAACTTTCTCGGACTGCATACTGTGCAACGAGTAGTTGGGGTCACGTTTGCTATGGTCACTGAGGAGCCATTAGCACCTCATATCTGCCGAACACGATGCACCCATGAATACATACCTGAACGGTGGCGGAACCGTTCTGGAAAGCACTGCACTGTTAGAAGAAGATTATGCTTATTCGAAAATCATGGATAGGGTCTCGGTGCTTATTCCAGAGTTACTCCTTGGGCAACGAGGAGAAGCTGGGGTTGGAATGGCGTCACACTCGGGGCACCGGTGAACTCTTGGCGGCTCCAGCTGGGCCCAGGTGCCCACCTCGGCAGAGCCTACTATTGATGACTCATCACATCACTCTTTCGCCCAGGCATGTGTGAGCAACCTGCATTTCAGCCGAGCTATCCATGGATATTTGGTGAGGTTGTTCGCTCAATAAGCTTGAATTTTCTCCAATCAGTGAGTTGACACACGGGTGGACGCTGAGCAGCCAGTCTGTGGGAAGGAAGCTTAGAAAATAAGCTATTGTTATCAATCAGCGTATCCCGATTCAATTTTGCCCTCTTTCCCGACTCGAAGGTCAGAGTCGGACTCTATCGAAAACATGCTAGGAATTTTCTGATCTTTCGTGATAATTCGAAGAGTTGAGTTGTACAAATCAGGCTTTATATAGAGAAATCCTCACACACAGGTTAAATGTCTGCCATGCAAGCCACGACAACTAGGAGCTCCCCCTCTAGGACTAGGAACCGGACAAAACCCAT